ATTTCCTGGGTAGATATTAGTGCAAGGGAAATAATGATAAGTGTTACCTTAATAACTTAAATTGCATTATGGGGCTGTGTTTTCTTTGGAATTTATCTACAAAAGCAAACATTAGGGCTTATTTTAAGTAGATAGTGTCCCTAGTAAGTAGAAAGGTTAATGACTAGTTTTAATCTTTGTTGTTGCTGAACTATTCCATAATCAAAAGGCAATTCAAATGTGGAATGCGAAGGGCTTTGTATTTGCCAATAAATTGATTGAATGAGTTGGGACATTTGGAATAGCGAAATGGCGACATGACAGAAAGAAAAGCTGGTAGTTCCCATTATTACTAAATTCATGCAGTGCATATGAAAAGAGGCAGCCTAATTGCAGTTATACAAAGGTTTAGCCAAAATAGATTGCGACAGTTATCAAAGGGGAATCAAATTCCTATACTTGATTGCACTAAACTATTTCTTCATTGCAAACTATTGAGTACTGGAAATGCAAATAAATTAATATCAAATGAATTGGGCTTTAGATTTGCAAATATATTATCTTTATAGATGGAAATAAAACAGAAGTGATGAATTGAGAGCTTCAATTTGTATTTCTGTCTGCGTTCTCGTGTGTATTTTCAGGAACAAAAGCAGACAGATGAAGTGTGTTGCTCAAGAGGCAGCTTAATAGAATTCATTTGGATGTTTATCTTAAGTAAAAAGGGACAGTAGTCCAAAGAAAACAGCAGTTATAAATTAAGTTTAACTTGAATTATAATTGTATATTGCGTATACGTATATTGCGTATACGTATATCAATGAATGATACCTTTGTACATATTTGTGAATTAATAGTTTGGAAAGATAGCGACATTAGTACAAATACACATTTGAGATGTATGTCTTAAGCAATGCTTAATGGGAAAGCTTTTTAGAATAGCTTGGCTAAACGGGGACATTGGTAAAAAAGAAAACAGGACTTTATTTTCGTTTAATGTCTGTGTTCTCGTGAGTGCTTTTAGTAGCTACAAAATCTGGCAGATCGCTTGCACTGCATAATGCATGTGCAGTTCATATTAAGAGAGACAGCTTAATAGGAGGAACTTATTTATAAACAATTGCATGCGCATTTCAGCTGGCCACTTAGCTGCACACCTTCGCCTGAGCCTGTGGCACACCTGCCCATTTGCCACCTGAAAAATAAAAGAGCCGCCAGTTGAGCAGCCAGCAAGCAGCAGGCAGCAGGCAGCAGGCAGTGGTGGACTAATGCTAATTGCCGGGTGGAAAAGCATTGCGGCAGTGGCGAGGTAAACGAGGAAAATGAGGAAAACACACTGAAACGACGACAACGCCGACAGAGGCACACACTAAAATTAGGTCGAGCAGTAACAGAGCAGCAACACAGCCAGTAGAATACAATTTGCCAAAAATAATCTTGCTGTGCGACAATTTTCATGCACCAAACAAACAATATATACATACACACACTCGCACACTCGCACACACGCACACATGGTGTATGAAAAATCGCTCAAAGTGAAAAAAAGTACTTGAGTTATTGGAGCAGGCAGTCGCACAGGGGCGGTGGAAAAGGAGGAGAGGGGTTGGGTCATAAGATGAATGAGGGGGCGTTGCGGATTGGGGCATGGGGCTCGGTTGTCTTGGCCATTCGGTGGCAAGGGGAAAGTCGAGAGTCCGAGAGCTGTCAATCAAACGGACACCAAAAAAGTGCGAGGCGTTGATTTGGACTTATTTGTTTTTTTTTTTCCTTTCAATTGTTGTTGTTGTTTTTTTTTCGGTTTGTCTCTCGTGCTCTTTTGAAACGATAAATTAAGTTGAAGCATTTACTTGAAAAGTCTGTACGTAAATAGTGTGTATTAAGGGCGGAATACAGCAAGTTGGAATATGTGTCACATGTTTTTCTACGAAAATATTGCGATAATTTAGGCGTGCAGCTAGTTCTAAAGTGGCATTTATAATTTTTTACCCGCTACTCGTTCGCGTTCTCGTAAATCGGTATATTTAAATTGTGGAAAAATTACCAGTTCATTTTATCCATATCGTTTTATGAACAACCACACCGCGGAACAAGTGGATTTCGAATTTGGGTCACAACACCTTCCGCACCCGCAAATCCCGAAATTATTGATGGTGGAATATGGAATATGTATCTACCCATGTAAATATGTATCCATGTATGTATGTGTGTGTATGTGTGCGATGCAAAGACCTTCAAGTATGCAACGTTTTTTTTACCTGGGTATTAGATGTCTTAATTATTATTATCAGGGCATGACCTTTATTATTTTAATTGGGATTTTTCTCGCTCTCCTTTTTTAGTTTAAAGGGTCGACTGTGTGTAATGCGGTTTTAGATCGCTCAACATTGCTTAATTGCCGTTTGTGTTTTTTAATAAAAGCTTAACGGGTTTAGTGGATGTAAATCCTCACCAATAAATAAATATATATCCGATTCGCTAAGCCAGCAAACAAAATAAACCCAAAACGTATACAAATTTATTTGCATTGCAGGATTTATTTTTTTCGATCTAGGCAAGTCACGATGTACACATGTTTTATAACCGATTTCCACTGTAGCCTTTTTTTCGTGCGTGTGTCCATTGTTTTTTGGCGCGTGTGTGTGTGTATTTGTATGTTGGTGGGTCTTATGCCTCGGGTAACTGTACACTCTGTTTGCGTCCTAACGGTAAAAATTGGCCAAATGGCGTGCGACCAATGTAGAAAGGGACAGAGCGAGTTCGTTGGAAAATAAAGAAAAATAAAACCAAAACAAAAAGAAAATTCCGCTTCAAATTTCGAACAAATATGTTTTTAACGCCCGTATGTGTTTCACTTTTTTTCGCCCCATTTTGTTTATGTGAAAATAAAAATTTTACTCGTCGCGCTGTCTGTCGTGTGTATCCATGTGTGTGTTTTCGGGTGTTTGTGATGGTTGGTGGGTGGTTGGGTGGCTGGGTGGTTTTCGGCCATTGTGGGTGACATGTGCATGGGGTAAAGAAAAGCGGGTGGCTGAAGTGGGGGAACTTGCGCGCTGTTTGTTTTTGGGTTATTCGTTTCGGCCTTTCTCTCTCCGTACTGTTTTTTTTTTTTCTGTTTTTTGGCAACAACGTGACTTCATCATCATATCCAACATGATCATTGTCGACCGACTGCGTAACGTGAAAAACAATTGCATGAATATTTATGTGTGCTCATGTGAGCGTTTTCCGTTTGCGGTTTTTCTTTATATTTATATGTTTTTTTGTTTTTTTTTTTTTTTGTGCAAACATTTCTAGCGCTATGCCACCCATAAAGGCAATAGTCAAAGGATTGCCCGGCAAATTGGCTTCGGCCGTAAAATGCGTTTGCGTGTAGAAACCAAACATTTCCATTTTCCCTTTTCTTGCTCGCTGTTTCCTTTTTATTTTTATTTTTCCTTACTTTTTTTCTATACTATCTCACCCTGGTTTCTAGCCAGCCAGCTTTATTGATGGCATAATTGTTGTTGCCGCTGTTACTGTTGCTTAGTCGCAACGCATTTCTAACTTAATTATTATAATTAATTGGCAAAAACAACAACGACGGAAAGGCAAGGGTAAGGGGGAAAAACCAAACAGAAGCGGTATAAGGCACGCAACCAACCACCCAGCAAATGGGCTGTACAAATGTTGTACCCACTTCGTTCAACAGGCGAAAAAGGGCCTCTTGAAAATTCTAGAATTTCGAAAGCATTACACGCTGCTTTTCGGGCAGGAAAATCATTTAAATTAGCCTTTTAACGCTCTGGCGCGGTTCTTTCTACCAGGCGACAAAAGCCACCAGTTTAGCTGAATAATTTACCATTTATAAACGTTTTTGCCTTCATGTGTTTGCCGCGCTGGGCCAGTGGAAAACAAAGCGACACACAGACAATGGATGGCATAATACGACTCAAAGTAAAAAAAAAAAAAACAAGTAAATAACACAAAGAATAACACGTAAATGTTTGCTTATAAAAATGAATAAGAACAATTGCTAAGCCATTTTATGCGCATGAAAGCAGAATTATGCAAATACAAAGTAAGCCAAGAACAGCAACGGGGATAACACAATATTTTTGCACTGGCTGCTGTAGCAGTCAACTTTTGTCCTCCTTTCGTACCACCCGTGTTCCATTTCCATATCAAATTGAGGAACATCTCATAAGAATGTTTGTTTATGCATTTGAAACTGTACTGAAATGCAGAGTAATAAGTTGTTTTTAAAATAGAAATTAAAAAAGGAAAAACAAATCTCAAAGTCTTATGTAAAAAGAAATCCTTTTGACTTTACATAAATTATAGCATACTTATTTGCCCCTTTTTAAGGGATTTAAAATCTCAGGAGTTTTCTTTGGCGCCACTCATAAATTTATAATTCGAAGAACTCTAAATTCTCAATCGAATTGCGTTGCATACGTCACAATTCCTAAACTTACGCACAAGAGCAAGCTTTTCCCAGTATTCCCCCACCTGCAATGCAAATCGAAGACAAATATTGTTGTCGCGTCGCTCGGTTTTCAAGAACGCTCCATTGTTAATAAAGGCAAACAAGAAAAGTGTTGTCGGCGGTATTCCGTATGTTGGCATTTTACTTCTTTCTACCAGATACCGCAAAGCAAACACAGAAACATGGAGGCAAACAGCTGCTTTTTGCTTGGCCCTGTTAAGTTCGTTTTGTTTCGATGCGATGCGACTCGATTCGGATTCGGATTCGGTTTCGGATTCGATTCGACTCGTTTTCATTCGGTTTGGTTCGGTGTCTAGCCTTTTGTTCTTGCCATTGGCATTCGACACACTTTTTAATTAGTTTTGCCACATTTCGCAAATAGTTTTAAGCAAATACAGCAACACTCCCGCCTTCCCTCGCTTTAATTAAACGCGCCTTTGTTGCTCTGCTGTTGGCTTGGATCGGTTGATTTGTTTCCCCTGCATTTAACAATAAATATTTACACATATTTTTTCGGTTTAATTAAGTTGCCGAGCGACCGGAGCGGCAAGATACGGCTGCTTTAATTGTGACGTTGGCAACCCTAAAACCGAGACCATGCATATTTTAATTTTTGCAAAGCGGGTGATACTACAAACAATCAAATGAACGAACGAATGAACGCAAAAGATGCAGGCGGCAGTCAGGCAGGCATGCATGTATTTACTTGTTGGATAAACATTGAAAATACAGAACGCCGAATTTATGGATTCAGTTGAAATGTTACAAATATGTGTGCGTGCTTGCGGCTTGCGGATATGTGGGTGGGTTGGTTGCTTCTTTTGGGTGGCCAGACCTGGCACACATGTTTATCGCATGATATAAACCACCGACCGAACAATGCCTGCCAGAATTTAAACCGCAAACCCCGCCTAGCATTCTGCTAAAACGAAAAATAAATACCGAAGAAACGCAACCGAACGAAACGAAAGCAACAACAACTGCAGAAGACGGACACAAAAAAAAGAATAAAACAACACTAAATAAAAATAACAAAAAAAAAAAACAAACAGAAAAAACGGCAGCAAGAAAAGTTAGTCTCTGTAGGACTGACACCTGTACAAAGCGTCAATAAGTGAGGCCAAGTGGGCTATTAAATGCCAAGTTAATGGGTTGAACAAATTGTTTTTACCAGTCGGTGTTGTTATTTTCCGCTGTTGTTCATTTCGCTTCGCTTGGAGTAGACGCATTGAATGCATGTCCACCGGGCCGCCAGTCTGATCGACTTATGTAAAACCACCGATAAGCAAGTAAGCGTTGACAGTGTGAAACTAGGCCGATTATGTTATCGGTTAATGTCAAGTCCAGCCGATTAACAGTTGCGATAACCAATTGAGGACTTAAAGTGGCTGACAGCGTTTAAGTTATCGAACTTTAATCTATTTAACCTGACAGTAAATTTCACACAATTAACAGTTGCACTTCTCAGTCAATTCTGTGCAAAAAAAAATTTAAAAATCGGTGATGAATATGACATATATGTTGGCAATGAATATAAAATTCGACCTATTAAAAATTCATAATTTGTGGGAAAAAATATGTAAGAGAAACAACAAATATACAATTTAAACTTTCCATTTTTACTAATTGACATTTATCGAAATCAAAATTCAGAAAAAAGCTTCTTGGACAACTAATTTACTTTAAAGCAAAAGGGGCAATAAATATACATTTTATTAATATGTCATCGGTAAATGTCAACCGTTTGCACTTCTGCGACATTTAATGAAAGCATGCAGACGCGTGCCAATATATTTATTGCCATAAATTGAGCAAAAACATTAGCACAAATTACAATTGACACGGCGATTGAGAGGAAAACACAAATATGTGCTTGTGTGAGCGGCATCATTGATTTCGTTGTGTGTTCATTACGCGGTCAAACTGTTTTATTTACATTAAAATTGAGGTTAATAACTATGGCGCAAATTTATTGCAACTGTCAATGCATATCCATTAAAACGCTCGCGTTCAATTTGATGCGTCAAATGCTCGATTAGCGACCGCGCAGCCAGCCACAACCGCAAAAGCCATCGAAGTGACGTCGCCCTTTCAGCGATTACGGCATTTGGGTATTACGGTATTACGGTATTACGGTATTACGGAATTACGGCTGTACGGCATTACGGCCCCCTAAATTATTAATGCCTCGCTCGCTCTGTGTCTGCGTGCTAATTTGAAGTCGTTTCAGGTGCTTTCAGTTTCAGGTTTTCGGTATTGTCGTTGTTGCGAAGCCAAAGTCAAGCAACTGGAGCAAAGTCAGCCACCTATTGAGATACTCGCACTCTAAAGGCGAGGTACTCTCGAGATGGTTTGGGTATATTAGCAGAAATAATGTTGCTTGAAAAGATTCGGATAATATTTTGAAAGATTATTGCTTTTAACATTTTAAGTTCGGAGTACAACGGAACTCTTTTATTAAACAAAAACTAAGGGGAAAATATCGCTCAACATTATTTTAATTTGAGTAAGTAAGTATAGATTGCTTGAAATGTTACCATCCTGAAAGGACATGCAATCTATTGGTTAGCATTATAATTAATTATTCATCGTTTTTGACAGAAGATCAACGTTACTCGAATTGGAAAGAGAGCAAAAGACAAATTGACAAACAAAAGCTATTATTCAATTTGCCAGGGTATTTACCGCTTCGATATTTCCGAATAAGATAGTCCGTCAATCTTGTGCTGCGATCCGAGTGGACTTGCTGCACCGACTACGTTTTCGCACAATCAAATTAGCATTTGGGCGCACGTTCTCGATTTGTGGCGCCCGCCGCTGCACATTATTGCACTCGGGAGATTCCAATAACGAGTGCTGATATAATTAAACCGACATGTGAGCCGAGCTTTGAGCGAAATGAAGACATGCCCATTTATGCACATTAATGTGTACACAACGTAGCACATAAATTGCACGTTGGGGACGAGCCCCTCAAACGCGGCATGCGATGCACTAACGTTCGTTCATCGGACAGACTGAATTAATTTAATAAAATCAGTAACATTTTACGGGCCATTAATTACGATATTAGACGAGGAGGAACAAGACACGCTCGTTCTAGTGGTTTCCAAATTAATTGATTGCAAACTACTGTTCAAAATTTGATGTTACGCAAATTGGGCATGTGTGCTTTCAGTTTCCCCCATTAATTGGCAACTGTTTATGCAGAATTCAAATTGCTTTGGCCTACCAATACAAGAAGTCCAAATTTGAGTGGCATTCCATTTAGTTAGACAAAACTATGTTTATATTTGGGTTTTTTAGTTGTGGTTATAGCTTTTTTGTCACTCGCAAGTTATATTTTCCCTTGCACTTTCAAAACTACATAATGTCAGTAGTTGTTGTAAAACTATATAATCAATAGTTGAAGTAAAACTATATAATATCAATAGTTGTTTTAATCTTGATCAGCAACGCAGATAACAGTTTGAATAAATGAATTCGTTGTTTTTTTCTATTTTTGTCAAGTAGGGCATAAATTATAGTTGAAATGCATTCAGCCCAAAATTCATTATCTTTGAGCGTGCCAAAAATAACTTTCAGAAAGTGTTTCGTTTGCATAATTGCCTTTTAATTATCATACAAAAGCACACATTGTATGCAAATTTATATTTTTGTGGATGTGTAACAGATCGCTACAGTCGTTACTGGCCAAAGCAGAAACTTACATTTTTGTTATATTTAAACACAGGTTAAGATGCTTGCCATTAACTTCTATTAAGTGTAATCCCGAAAGGCCATAACATTTTAACTAGTATTTGTGTTTAAAGAAATTATTTAAAAGTAATATATTTTAATAATTAATTAAAGTATCAGTTAACAAAATGTTGTTTTTGGCTTAAAATAAATGTTCTTATGCTAGATTTTCTTTGAGGTTTAGTAAGTTTTTATTCAAATAAATAAAATAAAATTGTTCACGTAGTCGAGTGAGCACTGTTTGTGCGGTGTCGGTGCGAAAGTAGCACAGACTCTGTGGAAGTAAACAAAAAGTTTTATTTCATTAGCCCCGTAGTCTGTTGTCTGACGGTGCGTCTTTCCGTGACTTTGTTTTCCTTTTTTGGGGGGGAGGGCCACCCATTTTCGCTGAGTGTAGAAGGGGGGACACGTTCGGCAAGGAATGCTGAGCATTCAGCCCGTTTTCGAGGGTGTGCTGATGCGATCGTGTAAACGCAAAAATATGCGCAAAGCAATAAAAACCTAACAATAAGAAAACAAATGGAATATATGCATGAAATTAGCTGTGTAGGCAGTGATAAAATGTTGTTCTCCCCACTTTGCAAACTTGTTTAATAATTAAAAACCATCACGCATACAAAAAGCATTTGGTGTGTGTGCGTGTTTTGTGAGCGTGTGTGTGTGTGTGTGTATGTACATCAAAGCATATGAATTTGCATAAAAAATTCGCCGTCTTGATGCCAATTTGCAATGGCATGCCCGAAATTTTAAACTGCCGATTGATATTATTGCAATTTTGTAATTCAATTTTTGATGGATTCGCTTTTACGTTTCACCATCAAAAAACTTAATGTTCGTATAGCTTCGACTTCGATTTCGGTGCACACGGTGAGCACCTAAAACCTGCAAAACCATAAAGTTTGTAATTGTCAGGAAATAAACGAGTGATTTTAATGTATTTTTTCGCAGTAAAAAGCCATAAAAATGGCTCGTTAAATTACATTGTTAGAAAGTAATTGATTTTGAAAACACACACTAAAAAGTAGTTTTCTGTTTAACGTCTTATGAACTCAACTGCGACCCACAAACGATAACGACTGCATGACTTGAAAAATTTTAGTGACGTACAAAATAATATTAGTAACAAACAACAAATGTCTGTATGCGTTGCGAATTTTTTGTTTAATCAACTTTAACATGTTCAACAAATAATCTGATTTTAAAAGAATCAAAACTACAATGGAATTTATTTGATTAAATATTTGAAGATAAAACTTATTCAACCTATGTATTTTGGAGATAGGTATTTATACCTAATTCCCAACGAATTAGCATTAAACTTGCTTAAGAGTCGGAATACATATTTAAACTACTGCTCTTCGACTTCGATCGCTTGTTGTTACACAATCAACTGGATTTACATTGAATTAAAAGCAGTCGGCAGTTTTATTTCTGCGTCGTTCCATTTGAAAGCGACAGCTGACTATAATTTGCAGCTTTCAGCGTGGAGCTGGTGGAATCCAATGGAGTCAACGGGGCGGATGGGTGATATTGCCAGACTGTGCCCCGTCAGCAGGACGCACGTGTAGTTGGCCCTATTGTTTTAGCCATTACTGCTGCTGTTCTGCTGTTCTGCTGTTGTCAGTCAATACGTCACTTGCAGACTGCTGTTGGTAGTCACAGTGTTTTTGTTCGTCAGCCAGTTGCTGTCTGTTTGTGCAACCGCTGCGGTGATTGTTAGCGCTATATTTATTCAGACGGCGTTGATTATTTTTCTAATTTATCTGCACATATTTGCATTTGTGCAGCGAATGACAGCCGCCCCAGCCAGCTATGCAGTTGCCCCGAAACACGGAATGTGGGTGCCCGCCTGCCTTCTCGCTTGCGAAACGCTGTAATTAATCAAGAAAATAAAAGCCAAAGCGTTGCCAAAAACGTCGAAATGTGTGAAACAAGTTGTTGCCAAAAAGAGCATAAATTAACTGTAACTTGACACCAATCGTGTGGCTTTCGTCACTACTATTTTGTGGGTTTTTCATTTTTTTGGAAGCCAAAATCAAGTTGAGTGGAAATAATTTTTGTGGCAAATAAACAATAAATATGCTGACCGATCTAAAATTCATTTTGGAGGGAAGCCCTAAAGAAGTGTCAGAGCTATTTTTAATTTGATTAAATATTGCAACTGACACATCAAAGAAAGAATTGTCAGTGCTATTCTTAATTCGAGTTAATATTGCAATTGACATTTCAAATGTGTACAAAGCACCAGTCAAAGTAATTTAAATGATGTGCTTTTCAAGCTGAAATGAAATATTACTTGGCTAACCTTCAAAATGTAAAATGCCCTTTGTTGGATTTTATTACTGCCTTTTGGCATTTAAATATATTTTGTATTACGTGTTTCGTCATTTTCAACTTGCGAGAATTTAATTGTTGCCAAAATTGTAATTTCAGGCCGTTTTGTTTATACCAGAGAACTATGTGAATAATATAATTTTAAGATTCTAATTCGGTTTTTATTTACCTTTGCAGTTGGCATGAAATGATTTTTCGTTCCTCATTTCTGGCTAATAAACTGATGCAATTGTGGGCAATTGTTTAACTGTAAAAGACCACCTACATACACACCTGCCAAGTAGGAAGCGCTACAGTTGGGGTCATGCTAATAGCACCTTGTTATAATTCGATTATATTATAGCTTCTTTAAAACTAAAAGGAAGCAACGATTTTTATTCGAATGTTATTTGAAAAAAATGAAATAATAATTAAAATACTTATCCTATTACTTAAGAACTATTGCAATAAAAAATATTGAAATTAAATTCTACCTTTTTAAAGTCAAAAATTAAAAATGCGTTGGTCAAGAATAAAAGTTTAAGAAATTATTGTTCCCCTTATTCATTCCGAACCAACGCTGAAAATCTAGTTTAATAGAAAACTTTAATAGGATTGTTTCAAAGACAACAAAATAATACATTTTCTGATTTGATTTTCTAAACATTAGTTTCATTTATTAATCGTAGTTCAATGCATTGATCTTAATCCATTGTGATATGCTTTCCAAGCTGTAACCAAGTTCACATCGAACTATTCTTGTCTTCCTGGGCGAGTGGGCCACAATGTAAGTGATTCACATGCACGTGATGAAAGGAGGAGAGTGTATATGTGTATGTGTATGTGTATGTGTATGAGTGCGCAAGATGGGCATGGGTCTGGGTCTGGGTTTGGGGTCCCTCGACCCAGGCAACATTTATTATTTATACCAGCCGTGTAATGTGCGCTAACATGAATATAAATAAAAATGCTAACGCGAACCCTACCATTTTGAATTTTGTCGTTGCAGAGCAGCGTGAGGAGCAACAGCCAGTGAACCAGGGGAACCCGATTGCCCAGGCCAAGAAGGAAGCCAGGAAGAGCAGCAAAGGAAACGAAACAGCAGGGGGAAAAGGAGAGGAAACAGGACAAGGTCAAGGAGCAACACCAGTCGGTGTGTGGAGCAGAAGCTGGCGCATCTGGGGCAGTGACACGCGAGCACAGGTGGTGGTGGTCAGCCCAGCGTAGCAGCGTAACTCCTGGAAGTCAGCAGTCAGCAGTCAGCAGCCAGCAGTCGGTAGTCAGTCAAGGACGGCAAGGCAGGCGGACAGAGGCAATCATGTCTTCGCCGGCGGCGCAGAGCAACAGCAGCAGCAGCAGCAGCCAGCCGCAGTCCGCCGCCCAGCAGCAGCAGCAACAACAACAACAGCAGCAGCAGAATCAAAAGGCCAATGTCAACAATACCACACACGATAGCAAGAACAATGCGGCGGCGACGACGGGGACGGCAGGAGGAGCAGCGGGATCCGCTGGAGCGGCGAGCACACAACAGCAAGGGCAGGGGCAGGGGCAAGGCGGTAGCGGTACGGGCAACTCGAGCGGACCAAGCAGCCCCACCAAGCGCAGCACAATATCGACAAAGGAGCGTGTGATCGACAGCGTACCCTTTCCGCCGTCCCGCAAACTCACCTGCGCGGATGTGTTCGATGCGCGGACCGGCAAGCCGCAGCACGATGTCCTCAAGCAGCACTTCATACTGGAGGGCAGGATCGAGGAGAGCGCCGCCCTGCGCATCATCCAGGAAGGCGCCACCCTGCTGCGCACGGAAAAGACGATGATCGACATTGAGGCCCCGGTGACGGTCTGTGGGGATATTCACGGTCAGTTCTACGATCTGATGAAGCTGTTCGAGATCGGAGGCTCGCCGGCGACCACCAAGTATCTGTTCCTGGGCGACTACGTCGATCGGGGCTACTTCAGCATCGAGTGCGTGCTGTATCTGTGGTCGCTGAAGATCACCTATCCGCAGACGCTGTTCCTGCTGCGCGGCAACCACGAGTGCCGGCACCTGACCGAGTACTTCACCTTCAAGCAGGAGTGCAAGATCAAGTACTCGGAGCGCGTGTACGACGCCTGCATGGACGCGTTCGACTGCCTGCCGCTGGCGGCGCTGATGAACCAGCAGTTCCTCTGCGTGCACGGCGGCCTGTCGCCGGAGATCCACGAGCTGGAGGACATACGGCGGCTCGACCGCTTCAAGGAGCCGCCCGCCTTCGGCCCCATGTGCGACCTGCTGTGGTCGGACCCGCTGGAGGACTTCGGCAACGAGAAGAACTCGGACTTCTACACGCACAACTCCGTGCGCGGCTGCTCGTACTTCTACAGCTACGCCGCCTGCTGCGACTTCCTGCAGAACAACAACCTGCTGTCGATCATCCGGGCGCACGAGGCGCAGGACGCCGGCTACCGCATGTACCGCAAGAGCCAGACCACCGGCTTCCCCTCGCTGATCACCATCTTCTCGGCGCCCAACTATCTCGACGTGTACAACAACAAGGCGGCGGTGCTGAAGTACGAGAACAACGTGATGAACATCCGGCAGTTCAACTGCTCGCCGCACCCCTACTGGCTGCCGAACTTCATGGACGTGTTCACCTGGTCGCTGCCCTTCGTCGGCGAGAAGGTCACCGAGATGCTGGTGAACGTGCTGAACATCTGCTCCGACGACGAGCTCATGACCGAGGAGAGCGAGGAGCCGCTCTCGGACGACGAGGCGGCGCTGCGCAAGGAGGTGATCCGCAACAAGATCCGCGCCATCGGCAAGATGGCGCGCGTCTTCTCCGTGCTGCGCGAGGAGTCCGAGTCGGTGCTGCAGCTGAAGGGGCTGACGCCCACGGGCGCCCTGCCCCTCGGCGCCCTCTCCGGCGGCAAGCAGTCCCTGAAGAACGCCATGCAGGGCTTCTCGCCCAACCACAAGATTACCTCGTTCGCGGAGGCCAAGGGCCTTGACGCCGTCAACGAACGGATGCCGCCGCGCCGGGATGCCACGCCCTCGCCGGCGGAGGAGGGCCAGAAATCACTGTCAGCCGCGGCAGCAGCAGCGGCCAATGCAAATGCGAATTCAATCAATGGATAATTCTAAGTCAGTTAGCCACAGCCACAGCTAAAGCTAAGTAACAGTCAAGTTAGTCAGTCGGATCGATGGATGGATGGTTGATCGGTGGGATCTGTGGATCTGTGGGATCTGCGGATCTGTTGGGGATCGAAGGAGGAGCAACAGCAAAGTCAGTTGGTAGTCGACAGTTAAGCAGCAAAACGGTGGGAGGGAGTCAGCAGAACAGTTCGAAAGAGAAGAATAGTCTCAAGTTCGGCTCAAAGAATATTACAAAAAAACAACTGGGCGGCATACAGACAAAAAAATAACACAGCTAATTGAAAGATCATGATATACTGAAGGCGAAGTTGATCGAGGATAGTAAGGATCAAGAGCAGAGACACCACAACAACAACAGCAACACGAAACAACACAGCAAGCGTTAACGAGTACTTATTGGTATTAAAAAGCAAGCAGTTAAAAGTAACAATGCGAAACACCCCCTAAAAACGGAAACTAATTATAAAGTTGAAAGATTATAGAGTTATATATATATACGTATATATATATATATCAAAATTTTGTGCAACGTTATATCAAAAGAGCAAATGTAAAAGCTAAGCGAAAGTTTAAAAAAAAGAGAGCGCATGCGCCCCAGGCTTTTGGCAAGCAGTTGAAAAATGAAGCAGTAGACAGATGCAAAAGCAGTTGCAAGTTGCGCGCATTCCCCCATTTAAAGCAAAAATCTAAATACAAGCAAATTAGGTAATTTAAATTATTTGCTAACAAATTGTAAAACGAATCGAAAAACAACTTTCATCTCTGTAAAGTCAAACTAAAACGAAGTGACAAAAGCTAAAAGAGAACTAAATCTAGCATCTTAACTGAAACTAAAGTTAAAAGAAATTCTACTACTTTCGTTGTGTGGCGTCTGCGGCGACTTCTTCTCAAAAACAAACAAAAAAATATACAAAAAAAAAAAAAACAAAAAATGAAAGATTGAAACAACTTCCTACAACAACAACAGCAGCAACAATATTTTACTACAATATTTTAATACAAGAACAAGAAACGACTGAATCTCTCTCTATCTATCTAACTATCCGACTCTTTCTCTCTCACACACACACACACACACACACACACCCACATCATACAACACACCACACCATACACGTACATTAACAAAACGAGGCCATGATCCAACTCAAAGTTGATCAGCCTCGCCGATCGTTTATCGGTAATCGTTTATCGTCGCCATTGTCGCCTCACACTCTCTCATCTGGTGATTGTGTATGTGGTCTTTATATACGTGCCATCTTTGTCGTAGTCATTAGCTGAATATATAATTAATACATTTGCATGGGCCGCAGCGATGCAGGCGCCAGTGTTGTGCCACCCCACCTCCAGCCGGCCACCAATCGAAATAATCGAACTAATCGAAGTTATCGAAATAATCGAATCTCAAGGCGCGTCGATTCTTAAACCCTCCCTCCCTCCCCCTCTTCTCCATTGCAACCCACGTTCCCCTCCGTCATTTGCGCCTGCGTCGTCTTCGTGAGCGTGTGCAAATCCTTTTTATACTTAATGGAATTTTAGTTACTTTTTAAAGTCGATGGATGAGATGAAGATGATAATGTAGAGGAGAAATTAAAGGGGGATAATATGATGATCAGAGCAGAACAGAGCAGAAGCCTAACTGAAGAATATGTAATAAACGTGTGCAAAGGGAATTTTGTTATTTCTTAAATTTTTATATTTCTTGTTAATTTTTTTATAATTTGTATTTATTGTAAACTATTTATATATATACTTATATATACACACACAATCAGCAACACACATAATATAAATACATAAATATATATTTATAAACTAAATTGTTGTTTCTACTTCATTATTGTTTACTACACCTTTTTCTATAAGCGTTAAGTAATTTAATTAAATGAATTTAATAAAATGAAAAATTAAACAAACAAAAAACCGCCTGCAGCCAAACAGGGCAAGGCAAAACGTTTTCTTAAACAAAAATAATTATATTCTACAATAAGACGTAAGGGAAGAATCATTAACAACAACAAAAAAAAAAAAACCGAACTATGTGAATTAACTATTAAGTTTAAATTATACAAACAAGAAGATTAAAATTAAACCAAATAACGTTTACAACCAATAACAAAAAAAATATGTTGAAACCAAAAAGCAAACAATTGTGCAGCATGCAAAAACACAAAAAAAAAAAAATAAAAAAAAAAGAAAAAACAATTTTTCAAATTCGACAAGACAACAAACAAACCCAATTTAAAGTTTAAAGAAAATGTAATACAAAATGCAAACTTATAGCAATTTGAAGTACTTTATAAACAAATATACATACATACGCCTAAGAGAACGTATATACACATATATATATAAATATATATATATATATATTTGAAATAGTTAAGGGTCGAAGTTGGTACTATGATTATACGCACGGCTAATTTGCAAATAAAAATGTGCCGCTAGTCCACTTTTACGGGTGACAACGTTTGGTTTTCAATTTCCAAATGAGGTTTTAATCAATAACAGTTTAGTGACTTACTAATTTGCGAATAGGCAAGCAACTACGATTGTTTGTATTGGCCAAATGAGGCGAGCGTATAAGCTTAGTACGAGACGAAAAGAGAAGGAGATATAGAGCGAGTGGCAGCTAATCGAATATGAAAGATAGAAACGGAAAAAGCTAAAGAAAGCGAAATGCAATAGTGCAGCAGCAATCAGAAGTGCAGTAAAAGTCGATGACAAATTCGAATTAAGTTGTTAGGCACCCATAAACACCCACATACCCACACATACACACGCAGCATTGCTTTTGGCGAGCGAGAGGGATGGAAAGCATGCTCGGTGAGCATGCTTTGCAAGCAGTTCAGGCAGCCGCTTTCCACTTTTCGCTGCCGCTTCTTCCTCGCGTGTTTTTTGCCTTTGCGCGGGTGCCCATGCGCAGCAGCAGCTACGTCATTAAGCAGTTAATGGTTACAGATGATTTACATTTATATATATTTACATATATATATATATATCCATATACAATATAAACCGATCTAAAGTTAAGCGTTTCACACACAGACACAACAATTTACAAGACGTTTATGCATTTCGATTCAATGAAAAACCAAGAATACGAATAATACAAATATTATAAACAATAATTACAACCATTAAAGGATTACAGCAAACAAGCTCTTACTATTATTTTTAAAGTAAATGAGAAATTTTTAACAAATTACCGCAACCCATATACATATGTATAGCATATAACTGAATACTTTTCTCCTCCCACGTTCCCACAATACAAAACAAAAAAAAAACCAAATAAAAACCTAAATTACAAATTAGCGCGCTCTTCTAAAATAAAAAACAAACTCAAAAACCAAAGTAAAATTAAATTAATATACACTTATATGAGAAGAAACCCAAAACCAAAATATTTAACATATTACGACTAAGCAAATAATATATAAAATACTTTTATACTATATACACGAAGCCTAAGAACTAAACAAATGCGAAACAAAATTATAATATTGACCCTCTCGCTCTACCCTCTCCATTCTCCTGTCGTCCTGCTCTTCGCTCTCCTTTTTCTATCTCTATCTCTCTTTTTTCTACTGTCTATCTCGCACTCAAAAGCTCTTGACTCCAACTTCGACCTTGACCCTTTCTATCCGGTCTCTCTCTTTATCTATCTCTCTCTGTCTATTCAGTGACCTAAGAACCCAGCAAAAATGCGAAACCAAACCAAATCCAAACGGTAATATAACAACACTTTTTAACGGTACATTTTCTACTACACCATATATGAATACGAAATAGAAGAGAAGAAGAAGCGAATATAACTTTAAAAAAACCAAGTTACCAGTTACAGCAAACCACAAACTCAAAAAAAAAAAAAAAATCAGGCCAGTTTTGAATTTCACTTTTGGTAGGATGTCAAGCCACTTTAAAAATTGTCAATAGTATGCTGTAAAAAAATATTTTAGTCCTTTGTCACTTAACAATCGGATTTTTGAATGCAAACTGTATTGTGGTAACATTTAGACACTTTCGTATGTGATTTTAAACCTTTCAAAAAGAATACTACAGCAAATTAATTTTAGCGAACTCGTACCGAAAGTTTAATCAAAAAGAGCCGGTTAAAAATAATTCCAAAAACGCATATTAAACATTTACGTTTGATTTGAAATTTTGTTGGACTGTTAGTTTGTCGATTAGCTTGAACTACTAAGTACAATCAAATACTTAAGTCGTTTTAGGTAAGCCATTTTGTTAACCAATTGTTTTTTTTTTATAAACGTATATATACTTATTAAATTAAACGAGAATAAAAGAAAATGGGAAGATTTCTTGTTTTTCGTTTTCACTCATCTACATTGCAAATGCAACTGAAAATCTTTTCATGTATGTATGTATGTAATTATATACGTTACCTTAATTTTTTTGATACATGTATTTTTCAACATCTACTTCCTGCCCTCGAATGCTTTAAAACTTTACACGAAAAAGAAAACAATTTAATATATATTATAAACCAAAAAGAAAGGACAAAGAAAAACAAAAAAACAAGAAAAACCAAATGAAGAAAAACCAAAAAAGAATTAAAACTTTACCTTTTGGATAAATCAATTTAAATGCATATTTTATATATATTTAAACATTTATTTATATATAACATGTATGATAAATATAAGTTGGAAAAACTTTGTCGAAGCAAAAAGTTTATATACTTATATTAAAAACAAATGAATGAAACAAAAACAAAATAAATAATATTAAAAATGCAACATAACAAATTAACAACAAGAAAACATCACATCTAGATAAATCTCTTAAAAATTTTCAATTTTATTATTAAACCGAAAAGAAACAAAACAAAAGTTAATGAATAAAAAAATTTATAACTGTATTGCAAGGGCAGCTGGCTGGCAAAAATTACATAATTATTGCGCCGTTGTGACAAAAATTGTATGCAATCCAAGGAATAACAAATTAATTTACAAGATACAGATAATGGAGAAGTAGAGGATGGAGAATAAAAGAAGGCAACAACAAAATGCAGACAACAAGTTTTAACCTTAAGTGAATGCAAAACAAAATGAAGAAAACCAAACAAAACAAAATGATTATCAATGTTATTAACATAATTAATATTAACAAAAATGAGAAAACAAGCAAAAAACAAAAACAACAAAAAAAAAAACAATACAAAAACATTAAAAAAATATACAAGTACCTATCCTGAGAATAAAATGCGCGCACATTTATTATTTCCTCTAAAAGTTCGTTTAAGTCACTACAAGTCCTTTTCGACGCTGGGGAATTTCAGGATTTAATTCAAGGGCATCGTTTTAAAGGCTCCCAATAGTAATTTGTCTGTGAAGTGTTTGAAATTGGCTCCACTGCAGTGTGGTTGAAGGTTTTTAAAAGAGTTCAAACGAACTGCTTTAATATTTATAATTTTCCCATGACTAGGAAAGTTTTGGTTCAAGCTGGCCGTTATTGATTATAAATATTTTTACTTGTTTAAACTATTTCGATGATTTTTTGGCATATATTAAATTGGTATATTGACTTATTGAGAGTAATCGTATTTATCATTTATCAAATTAAGTTTCGTTTTTCAGTAAGCTTAGTTTAAATTGTACAAATTAATAAAAAGAATATTATATGACTTAAAGAAGTATTTATCAGCACAGCTTACTAAAAAATATTTAGTTAAAATACGTAACAAATTAATATAAAATGTCATGCAAGGGTAATTTTAATTAGCATACATTTTTGAAACCAAACATTTTTAATTTTGGCGCCGAGTGCTTATCAAAGTTAAGTACCGTATGGTAAACTTTTTTTTGTGTGTCTTCAAGACCTGCAATTTTGGTATTGTTTTAAGATGAAGTGCTAAAATATAAATGGAAAGAAAATTTTATTTAAATCCAACAAATATATACAATTTATAAAGCTTACATATATTTTAGATTTCAATGTTTTTGCACACTTTTAGGTTTGAGTCCCCGTTATCATTCCACTGAACGCATTCCAGCCTCCTGTGGTAAACTTTAGCTCCTAGCTACGGTCACACTGCTGAAAATTCCATTAAAACGAGAAAAAACGTAGCGAAAGAGAGAAATTACGACGTCTGCAGGGCCGTAGCGAAAAACTAGCAAATAACTGAGACATCGTGACTATGTTAGTTGTTAAGTAAAAGCTGAACTTAAGAAAAACGGCCAGCGCCACAGGGAAAGCAGCGGAGTCAGCGTTTTTCAAAAGCCAGCAGAAGCGAATCCAAAGCTGGAAGGCGATAAAGCGGCTCACCAGGCACCACCAACAACAACAACAGCAGCGCAGTCAGGGAAAGTGCGAAAGTGTGAGTGAGTGTGTGTGGTGTGTGGGCAGTGGAAACTGAACTGAGCCGAGAGAGAGCGAGAGGCGAGAGCGAGCGGCTGAGTGGAAGTGGAAGTGGGAGCGGGAAAGGAGCAGTCCGTTTCCTGAATCCCGAATTCCGGAATAGAAGCCACCAGGCGACCAGACGACCATCATCATGTCCTCGAATAGCCAGAGCAGTGTTGTTGGCCAGACGGCAACAAGTGCCCGTACCGCTGGCGGTGCCAACACCGCTGCGTCGGCGGAAGCCACAGATGCCAATAGTACCACCTCCAGCAACAGCAACAACAATAACAACAACAACAATGGCAGCAGTACCGCTGCAGCGGGCAACAACAGCGACAGCAGTCCCACCACTGGAACGGGAGCGGCGAGCACTGGAAAGCTGCTGCACGGCGGCCACACGGCTGTGAACACCAAGGAGCGGGTGGTGGACAGCGTTCCCTTTCCGCCCAGCCACAAGCTGACGCTGGCCGAGGTGTTCGACCAGCGGACCGGGAAGCCGAACCACGAGTTGCTCAAGCAGCACTTCATCCTGGAAGGTCGGATCGAGGAGGCGCCCGCCCTGAAGATCATCCAGGACGGAGCCGCCCTGCTGCGGCAGGAGAAAACGATGATCGACATCGAGGCGCCGGTGACGGTGTGCGGCGACATCCACGGCCAGTTCTACGACCTGATGAAGCTGTTCGAGGTGGGTGGATCGCCGGCCAGCACCAAGTATCTGTTCCTGGGCGACTACGTCGATCGGGGCTACTTCAGCATCGAGTGCGTGCTGTATCTGTGGTCGCTGAAGATCACCTATCCGCAGACGCTGTTCCTGCTGCGCGGCAACCACGAGTGCCGGCACCTGACCGAGTACTTCACCTTCAAGCAGGAGTGCAAGATCAAGTACTCGGAGCGCGTGTACGACGCCTGCATGGACGCGTTCGACTGCCTGCCGCTGGCGGCGCTGATGAACCAGCAGTTCCTCTGCGTGCACGGCGGCCTGTCGCCGGAGATCCACGAGCTGGAGGACATACGGCGGCTCGACCGCTTCAAGGAGCCGCCCGCCTTCGGCCCCATGTGCGACCTGCTGTGGTCGGACCCGCTGGAGGACTTCGGGAACGAGAAGAACTCGGACTTCTACACGCACAACTCCGTGCGCGGCTGCTCGTACTTCTACAGCTACGCCGCCTGCTGCGACTTCCTGCAGAACAACAACCTGCTGTCGATCATCCGGGCGCACGAGGCGCAGGACGCCGGCTACCGCATGTACCGCAAGAGCCAGACCACCGGCTTCCCCTCGCTGATCACCATCTTCTCGGCGCCCAACTATCTCGACGTGTACAACAACAAGGCGGCGGTGCTGAAGTACGAGAACAACGTGATGAACATCCGGCAGTTCAACTGCTCGCCGCACCCCTACTGGCTGCCGAACTTCATGGACGTGTTCACCTGGTCGCTGCCCTTCGTCGGCGAGAAGGTCACCGAGATGCTGGTGAACGTGCTGAACATCTGCTCCGACGACGAGCTCATGACCGAGGAGAGCGAGGAGCCGCTCTCGGACGACGAGGCGGCGCTGCGCAAGGAGGTGATCCGCAACAAGATCCGCGCTATCGGCAAGATGGCGCGCGTCTTCTCCGTGCTGCGCGAGGAGTCCGAGTCGGTGCTGCAGCTGAAGGGGCTGACGCCCACGGGCGCCCTGCCCCTCGGCGCCCTCTCCGGCGGCAAGCAGTCGCTGAAGAACGCCATGCAGGGCTTCTCGCCCAACCACAAGATTACCTCGTTCGCGGAGGCCAAGGGCCTTGATGCCGTCAACGAACGGATGCCGCCGCGCCGGGACCAGCCGCCCACGCCCAGCGAGGATCCGCACCACCAGGCGGCGCAGCACAGTCAGCAGGGCGGCAACAATGGGGCTGGCCACGGGTAAGCGCTTCACCGCGAGCACCGACGAGCACGAGAACGAGGATGCGAGTGCGGAGGAGTCTGGCGGGGCTGGAGGACGGCGGCCCAGCGGTGGAGCGGAACGGAGCGGCGGCAACACAAAGAACACCAACCGAACGGAAACCTTAATTAAGCTTAATGTGGCAGAGCAACAACTTAAATACTAAAAACCAACTCTAATTCTAAGTACTTGGCATAACTCCCCGTGCATTTCGCGAGTGATCCCGCACCAGCACCAGCTCCATGCCAATGCCCATGTCCATGTTCAGGTCCATGGCCCAGAGCCTCCGAACGTAGCAGAGATTTGTTTTTACGCAGGCGCGCGCACATTGGATATTAGAATTATGTGTGGCATACTTTGGCGCGCCGGCGGCCCCCCAATGAAAATTCCCCTTCTCAAGAGCAGAAAGAAAACTAACCCGTAACCCATAACCTAGCCTAAGTTGTAATGTATAAACTGAAATGGAAAATTTTTAAATATGGAAAATGAACAAAAAACCGATAGAAGGAGAAAACCCCCCCGTTGAAGCAGGAAACACTTACCGAAATGAAGATGAGGCGGGTAAAAATCCAGCGCTAATCTGTTCCAAACATTTAGCAGCGCCAAAAAGAAGCGTACATATATGTATACATATGATTATATAGTAATATCGAGGCATAGGGCCGAGATGTAACCCAGAAAGTGTAATGAAATTCGAAATGAACAAAATCATTTGTGTAATAATCGTAATCCTTGAATTCTAGTAATGTAATCTTGCATAGAAAACAAAAACCAACAAACAATTTCGAAACCATTTGCAATATGTGCCGCAATAGTCCATAAATGTTCCTTATACGAATTAAACATTGAAAGCGAAACCAGAGTTTATTTTTTTTTTAATATATATAAATATATATGTATAATTGTTGCATAATCTAACTTTCGACTTAATATGTTACATTTAACATGTACGTGTACGACTGTGTGTGTATAACTACTTGCGTTTTATCAGTTGCTTGGCTTACGAAAAATAAGCAAAAAGAGAAGCGTTGTTTGAGGATCAAGTCTAGCTAATTAATCGATTGATGAATACGATCGATTACATTATCGTTAATGCATTTTAAACAACACTGACACACAGACACATGCAAACATAGAGAGAAAGAGAAAGAGAGAGAGGATCGGATCGTTTACCATTTAAATAGCAAATGAAATATTTAACTAATTAATTACTATGTAAACATACTAACGTATAATATATTCCTGCGTGTAAATTGAACTAAAAAATTCATTATTTAAGCAAGACGATTTTTGTTGAATGCGAATACACAGACACACACACACACACACACAACTAATTTCCCTTGACTTAAAAGCTAATTGAAAAGAGATTAGGCGAAAAAAGAGATGTATTTAAGTAAGTATAAGGCATGTAACACATCGGAAACGGATGAGTTTCGGCGTTTCAGATCAATTCAATGATAATGATGGCAATCAATTTCTCAATTTCCGCCTACACCTGTTCCAAAAACCCTTAATATATATATATATATATATATATATATCAGCTTTCCCAATATCGATATCAAATCAAAATATATACACACGCAAGAAATGCCTTCATCCAGATCACACTTTTCCACGTCCCCAGAATATTTACGCTGTACTTTGCTTCTTCAACCACCAATAATTGCATTAAACTCTAATCTAAATATGCATACAGAAATATATATATATATATTATATACCGAGTTGACATTGGAAAACAATTAGTTTTTAGTGATCTATGCACGTATCGTAACAATACCAAATTATTTAAATCGTAGCTAAAAGAAACAAATCAAGAATGAGCGGCAGTCTAGGAGGGAACTTAGCTTTTATAAAAAATATGAGAAAAAAAAAAATCAGACAACAATTTACTCAACTAAATGAGAAATATACATTTATATATATATATCGCGTTTTTTTTTAAATCCGCAAACACAACTATATAATTATTGAAGAAGAATGAAGATAAACGACGTTTAAGTTTTGATATTTTTGTTCTCTATATGGTAAAATTGTTGATACTGTTATACCGCAAATGCATATTTAGTTAGTACCGAGTGAAATGGGGAGTCCCCTTGAATCAAATTTAATTGCAATAGTCAAGAGTATGAAACTGATAAACGACAACACCAAAAGTTAATTGTATACACTTGGAAAACTAATCGGCTTGGATCTTAGAAAATCGTCATTTGTATTTCTCTGCTTTTGAAAACACTGAGTTTAACAAACAAAATGAATTTTTAATAACTTTCACATTCCCTTTTTTTTGCTAGCATTTCATTCAATCTAAAAAAAAAGTTTCTTTACGAAACCCTTATATATCTTTAATTACCATTTGAAAATGGCACAAAGAATTATAATGTCAGAATGCAGTTTTTAAACCTAGTTAAAGTATGCCATATTTTTGAGTACGACCTCAGTCATTTTCCACAAAACATATAGCTACTAAATTAGGGCATTCCTTAAAGTTTTCTGGAGTGTGGCTCCTTCGATTATACTTCTGATATTTAGGGCGATTTTTATTCCGAGTGTATCAAAAGCAAAGGCCATGGTAAAGTATTAAGCTAAGGATTTATGATAACTCTACATTATGTATAACTAACGGTACATTTGCTTAGCTCCCTCGATAATGAAAGTAACTACTGCATGAGGCATAGGAAAACTTCCCGGCACATAGTAAAAATAAATAAATGAATAGAACAATAGAGGGAGATGTGTAGATTTTGATAATACATCAAGGCCATACCAAAGTACTTATGGGAACTATTGAAAAGCATTAAAACGTTCAACATAACACATAATACCCAGGATAAAAAAGCAGAATCAAAAGTGCGGGAACGGGACGGCTGCATGGTACCAGTGGCGGATCCACGGGGGGGGAAATTAGGGAAATTTCCCCCCTTGGAACCACAGAACCTGAAAATTTTACTTGTTTGCTATGGTTGACTTTTCAAATATAACCACTTTGTTTACCAAAAAATTGGGATGGATAATTTTTGTTTTATAATTTGTACTGTATTTCTCTCGCAATAATAAGTTTGAACCCCAAATCGAAGAATAAGTTCAATTTTCCCCCCCAAGAATCGTCTCTGGATCCGCCACTGATGGTACATACATATATAAGACATTTCGCCTCTTAAAGCAATTATAAAGATAACAAATGAGTAACGTTTATTATATTATTAAATTATACATACATATACATACTATATAAACGGAATAAAATAAATCAGCAGCAAAATTTCCATTTTATGGCTGTCGATTCCTTGTTTTTTTGGGATCAAACTATCTCTGAACTTAATTTCATCGAACAAACGGAGCTGTCAAAAGCATATAGCCCAGCCCGATCCGGAAAACATTCAGTTTGCTACCGGAGCTCAACCGGAGCACAACTCCCTTTTCGGAAAAATAAAGTTCAAAATTAAAAGTGAAGCACAGGTGAGATCAAAATTTCCAAAAAAAAAAAGAAAACCAAACAAAATTTCAAAAAATACAAATTTCCCTTAGAATTTTATTGGTATCACACAAACGCACACATTATTGTTTTCTTCAACGACTCAAATGAATTTATCAATGGTTTTGGCCCTCTCTTCCCGATGGAATTGAAGTGGTAAGTCCCCCAATATTCCCACATTGTAGCAATACCTGATCTTTTAACCCTCGACAGGCCCCATTGGCGAAATACACAGACAGGATATCTGGTTTAGAGATATCGTTCGTCGTCAGATGTCAGCAAAGAATAATAGAGTTAGCCCAAACAAAGTTCATTGACTCCAACCTGATGGTACCGGTCCCGCAGGACGTGCAGCTCGCATCGGAATACTCCAACACAGACTTGTGTAAAAATGTTTATTGTTGTTAAATTTTGCCTAACTAAAATGCTATAATATAAATATGTTCCAGTTTTTTTTTATTTTGCAAAACCAAGAATACCATTAAACTCGTTGTTTAGAAATCTTAATAAGTGGGGAACTAAAATATAAAACAAAGCACAACAAAATGAATAAAATACTTTAAACATTTTTAAGGAAATATTTTGTGACTTTTAAAATTGAAAAAAATTAGTTGTTAAAATCAGAATTTATATTTTGTTGACATATTTTCTTTGTGCTCAAACGAGTTTTTTTTAAATTAATTTTTACTTTAGAAAAAACATAGTTGAAGTAATGAAGTTGTTTGGCTTATTCAACAATCTTTTTAAAATAAAACTGAATATTTGGTGTTTTGCCGGCTCAAGGTCTGGGTGATATTAAAAACACAATTTATGTTTTTTAACTAATATATTTCGGCTGCTCCTTTAAAATAAAACTTAAATAAAAAACCATACGAAATGCTTTAGCTAGCTAAGACACCTTCCATACGTATCCGAGTTCCGAATCACAACTAGCCTAGTGAGGACAGCATCTAAATCTAGCAAATGCATCCACCACCATTCGCGTCCATATAAATATGGGCATTTTTTCTAACACTTCCGCGGTCACACTGGCAAAGAGCGAGTTTTTTACCGCCCAAAATAAGTAAATTATTAGTTTTTTCTGGTCGTCAACGACAATTCATTTGGCCATAGGAAATTATCAACACAAATTGGCAGTTAAATACGTTATCAACTAAACGGAGCGGCGATAAAACGTAAGGGAGAGCGGCGAAGAGAGGAAAACAAATGCTCCCGCCCGCGTGTATGCAAGTGTATGAGTGCGCGGCGGGTGTCCATGTGTGCGTGTGTGTACGAGGAGAAGTGGAAAGTGTGTGATGTGCAGTCGCTCTCCGGGCGACCAAAAAAATCATTCAACTGTAGTTTTTAATGAACGGCTGAGCCAGCGAGCAGGAAACGCGATCGCTCCACCCCCCCCGCCAATCTCAGTCAGTCTAAAGTATCTGTTGTTGTTTTTATCAAGGAGAGGCGCCGGAACCGAAAAAAAGAAACCAACACCCACAAAGGCAACCAAGTCGCGTCATCAGTGGAAGTGGAGAGGCAACACAACACAATAACAGCAGTAGAGCAGCAGCAGCAGCAGTAGCAGTGGTTTTCCAGCTCCAGTCAGAGTCCTTAAAACATGGACAGTAAGGGTCGCAATGTCATCGTCTGTGATAACGGCACTGGGGTAAGATATAACGGGGGTCCCCGCTCTCCCACTCACCCGTACCACCCACAATCACCCACACAACTACACACCTGCACCTACTCTGTGTGTGACACACATTTCCAAAGCCAAAGCCGTGTTGTTGTTGTTCGTTGCTGCTGCGCTTCTTTCATTTCATTTCTTGTAGGTTAAGCAGCGCTTGGTTCTAAACTGCTTGCCGCGCAGCGGGCGTTGACGTTGCGATTTAGTGAAGCAGTTGTGGCAGTTGCAATTACGGGTGCGCTTCTTCTTGCTCATCGCGCTTGGCTTTAGTCACTGGAACATAAGCGATCGGCGATTACTCAGCAGCGGTTACTCACTCACACTCACACGTACACACACTTACACCTTTTGCGGCACAAGAACAACAACAACAACAAAAGCAGCGACTATACGGCTATTTCCAACATTCAGTTCTTATCGGGAAGCCGGAGAATTTTTGTTTTGTGATTACGCCTCGATTTCGATAAGAGTTCGATAAACCAAAGCAGCTAAAGAGCAAAGAAATGCTACACTGAGAAAAGAAGATCTAACGGGAGGGATTCCATGATAAACTTCAACAATATTGTCAAAATTTAATTTACATAGAAAAATAGGATAGAATAGGAACTTTTACTACATTGAAAGAGACGATATTGGTTATTTAAAATTTTTAAATTTGAAATACTCAAGAGAATAAATAAACAATTCCTGTTTTAACATTTTATTTGAACATAGTTTTCTTCTCTGTATAACAACGTCTGATCAACGCTTTCCTTACCAGCACAAGATAGTGCCTTACAAAGTTTGGACAGTAATACATGTATATGAATATTCATATTTAATATTTCCATTCTGTGTATCTAAATATTTAAAAGCTAAAAAAAACCTTTGGATCCAAAATTATAATATTGAATCAAATTGAAATATGATTCCCACTAAGTATTATTTCTTCATATAATACATAATGTGTAATAATTCGTAGATAATAATGACATTCTGGCTTTACTTACAATCTTAACAAATATTAAACACTCTTTATATTGCAGTTCGTCAAGTGCGGATATGCCGGCAGCAATTTCCCAACCTTCATTTTCCCCTCGATGGTGGGACGACCCATGATCCGGGCGGTGAACAAAATCGGCGACATCGAAGTGAAGGTATGTTCCATCGTACTTACCAATTTACCAATTCAAACTCAATAAAGTACATAAAAAGATAATACAACCACACACTACACATATTGAATTTTGCACAGGCCATCAAATACATAACCACATACAATATCATTTTTTCGATGTAACTTATCCATGACTAGTTAAACGGCAAGATAAACATTTAGCGCATAGAAGATCACTATCCACCAATCACCCGCCATATTTTTCACCCCCACCCCATCTGATTTTTGAGTCAAACTGCTCTGTTTTCTATTCTGTCTATTAGTGTGGCATATCTACTTAAACCTATGATTTCTTTTCGATTTATCCCATTCACACTCACATATCATTTCATTATCCATCTTGATTTCATCACTGGAACTCTTCTCCCAACATTGCATTTTTGCTTGAGTTGCATTGGTCTCGGTGTGTGGGTCTCTCATATTATAATATTATATATGCGTACTATGTGTATTATGGTACTTGAATATAACGCCGTTCCGGGGATATCCTATTTCAGCCCAGGCTTAGGATAAGATTAGAAATTGATGGATATGGAGGCCGGACCACGAGGCTTTTAAGCTTTTTTAGTGCATCACCAATTTTCCCGAAAAGAAACACACATTTATCTCCTTCTATATAGATCCTTTCTAGCAGTTACTTTAGTTTAGACAGAAAATTACCAACAAACCCATGAAAAAGACACATCTTGAATAGCAACAACAAACGAAACCAAAAAAACATATTTTAAAATTTATAATCTTTCTGTTCTTTTTAATATTCTTATACATTTTTCTGTTCTTTTTTTTTACATATTTTTTTAAAAACAAATATTTTGCAGGATTTACATGTCGATGTAAGTCAAGTTTGTATAGTTTAAAAAACCAAACTACCACTAAGAATTCTAATCACCAAGCAACACAAAAATCGAACCTCATTCGGCAAAGGTTAAATAATACAAATTTCTACAGGCAGAGAAAAAGTATACCAAAATATAATTTCTGTAGGATCAGCTTACATAATAATAGAATGAAATAACCATCAGATACCTGTTTTGTTTTTGTTTTTGTTCGCTTTAATTTTGATTTTATTAACGGTATGTAATCTAATAGGGTAAAATATAATTTACATATTTAAATTACAGCAACTTTCTATTTGCGAATTACAATCAACGAATTGTGAAAAAAGATCATTTCGGTGGGACTTTTATATGAAAGGTTTCTATTAAAATTGAAGGGAATATAGCACAATGATTTTGGTATATTTTTCTCTCTGTGTACGATTTACATGATACGAAAACATAAAACAACTCGCTTGACAACATATTTCGAAATTTTCTTGAATAATTCTAGTTGAAGCTACGCACTTAGGATTAACTAATTAACTGTTAACTGTTCACATTTCCACTAGTTGTTTGCCTTGAATATTTTCCCAACTATTTTCCGGCCCTGCCCAACAATATTGTTGCTTCCTTTTGGCCACCATCTATAATTATTCTAAATACACAAGCAAAAAAACCTTTAATATCGATTAAATCCGATCAATCCGAGGCGTGCCAAAAAAAAAGAAATCAAATCTAATCGAATATATTTAATTTAACGACAACGACTTTCGTAAATATATAATTTTTGTTATTTAACTTGTATTCCTTTGTTTTCCCCCGAAAAAGAAACGATTTTTTAACCAGCTCACCCAATTGTTTTGTTGTACATAAGTTAAGGCTACCTAATTCAATTGTTTGTTGCTTTTATTGTTGATTACCTTAAGAAGAACCCGATCATTTTCTCGACTGCATGATAAACTGTTTTTGCTTAAGCCTAGTTTACTCCCCAGTTTGTTTTGCACGTCTGTGTTTGTCCATGTTTGGGGTGTAATCCCAGCCAGGAGACTCCTGGGCTAACTCGCTTATTGTTGTCTCTTGTTAATCGTTGATTGTTTAGCCTAGTCTAGTTTCGTCCTTGTACCGTGATCGCTTTTATTGTGCCAAAGCCCCCTGTGAATGTCCGCCCAGACTAACGCTTACCATCCCAGCCACTAAAACGCAAAGCCTGCCTGAAACCGAATTTATATGAAACCATAACCAAATCCGAATCCAAATCCAACTCCAAATCCAAACCCAAACCTGAGCCCATCCAAAATCCAACCCAAAACCCCAATGGTTTACGCATTGCCAAGCCATGGAGACTAACGCTGCGTCCTCTGACGAACGAATTTACAGGATCTAATGGTCGGCGACGAGGCATCGCAGTTGCGGTCTCTGCTGGAGGTCTCCTATCCGATGGAGAACGGCGTGGTGCGCAACTGGGACGACATGTGCCACGTGTGGGACTACACGTTCGGCCCAAAGAAAATGGACATCGATCCCAAGAACACAAAGATCCTGCTGACAGAGCCACCCATGAATCCCACAAAGAACCGCGAGAAAATGATCGAGGTGAGTGCACTATTAAATATGATAAAATTGGAAATTAAAGATTGCATCTGCTGGCAAAGAAAGTATTAAATGTCACTGATCTCTATAAGGATTTAGATTTTTAAGAGCTTACTTAATTATAATAAATACTTAACAATGATTTATTGTTTCTTCCGTTAAGGTGATGTTCGAGAAGTACGGCTTCGATTCCACATACATTGCCATCCAGGCTGTGCTGACGCTATATGCCCAGGGTCTGATATCGGGCGTGGTGATCGATTCGGGCGATGGTGTAACGCATATATGTCCTGTCTACGAGGAGTTTGCCTTGCCCCATCTGACGCGGAGACTGGACATCGCTGGCCGGGACATCACCCGCTACTTGATAAAGGTATGTCCCGAAAACGTATTACATTGCAGTGTTCTGTTACTCAGATCTCGATTTCTTGATTCAATAGTTACTGCTACTGCGTGGCTATGCTTTCAATCATTCCGCTGACTTCGAAACGGTGCGCATCATGAAGGAGAAGCTCTGCTACATCGGCTACGACATCGAGATGGAGCAGCGGTTGGCCCTGGAGACGACGGTGCTGGTGGAGTCCTACACACTGCCCGATGGACGGGTAATCAAGGTGGGCGGTGAACGATTCGAGGCGCCCGAGGCCCTCTTCCAGCCGCATTTAATCAACGTCGAGGGCCCCGGCATCGCGGAACTGGCCTTCAACACAATCCAGGCGGCAGACATCGACATTCGGCCCGAGCTCTACAAGCACATAGTCCTCTCCGGCGGCTCCACCATGTATCCGGGTCTGCCCAGCCGGCTGGAAAGGGAGATCAAACAGCTCTACTTGGAGCGGGTACTCAAGAACGATACGGAAAAGCTGGCGGTAAGCTGACAAAATATGGGGGGTTATATCTTATTAGGTGATACTTGTATATATAAACTCTGAGGAATATGTTTCTGGTGAACTTATATCAATTTATATCATTTGGAGGCATGCTGGAAAATCTTAGAAAATATCTTTGCCTGTTACTTTATCTAAGATAATTGATTTAAAAGGGCTCTTGGTTAAAAAGGATGTTACAAGGCTTTTAGATAAAAGAGATTAACCAAAACATTTCTATTTTATAACAGTAGTTGTGTTCAATTTGATTCGACCATTTTAGATAATATCTTTTTTGCAAATAATCTAAGTATACGTACAAGGTCAAACTTTTGATTAAAATAGAGTTTTTAATTTTGGAAGGTTTTTTGGTCAACAAATCAAAGAAATTAAAGCGGTTTCCATTTTCTAATGTTTCTTTTGTGCAATTTTACAGAAATTCAAAATACGTATTGAGGATCCGCCGCGGCGCAAGGACATGGTCTTCATCGGCGGCGCTGTGCTGGCGGAGGTGACGAAGGACCGCGACGGCTTCTGGATGTCACAGCAGGAGTACCAGGAGCAGGGCCTCAAGGTGCTGCAGAAGCTGCAGAAGATCAGTCACTAGAAGCGGCGAGGATGAGGAGAAGGAGAACGTGGAGGAGGAGGAGGAGACTGGTGAGAAGGAGTGCGAGGACTACTGCGAAAAAGTGGAGTCGATTGGGCCCCCGAGAAATAGGATGATCAATTGTATAATTTTGTTTTGGCTAGTTTGTATAAGTTGAAAATCTTCAGTTTTGCGTGATGTATCTGTCTAAATGTGTGTGTTTTTTTTTGTTGTGTGTGTATGCCAGCGTTAGTGGGCGTGTCTGTTGAACAGGATTTATTTGGCCCACTGTCGTTAGAGCTCCGTACATCGCAGACATGCCGAAACTAGAAGCTGCTCGTTGATTCCACCCCCGTACAATAAATTGTAATATTTCTTTGCTGCTGCGAGATCAGCGCTAAAAGTATGTAACTCGGTTCGATCGACTAAATTAACTTTTGTGTAACTCGGCATTAGTATGGTTATTTGATAATGATTAAGCCTAATCCCCCCTTGTTTTGCTAAATATACATATACATATATATTTATATATATATATTAATTTCCTGCGCCTGGAGTGTATCGATATTTTTGTAGACGCAAAATGTTTCATTTCGAGCGAGTATTTCACATTAAGTATTAACTAGGCCAAGTCTGCAAGTGGCAGCGATTGAAAATCGTGAAAGAGAAAGAAAGGAGGAAAGAAGGAGAGGAATAGGGCAAGAAGAAAGCTGCACGGCACAGAAGGAGAAAGAGCGATGGGCGGTGGGATGGATGGTCGTCCTGCTGCCATCGCCAACTAAATACACTGATTAACCGGTTAGCCTTTCCCCACCTTGATTTAATTTAAGCATTTCTGGCCTATCTCCAATCTCCGATCCAGCTAGATAAAGATACGCCAGCACGTCTGCCACAAGTTCATGCATTTAATAAGTTGCCCGATAATCGAAAACAATAATAATACAACCAGCTGAAAGTGTTTATTTTGACTTAATTCCCCTGCCTGCCTTTTATAGTTAGTTGCAATTCGATGATTGTTGGGGCAAAGCGGACGGGACGCTACACATGCGAAACTATCGGCATATGTATAACATATATATGATCCATTTATATATATTTATATGTATAATGAGTGTGGAATGCCAATTATATAAGTAAATGCAATAAACATAATTATGTATGTATGATGTATACTGTAGTCTAAAGCTAAATCGTATCGTATATGACTTGGTTTTTTTTTACCAACTAAAAACGAAACAAGAATCACAATAAAAACAAACGAAAACAATCCAATCTGCGCTGTTTTATGACTGGGCGGCTTCCGATTGCCCACAGAACAAAAGAGACCAATTTATGGCCCCGTTTAAAACGCTCTACTAACTAACAATGGCAATGCTCTAATTTGGTCGTAATCAGTAGCGATGTACTCGGTACAAGTTGCTTAGACTCCGTTTGGCAAAAGGTGCAATATAATGCAATCAATGATCGACAACAAACAAAGAGTGCGAAGAACAAGAAGAATTGGAAATACCTTGACTCATCGGGTGGCGGATCTCTATTGGCAAGGGGATTTCAAAATGAGGCCATACTGTAGCTTACTAATACATAGTTTATTATTAAAATTACCTTTATGCTAAGTGATGATTTTGAACAACGCTGCATAATTTAATTTGCAAATATTTTTCATATTTATTTACTATTAGGTATATTTAAAGTCGAAAACTTTACTGTGCAACTTAATTGTTTCCATTTATCGCACGCGTAAATTAATTCAGATTTTAATTTTTAAAATTTAATTTTTTCTATTTTTTGATTGTATATTTTCAGTAGTTTTTTCGTTTTATTTTATATTTTATTTCATTTATTGTTTCACATTGAATGACATTCTTGAATTGAACTTTAAGTCTTTATTTTGTAGCAATTATATTATTTACTATAATTTTATTTCCTATTGTTTCATTATGTTTTTAATAAAACTTTGAAAATTTCTTTAAGTTGTATTTAAATAATTAGTTTCTTTATTAGTTTTAACTTTGTATATTAAACTCATGATTTCGTTCATATAAATTCAACCTATTGTTCTTAAAATGCTTATTTTAGTTTTCCAATTTAATATTACTCATTCTTGGGTTTTCTATTGGGAACTCTTGGTCCCTGAAGTAAGTGTTATCGCCACTTCTGATAATAAGTTCCAATTAAAGCTCTGTGAGGAGAAACAGAAGTTTATTTTAGGCCTTTACACTTACAAACTTTTCTGATTTACGGCCCATTATTATTCACATTCAGTTCGCACCTGTGGACTTCGATAAGGGGAATCCGGTCCGTCTGCTCGATGGTTCAGATAAGGTCTTTGCGATCGGCTCACTCCTCCGATTTGCTGCGCTGCTCAAGACAGTTTCAAATACGCCGCAGTATGGTAAACACCTATAAAACTCGAATGATGCAGTGGGTGTCAGTGATCGTGATTTTAATTCCGTTGCTACAAGGAGTTCAATCCGAGTTCGGTGATCTGGCTGGCAACTGGCAGGTGGATTATGGCCAATTGGAGCTCAAGCTATCGGAGGGTGAAAGCCAACAGCTGTCGTTGCACATATACAATGTAATGCCCAAGGATCCTTCGCTGGATTTCCAGTTCCTGGTTTACTCAAAGGACGAGCAGAGGGCTTCATCCTTGGCAACCATAAGAAAGGAGGACTTTGATATTCTGGGCAGCTGGCGGGGATTGGTGGATGTGACTGGAGTGCGCTTCGGATACAGTTCCCTGGAAGTGGAGCTGCAATCGAATGGAGAGAGCGAGTTGTATCCCGATCCTTTGAGGATTGCCATCCTGAGATCTCGGGTGGTGGATGAACGCATCACCACCTACGTCTCCGCCGCTTTGGCTTTGCTGATGTTCCTCAATTTGGGAACTGTTTTGGATCTGCATCGCCTGGCGGGAATTGTCTGCCGGCCAGTTGGTCCAGTGGTTGGAGTGGTCAGTAGGTATGTGCTGATGCCCGCTCTTGGCTTTGGCCTAGGCCGAGGTCTTTGGCCGGGATCGTGGCCCATGCAACTGGCCCTCTTTTACACCGCCTTGGCGCCCAGCGGCGGATTGGCCAATGTGTGTGCCGTGTTCCTCAAGGGAAACCTCAATCTCTCGGTGGCCACCACCACTATTAATAGTTTGCTGGCCCTGGCCTTTCTGCCTCTTTGGATCCTCGTGCTGGGCAGGCTCCTCTACGAGGACGACGAGCTGCAGGTGCCTTTTGGCGAGCTTTCTGGAGGAGCAGCCGCTTTGGTCGCCTGCTTGGCCATCGGCGTCATGCTGCGACTCTGTCTCCCAAGGACTACGAGGTTCATCTTTCGGTTCCTGAAGCCACTCTCCGTGGTCCTCAGTTTGTGCCTGGTCGGCTTGACCGTCGGACTCAACTGGTTCGTCTTCCTGGAGTTTACATGGCAGGTGAGTGACTTGCAGTAAACTGTTTTTACATATATATTTATTTATATCATCTTCTTGCTCACACCTTAAGATAAATCAATTTATTTATTCAAATCCGTTTTTTTGTGAAAAAGGTAATAATAGGACGATTTATAGCAACTTGTTCAAACACAAACAAACACATAAAATAGTTTTCATATACAACGCTGATCAAGAAAAAATTATATTTTTGATGATTTAACAAACTAAAAACCATTGTTAAATTGAATCAAATTTAATTCTTTGATTATCATCATCTTTCATCCTTTTTCTATTAATTCTTATCGACAAAATTCGAATTCAAACAACAATGGTAATATGTACTAAGCAACGTTAACATCATTCTGGTGGCTGCCCTAAACCTTTTTAATTAATTTTATTGAATAGTTATTGCCAGTAAACATAAGAATGTTGTTTAAACAATAAAAAAATATTGTGATATTTAAATAAAATCTCCTTAAAAAATAGATATATCCTTATGGTTGTAAACCACCATTTTAAGCAACAATTATCAAGTAATGATAGTTTTTCAAAAAATGTACAAAAAAATCTTGCTTATTCTTTGTAGGTCTTTGTGGCTGCCTTGTGTCTTCCTCTTGCCGGTTACCTGGCCACCTACTTACTGTCGAAAATCCTGTGCCGATCGGCCACCGACGCCCTTACTCTCTCCATCGAAACAAGTGTGCTGAACATGACGATGCCCATTGTGCTCCTGCAGTCGAGTAAGTTGGAGCAGCCCCAACTGGATCTCGTCTTGGTGGTGCCCATTGCCTCCTCGCTGATCTCCCTCGTCCTGGTGATCCTCTTCTACACGGTTCGGCGATGCCTTGGCTGGAATAAGCGACAGGATGAGGATTGCTTCGACCACAAGAAGCTGATAGCGGAGCAGGAGGAGAACGAGTGTCCGGTTTACCAGAGACCATAAATCATTCCATAGTTAAACAATTCTACTTGATATTTATTTATATGGAAAAATACTTTGCTTATTTTGCAAAGTTATTGTATTCATAGCCTATCTAATCTAGTCTTCCTTTTTGAATTTATTTATTTTAAGTCCGAGCTAGATATCTTAAAATTGCTTATCGAACTTCTTTAAGAAATTAAAAACTACATACAAATAATCTATTGAATTTGTTTCACCTAAATCAAATTATCCATCTTAGTTTAAATTGCGCGCCACTGTCAACTTCCTCTTTGCAAAGATTGGCACCACTTAAACCTTTTACTTGGCAGCACTGATTTTAGGCGCGTGGAATTTAAACTGCCGCGTTTCGAATGTATTTTTGATGTACATTCGCTTGTGTGTGTGTGCGCGCCTTACATGCTAATTTGGTTTGGGCCAGCAAGAGGTAATAAAATAAAATTGTGTGTCAGCGTCGGCCGTTGGTCACTGCGTATGTACTGGAAATTTGGAGCATTGGCCGCCGGACAAACAAGCTCGGCACTTGGGAACTCTGGAAGGTGGCGCATGATGTCATCAGTTAGTCCGTCGCGATGCAGGGCCGCCAATTACGACACACGAACATGGTATATATAGTAAATATAGTACACATGTATTGTTCGGTTGTGGCATGGTGTGTGTGCACGTGTTTGTGTAGGGAAGAAGATATAAAAATAAGTGCTACCTTTGCCTGCACACGTGTGTTCCGTTGTTGGTGTGCGTGGTCAACTAACGGTTCACGCGCGGAACGCATTACCGAGCCCCATCACACACAAGCAAGCCCCATCCGAAACCCCCGTCGAAAACCCCCCAAAAGCCCTCACCGATCCCGCCCGACCTCGTTAACCAGCCCCCGACAATGTCTTTTCGGTTATAAATATACTTTTCAAAGGTAGTAAATGACATAACGTAAGCCGTACTTTAACAGCACAATTACTATCTTTAGCTGGATTACAATTTATACTTTACTCCGTTGGCGAACCACGAACCGCGAACCACGAAACTTGAAACACTATTTTAATTGACATAATTTTAAAGATGCTTCAGCAGGAAGCATTACTTTTACTTTTTAGTAAATTAAAAATAAAACTCTATATTTGTGGTCTAAATAGCTACAATTAAATTCGACTTACTTATTTTTCATTATATTTTTTTCTTTGTATTCATATTAAGGTTTCTTTCTCCGAAGTTGGTTCCTTGTTTAAAGGTTACCAAGAATACCACAAAGTACTCCTTCTTTGACATCCCTTGATTGCTTTCCCCTGGAGGCCCATTAAAAAGCATTGGCGGTATACTTTTTGCAGCGCCTGTGTGCCGCTCGCTCATTAGCAGCAATACAGTGACTTTCGAGATTTTATTAGCCTCAGGATGTGTGGGAAGTGTGATGGCCTGGAATGCAAGGGGGAGCAGTTACTGGATCATACCAATCCCAATCCCAATACCTATCTATATCTATATATCGAAAGCCATAACCATCCCGTGCAGCATAATATGCGATTCCATTGACCGTTTTGGCCTGCTGCTGCGCATTGCAGTTAACCCCAAAAGGAACAATGCAGCAGACACACTGAAAATACTATTATTTATCACTTTGATTAATTTTCACATTCACAAATGTATATATTATATATCTGTATATCTTAAGTAGTTGCAAAGGAAAACTCTAGTTCTAAAACAAATAAAGCGATTTATACATTTTAGGTCCAAATTTAATTCAGTTTTTAATTTATATTTATCGAAATAAAGTATTCAAAAGTATCTTAAAAATAATTGGAAAATCTAATTTCTTAGCAAATAAAATAAACAATAAAAAGTAAGAGGTTCTTGCCAGTTATTAAATCATTAAATCTTCCATTTCAATAAATCCAATAGGAAGTATTTAATGATTGTTTTGTAGTATACAATTTCAACTGAAATGTGCTTCTAAAGGAAATATTACATACGATAAAATATTTAATGGATCTACAAATAATTTCCAAACCCCAGTGTTAGATGATTTAAGCAATTCATATTCAAAAGGAACAGTTTTGTACCGGTTTTGTTCTCAGTGAACGCATAGTGCTCCATTTTCGGTCGGTGCCAAGACAACTTTGAAAAGGAGTTGCAGCAGTTTTACTTCGATGGGGCAATTTCGTTCTCAGCTGGGCTTTTGCCCCAATGGCGGTGCAACTGCACTCAAGCAACGGCTTTGCCTGGTGAAAGTGGAGAAATTGTGCAAAGGGGAAGGGGGCGGGGAAGTGAGGGGGAAGTGGTAAAGGGGGGGGAAAGAAAGAGGGTAAATAGAGGGAAGGCACAAGTCAAAGTAAGGCATTTGGTTTCGTTTCGTTTCGTGACATTTGGATGATTTCTGCCTATTTCCTGGCCAAAACACACAGCCTTCTATCACCTCACCCTCCCCCCTCCCCACTTAACCCCCCTTCTCCTCCACCTTTTCTTCTTAACCCTCTGGCCGACTTTAATCGCGTGCTTGGCTCACATTTTAACGCTCGTCGTTTTCAGTTGACGGTTGCCACAGCAACATTCAACACGAAGTGCAAATGCAATGCAAAAGAGCAAGTTTCAGGCGGTTTTCGCTCCACAAGGTTGCTGCTGCTTCAGTGGGTGGGTGGCTGGTGGTGGTGGTGGTGGTGGCCAAGTGGGTGGACAGGTGGCAGTTGGCAGTTGGCAGGTGGCTTTCGGCATCTAACCCATTTGCAAGCGAGAAAGGTGCGTTGGCAAATCGCTTCTCGCCGCTCTTCATTTCCTGTCTCCATTTCAAGGCGCTCGAAAAGAAATCGGCCAGGAAATTCAGTTGCACGCCAGTCGCGAGCAACCTTCGTTTCGATACCGACCAAACCGAAAATATTGCCATTGCCAAAAAATAAAACGGCGAATGGAGCAGGCAACGCGGAGAAATTCAAGTCAATTAACCGCAGCACGTGTACTTCAATATTATGCGTAATTATGGCGCTCGAGATGGCGATGGCATAATTAGCCCTTAAATATGGGGCTCGTGTTGCCTGTGTCGACTTTCCCCCCCACAGCCAACGCATTTTCAGCAGCAGCCGAATGTGTGGTGAAACAGAGCCTAAAAATACCCTTTAAATTGCCAGGGGATCAATGGAAATTGTCCAATTGGTAATAATACCTATTCTTAGATAATTTTGGTAATTAATTGGTTTAATTTTTTGTATGTTTCCTTAATAAAACTAATCTACTTACTATAATTCAACATTTTTCCAAATTCAATAATTATCAGCTAGAAAAAATATAGATTATATTATTCGAAACAATAAAATTACCGTTTAAATATTGTATTTTCTAGATAGTTGTATAAAATATAAATACTATTCCTCCTACAAGAGAATATGGTTTTATATTTAAACGATTCCTTTATTTAAGGGTATGATCGGCTGGATAAAAAATAAAAAGTTGTCGCATAAGGCAGGACGTTAAACATGCGCGTCTCATGAGCCAAAATTTATGCAAATTCGCCAGGCTCCAACCTTCGTCCTTCGATTGTCCCCAAGTTCCCCTAAGTCCTGCCACCACCACCCCCCTTTTCCCCATTTCCCCTCCCCTCCCCCTCCCCCTCCCCCTCCCCCTCCTTCACATCAACGGCGAGTGCAGAGGAAACGCAGAGTTGAATAATGTAAGGTTATGCTAATGTGCACAACTCGACTGGGGGCAACAAAAGAAAAAGAGCAGAAAACAGAAAAAATACGTATACGCACAGGTGTACATTACACACTCGCTGCAGTTGGCCCAACGTTTATGGGGGTCGCCACACCCCGTGGCAGCGGAAAGTGCAAGTTGAAAGTGTTTGCCATAACCGAGAGCGATTAAATTAAATATTCAATTTCCTTTCGTCCCAGCCGGATATGTTTGAGATCGGCCAGCGGGAAAGTTACGAAAAGTTACGAAAAGTTTTCCTGCTCCACTGCACTTCGAACTTGATTGGAAGGGATTACAATGTGTACGAGTATTTGGTCTTAGGAACTATCATACAAAGTGTATTTATAACAAGGTAACAGCAGTTAGCTAAAGTAAGCGATTATAAATGTGATTATGGGTTAAACGACGTATGGGTTTAAGGATTATGCGAAGATTACAAATTTGTAGTTGATTTTAGTTGAACTAAAAGTTTTTCTTTGTTCGGAAGGTGGACAAGGTATGTGTTAAATAATTGAGATAATTTGTGGGCTATTAACTTGACACAATGTGATAGTTTGTGTTAAAATGCTGCTTGTAGGCGACCAGAACTGTTAGTTTGTATTGTGAATGTTTAGTTTTTGGGAACATTTTATCTGAGGCAAATATTATGGTCAGTTCAGCCACCTTGCTATTTTTATACCCTTGCAGAGTATTATTATTTCTGTCAGAAGTACCAGGCGAACAGAATGCAATAGTAGGTGGCCACTCATTTTTAACTAACTAACTTTTATAATTTTAAGCAGATTTTTAAGTGGCATTCCTCTAAACGTTTGCATTTCAATTCCCTAACGAACTGCATCATTAGTTATTTTTTTCGAAATTTCCAAAAAATGGGTTTGCTGAAAATTGACCAAAACTCGCTACATTTATAAGTGGCATTCCTTCGAACCAGTAGCTCCTTCAGATATGTTTTTTAATATATTAAATATTATATATCTCTTTCAGTGTCCATCGATTAACGGGGGCAGTTGAACACCGAAGGGCATAGCAAAGTTTCGGGCCTGATATTTGGATATCGAGCTTTATAATAACCTTTGAATCCAAAAAAAAAAATTTCATTAAGATCCGACAACCTCATTGAGCTGCCACAGGAAAGATCGAAAAATCTATATAGAATAAACGGAAATAAAATGATATCATCGATGTTTTTTATCAGCCAATCATGCTTTTTGGAATTTAGACTTTTTAATGGCTCTTGAATTTCGAATTAAGTTTCATACAAATCGGACGACTATATTATATAGCTGTCACATGAACAATAGTCGAATATATGAAAAATGAATAGAAAAATCGTCATAGCTTCGACGTTGTTTAGCCTTAAAGTATTTTGTTCGACATACTTAATGACTGCAAGTGTATATAAGCTTCGATTCGCCGAACTTAGCTTTCTTTCTTGTTCTAGACTTGTTTTACTGCTGGTAACTGCTCTTTGCCACAAAAATATCAAACTTATTTGCCTACCAGAAATAAGAAACTAAATAAGCCGACAAACAAATAATTGAAGTGCCCATACAATTGATTCATTATTTAAAAAAATAAATACACACAATACAAATGGATGGAAATCACATTTTTTTTCAGTTTAATGTTCTGTTTTTAGACTGTTTGTTTTTGCTTCCGGCGGTTTTCTTTGCGTTCATCTGTCCTTCGCTTCAAATTGACTGCTGGCACCACTGATGTGGGTATATCACGTGTGTGTTTATCAATGTGCGAACAAAAGGCACAGGAAATTTAGTTGCACTTGACAACATGATGGACGACAGATACCGCTGCACTGCCACGCCCACCTTAACGCCCGCCCCTTTTGCACCGACATATAGTATGGTATAAAGTATGGTATGGCATGGCATAGTGGTTCCTGTGGGAACCCCGATGTTGGCCAAGGAATGGTTGCAGGTGGCAGAAAGTGAAGGGAGGAAGGAGCATGGAGAAAGGTATAGAGAAAGGTAAACGTTGCCGCTGTCAAAATGTCGTCATTGTTCATTCATGAAATGTGCGCCTTTTTACATTTTACCCAACAGCAGAAGCCACGGCGATAGCAGCAGAAACAGTAAGAGAAACGACCAGGACCACCGTGCAACACACTCGATACTTTGTGGCAGAATATGTTGCATACTTTACGGCGGTGTGCAGGGCCAACTCAAAATAAAAGTTCTGGCGCGGAGCTTGTAGCTCTTATAGTTTATAGTTTCTTTTATTGTTGTTAGGAATGTTGTAGAAATTCTTAACAATTTAAAAATGAAATGAAAATGTTGTATATAATTTAGTAATATAGTTTATCTAGATATTATAGATGTTAATATTACTGGCACGTGCCAGAAAATTTAAGCATAACTTGAAAATTATAAATACCTTGAAAAATAAATAAAATAAATTTTAAAGTTTTTTCAAGAATAATATATTTGTTCGACATACTGTTAAAGTTATTAACGATATATTATATAATTTTTAGACAATCCATGGATACACAATAATTTTTTTTTTTTTTAATTTTTTAATGACTAATAATATATTGCATCTTATTTTCTTTTTTTTTTTTAATTTCTCGCAGTGCGACAACAACCGCAATGGCCGCAGAATGAAATGGGGGAAAAACGCGAAAGAAAAGGGAATCCAAACAGAAGAGTGAGAAAACTAGAGAGAGAAGGAGGGAGAGAGGCGAGGAGGCGAAGAGAAGGCGGCGAAGGAACATGCATGAGTGTGAGTGTGCGAGGACATGCGACTGTGTGTCTGTGTGGCACACTCACACACACACTCTGCGCCACACTCGCTGACATCATCCGCAACCACTCAAAAGGCGACGTGGGAAGGGGAAGAGGAGAGAAGCGGAAAAGAGGAGAAAGGGGAATGAGGAAAGGGGGCTAATATCTTGTGGGCGGGACTGTTCAGTGTTGTTGGCGTAAATATTGTCATTTGTTGCGACATTGAAGTTATTGTTTGTCCGTTTGACGCTGCTCAAATTCCCTCAACTAACCACACACACACGCACAGGGAGCACCGTAAGCTGGAGTCCTTAAAGGACATTCGAATGTTTGCCTGCAATTAGGTAGATCAACCGGCAGGGGGCCAAGCACCGATCGCCAGCACCTGGGGGGCCATTACCACTTCCGGCTAATTGGGGGGCCAAATGCCACGCCAGTGTTTCGCACAAAGAAAACAATTAACTATTTGCGGCGTTTATCCCATCTCGCCACCATTGCCGCCATTGCCGCCAGTTGGCAAACAGTGATGGAGCGAAAATAGACCGTCCTCAATTTCCACGAACTCAAGGTAGGACCGCAACAAGGTGGTAGGGCAAAGCCAAGATACTTTCACCTGAAGATAACCTTTAATCGGTATCTGAAAGCAAGAATCACACTCAAATCACTATAATTAAAAATACTTACATACGTATGTGTTCTACATATAATTGTTGATATCTTTATAAAATAATATAAGTGCATATCAATAAACATAAATTCCCCTATATATTTCCTAAATTTACATGATTTTCAGGATTTAAGAAAACGTCACCCGTTCAAACAAAATGGAGAAAAATGTAAACTTTTTGATTTTCCAATATACTAGTTTACCCCTATAATATTTAAATAATATATTAATGAATATATTGTATTTTATAATTATAGTATTCTAAATCTGGCTGTGGTAGTTAAAATATGTAACACTATTTTTTGGCCATTTATTGAAATGTTCAGATAACTTTGAATCTTCTATTCACACAGTTTTTTTAATTAATAAAAAAAAAATAAAACAATGAAAGGTCTTATACTTTTAAAATGTGACTTAAAAATTCTAGGGCTCATAACCCTGTTCTTAAAAATACTAATGGCATTCCCAACTATATTTCTGAAGGATTATATTTGCATAAATCATAAACCATTAAATCATATTGCAAATGCATTTTTTTTGCATAAATGCTTCTTCGTCCTGTGCAAAAGGACTTCTGCTTGCCTTTGACTAAGTGCAGCCGCACTTTCGAATGCCTCTGCAAAGCCACATGGTTTCCTCGTGAATTCGGTCCTGCCTCCTTGCCCCCTTCCTCCCCTCCCCCCTTTCGCCCCTCTTGCCACCCGCGGCTGCTCGTGTCTTTGGTCTTTGCCAGGCGGCCTGACGTATGCCACTTGCCACTTGCCACCCGCCCCGAATGCCTGTTATCCTGGCATGGCTGGCATAGCTCGCATGTCCCTTTCGCAGCCGTTCTGGCCTGGCTGGTTGGGTTTTGCTGGATTCTTAGTTTCTTGGGCTGTTGGGTTGCTGGGTTTCTCGGGCTGTTGGGCCTGTCCCAATGACCGAGTGGCGTTGTGTCGCGTCGCGTTGCTCTCAGCCGCAGAGTCGATTCCGATTGCGATGCCGATTCCTATACAGAGTGCCGAATCCGAATTCCTTGTCCGAGTCCGAATCAAAAACCGAATCCGAAACAGAATCCGAATACGAGTCGGAGTCCCTGTGCGAAAAGTGGCACAGGCCGCGGCGGAGTGACGAATGCCTGGCGAAGCCGAACTCAGGCAAAAGCCGAAGCCTTGCCGAGTGCCGCACGAAGGCGAAAGCCGAGCGAACTCAACGAAAGTCACACTCTGCGGACGCACACGCGCTGCGGCAGCTGACAGTTTCAGTAAACCACGGAGACGAACGGATTACGGGTAACGAAACAGCAGCAGCAGCCAGAGAATAAACTCAAAAAAAAAAAAAAAAAATAGAAAGAAAAGAAAAGAAGAAAAAAACCCAGCACACACCACAAAAACATGTAGAAAAAGGAAGGAACAAAATCAAAAAAAAAAAAAAAAAATGGAAAACTGAAAGAGAAAACTCGAGCACAAAAGAGCCGTTGGCGAGCACTGAGCTGAGTCCTGTTTAAAATCTCGACAAAAAAGAAATAAAACAAAAAGTTTACACACTTGCCATGCCATGCCATCCAGATATATATATGTATATGTGCTATATATGTATAGTATATATGTACAAGTGCCTTGAGCAGTGCGCAGGCAGGCGAACAACGAGCGGAGCCAAGTCCAAAGAAAGTTTTACATAAGTTCTCCCTCCTCAATCAGGCACCTTTTTTTGTATAGTTTTTTTTTCGTGAGTGTGACCCAAAAACAAAAATAATCAAAGAGAAGGAAGAGGAAAAGGCACCGAGGAGAAGAAGAAGAAGATGAAGAGGCCAGCAGGAAACACAAAAGTCAAATAAACTACATAGCCTGGCTATGCAAGTATATAAAGTATATAAAGTGGCTTATGTGTGTGTTTAAGTGTGTGAAAAAGAGTTTCAAAAAAGCGGCATCATGGGAATCTGCTTGAATACAGCCCTTTTTTTGTCTTGAATTTCGGCTCTTAATTTGTATTTTTTTTTCGTGTAAAAGCGCGTGTTTGCCATGGCGTATACTTGATGTGGCCGCACCAGCAACGATTGCGTATACGCCTAGTGAGCCCCTCTCTGTGTGAGTGAGTGCCTCCGTTTGTGTGTGTGAGTGTGTGTTTGTGTGAGTGTGCGTCACACACAACGTGTTACGCAGAGTAACCGATAGCCCTTCGTCCCCCTTTCGCAACCGTTGGAAATTCTTGGTTTGTTGTTTAGACCGAAAAGTGCTCGGAAAAGTAGGCAACGAAAATGGTTACAACAAATTGCAGGGCACACACTCGCACACGAACACACATAACACACACCAGACACACCACACACACCACACAAACACACACATGAGAACCAGAATTTATTTGGGATATGGAAAAAAAATAAGAAGCAGCAGTAGAAGAAGCAGAAGCAGAAGTTGACTATATATGTGTGTGCCGCGGACTTTCGATTTTTCGTGACTCGGTTTCTTGTGTGTGCTCTCGAGTGTCCTTTGTTGTTGCTCCTTTCTGTTGTTGCTGTTGGCGATGTGCCCCCTTTCTGCCCCACCATCGCCCCTCCCCGCCATCCAACTCCACTCTGCGGAATTCGCCTGCTGTTTAGGTTATGTGTATCTGGCATGTCCTTTTTAGCCTGCCTTTCCTTTTTGGAGCGCGCATATGCGCTAGCACGAAACGAAACCAAACGAAACGAAACTCAACACAACACAATTCAACTTAACTCGCCTCGAAAATCAAGTGGCAGGGGGCAAGCTGGCGAACTCAGTCAGTCAGTCAGTCAGTCAGTCAGTCAGTCAGTCAGCCATTCAGTCAGTCAGTCAGTCGGTCGGTCCTTCGGTCGGTCTGTCACTCAGTCAGTCAGTCAGTTGGGCGCCTTGCTAACTGGGTAAGCCGTGTCCTGCCCCCGCAGGACAGCCGTGTCCTCCTGGCCTCGGCTTTCGCTCGAGTCGAGTCGAATCGAGTCGTCGCATCGAGTCGCGCGTGTGTGCCACATCGCGTTTCGTGTCCTGTGCGCAAAAAGAGCCGAGGTCCAAGGGACTTGGGGGTCTGGGTACTGGGTACTATGTTAGCTATTGGGTACTGGGTACTGGGTACACTGAACGCTGAACGCTGAACACTGGGCACCGGGTTTCGAGTTGCGAGTTGCGAGGATTGAGGACCGAGGACGAGGCCACGAGGAACCCTCCAGTTGAGCGAAAGAGAACCCAAACTAAAAGCGAGAGCGAGAGCGAGAGAGCGAGGGAGAAAGAGAAAGAGAGCAGGCTGGCGTAAAAGGGACAAGGGTGTCTCAAATTGCCTTGGCTTGGCTCACAAAAAACCAAACGAAACGAAAAAAAATATATACGAAATTGTGCAACGCTTTTGAAGTTTGAAGTTGATGTCTGGTGGAAAAAAAGGCCCCTATGTATATACATATATTGTATATACTGGCTATATACTAGACAAGCACTGTTCCCATTTAATTGCCAGCAAATCGGATAATTGTAATTGCTCATATATGGTTTACTGCAGCCATTAATGATAGTTATTGTCACGAAAGTGCTGTAGTGAACATTGACTAACTGGGGCGAAGAAAAGCCTGGAATTCCCATTTAAAATATTCCTGTCGCTCTACTTTTTACAAAGTAATTTGACAAAAATCGCACATTTATAGAAACAACGTAAAGTGATTTTAAATAATACCAGTAACTTTTTTTATAAGGTAACTTAACATATAAGGTTTCTTATATTTTATGAAGCCTGTCTTCTTTTTGCTATATTCTATTTTAAATCTAACCAGAAATATGAAAATTTGTGCTAAAAATATTGTGCTCAGTTTAATAATGCTCTAAGGATATAAAAATATAAAAGAAAATTGTTCAAACACAATTTTATTTATCCAGATAATATCTAGAATATTGAATTCATAACTAATCACGGGCATTATATCCTTGTTCTAGGTTAATTTTAGGATGTGTATAAAGTTGTTTGATTTAAAATGCTTTCATAAAAATGTTGCATTTGCCAAATCTTTTTGCCGAATTCCAGGGCGACCCCTGGTGTTACTTTGAAGTTGTTTTCCGTTTTCTGGCTTCAAGCTTGTGGCTTTAGTTATCCGAGAACTTGCAAGGACCTCGTTGAAACCGAAAGGACACGCAATTGTGGCCCAGAATCGAAAGCGAAAATTTTCCTTTCTTTGGCCAAAATCTATAAACTTTCGACGCACCGAGTGTCACTCGTGTGTTGGCTTGCGTTTCTGTTTCTGTTTCTGTGTCGGTGAGCGGTGTTATTTGTGTTTGTTCCGCGACTTTTGGGCGCTAAAAAAAGCCAGGAATTGCAGGAGTATTGGACCCGGTCGAAAGTGGAAGGGAAGGTGGGGAAGGAGGGGAGGGGAGGGGCGGGTCATCGATAACTTTGTGGCTCGGCCAAGGCCCAGCGGGTTGGACCGGTTAAGCATTTTATTTGCCCATCTCGACCTGTCGATCCCGGGGAGTGGGCACCACAGGAGCCCGTGCAAGGACCCCCTGTAGAACCCCAACCCCAACCCCAACCCCAAACACTGTTCAATGTGCCAGCGGGCCGTGCGTGTTCAATTGGTTTTGCCCCCCAGTTCCCCCTCTCCCCCATTCTCAATTGTTGTTTGCTCGCTGGTCGCTGTTGTTGGCTCTTCGGTGTAAAAAATTTACATAACCCAAATTGCCGCATAAATAAATTATTAAATACGTGACGTGCGAATGGTCAAAGACCAGAAGCCAGAAGCGAGGAGCCAAGGGCCGAAACCCAAAAGCCAAAAGCCAAAAGCCAAAAGCCAAGGAGCACAAGTCGAGTGGCATGTGCAAGGCTCAGGTCCTCTGTTCTATTGTGCGATTCCCTGGGGTTTGCAATCAGGGCGCAATCCAATAAGGAGATTGTGCTCTCGCAACTGCGAATCGCCTGCCATATGCCACATGCCTTATGCCTTATGCCTTATGCCTTATGCCACATGCCACATGTGACCATCGTCAATCGAGTGGCGGCGCAGATCCTCGCTGGAAATTTAATTAGGACCAAGGCCAATGCAATTCAAGCCAGCGGAAGTGATCAACACATCCCAAATTGAATGAACTTTTTTTGTATATCTTTATACTTTTAAACAAAAAATCCAATTTTGATTTTTTGAGGCAAATAAGAAAAATTAATTGAAATAAATGGTTTTAAGACTCATGAAATGCAAGCTTTTGCCAAAGTAGCTTCTTTATAAAGGCGAATTTTGATTCACAAGATTCTTGTGCATAAAAAGTGAATTTTTTACAAAAAAGTATACTTCTGTAAAAAAGGCCAAATAATAGGAATAATGATAGTGACCCATTTTTTTTGCTATTACCGCCATTTCATTTCAAATAATGGTTGAATTAGTAATAGTAGCTTGTTTAATTTTTAAATAATCTGGCCTAGAAATGTTCTATGTAAAATAGGTTAGCCAAATGCCAATTTCCCAGATCTTTATGTTTGATAATAGTTCTGCTATTAAAGCAAATTAAGTTGCGGAAAGTGCCTTGCCATATTGCCATGAATTTCCGAATCAAGTGCTTTTTCAATTTATATAGTGAAATCCTTACTACTTTTTTAGTGATAATCATTATAAATAGCCTTTTCAAGGCAACAGAAGTGGCTTGCATTCGGCTCTGCATTAGTGAAAAAGGAAACTTAAAACCGTTTCCCTAAAATTCCCCAAATACTTCCTCCGCATTGGTGACCCCGATTAAATTAGTGCACAATAAACTTGACGCTTTCGAACTGCCCCACATACGAACAATTTGTGGGCAATTAGAAGGGCGGTGTGTGCAATTGCTGGACCAGTTGACACAACTGGCCAAGTGTGTGGTTACTGGGCTGGTGACGATTTGGTGACCCCGTCGCCACTGGGATGGATGGAGTTACATCCGGATCGATTGGTCGCTGTCCAAAACGCTGGGCCCCAAAAAGGCCCAAAAATAAAGAAAGAAAGAAAAGCGGGTCAGCATGATTTGTGATTATAGCTGGTGCTCCATATTCGGAGCTCATTAGTTATGAACGCAGTCGGACTTGACCAGTCCAACTGGTGCCAAACTGCTGGCCGAAAATAATGGCCCACTGTTGCAACGGGGCAGCGGAAAAGCGGCGAACGAATAGCCGTGGAAATTCGAGAAAGGAGGCATCAGCTTGATGACCTAAAAATAGAATAAGTCAGAAAAGGCGGCGAAGGCGAATAGCGAACGGCGAACAGCGAACGGCGAACGGCGAAAGAATAGGCGGCGAAAAAGGGGTGGTAAAGTAGCACAACAAAACCTGTGTTGACAACGACTTAGGCCACAGGGTGGTGTATGTTATACGGTATATGCTGAAAGGACCTCTCACACACACCGTACACACACACAGCTCACACACACACGCACTCGACTTTTGATTTTGCTCCTTTTGCGGCGGATTCAAGAAAAGGAAGTCGCGGCGAAGCAGACAGCTGCATTCCTCGCCCGAAAACGGAGTTTCCCAGAGAGCGCTGACTCTCTCTCTTTCCCCTCTCTCTCTCGCTCTTTAAAAGGCTCAAATTGCTCGGCGCTCGGTGTTCGCTGCTCGGTGTTCACTTCTCAGTGCTCGGTGCTCAGTGCTCGACTTAATTTCTCGCATCCTTTTTGGTATCCTGCTCTGCGTTTCACGTGCGCGCGAACGTTGCATAAACATAAACAAAACGCGATAAAAAGCGACGCTGATGCTCTGCGCCACATCCTTTTTTTTACTGTGTAATATCCAGTGCGATATTATCCTGACATATACTCAGTGTGCCCATTTTTTTCGAGTGTGCAAGTGCAAGTCATCAAGTGTTGAAAAAAGAAAAACATAATGCAAAACAAGTACAATCGATAAAACTCATTTTAAAGAAGAGTCGTTGAATTAAAATAAAATAAACAGAAAAAAAGACGAAATAAATTAATATACAAGACACTAGACCAAGAGTAAAAATAAACCGAAATTTCTCTAATTAAAGGAGCTAGGCAACAAACTAAATAAATACAAATCTAGGACACACTTAATTTAAAGAAAGTTTCTTTAAAGATAATTTGCTTTTGTAAGCCAATGAAAATAGTTGCTTTTCTTAAAAAAAAAACATTCCTCAGAAAATCAAAATAGGTCCAGAAATATCTCGTCCTTCTGATACAGATTTTTCCTTTTTTTGTGGGTAGATTTCCCACACATTTCCCTATCCCTATCAATTTCAATCCGAGTTTCAACAACTTGTTCGCTTTTCCGCAGGCGACGCTGGCGAAATTGAAACTAAAACAGGAACAGAAACCACAAATAATAATAATATTAGCCATAAAACGAAAACACAATTATAATAATAGCAACAGTTAAAGGCAAACACATCCAAGCCACAAGCAAACCCGAAATAATATTAATAATAGCAATACAATAATAATAATAATAATAATAAACCGAAACAGCTCTGGGAACAAAACGCAACGTTTGAAGAAAATTTTTGGCAACACGTCGCGTCGTCTTGGTTGTTGTTAACCACATCCTGCTAACGCCAAAAACCCAAATAAAATTCAACCCAAATACGCAATAATAATACAAATTAAACAAACAAAGCAAAACAAAACAAAAAAGCTAAGAAAATACAAAACAAAAAAAGCAAAAAAAAAAAAAAAACAAACAACAAATTCATCTTCTACTTGTTCTACCGCTTCAACTTTATTCGTCTTCGTCTCCGTAATAAATATATAATTATACATATATATATGCATATGTGTGTGAGTGCGTCGCGTGTGTGTTGGTGTCTGTAAATGTGTGAGCCACAACAAATACAACAACAGCAGCAGCCAGAGCCAGAGCAACAAACACAGCAACAGCAGCAGCAACAACAACAACAACAACAGTAGTTAACAGCAGCAACAATTCTTAGCAGCAACAAAAATACCAGCAAGCAACTCCACAACAAAAGCAACAAAAAACAACAATAACAACCACAATAGCAGACACAATAATAGCATCAGCGGATAGAGCGAGCAGCCAAGCACAATATCGATTGACATCGATTAACGGTAAGCCTAAACCTATAATCGAAATAATCAGTTGATTCCGTGCCCATTCTCAGGTTTTTCTTTCCTGTTTCTATGAATTTCCGCCGTATTGAGTTTTGTTTAATTTAGTCTTTATCTATAAAATCAAATGATTCTGTAAGTCCGCGAATCGTAACCAATTCAATCACTCTTTTAAAATCTTAAATCTTACAATCAAAAATTTCTTAGGATTCTAGGAGCAATATATTGTTTTTTCGTTAAAAAGTTTACTAGCTAAGCAGTAGTAAAAATATTAAAATATTTCATCAACTATTTTATAAAAACTATTAAAGCTTTTCAGTAGATATAGATTATGGAAGATTATTACAATTTTAAAAAGGACTAAAAATGTTATGTCCATTCTCTGTAAAATATTTAAATAGTTCAAAGCTTTAGATTTTCTTGTTGCGTTAAGGATTTTGATATCTATTCCATTTAAATGATTTTTAATTGAACGAGGTCAATCAATAGTTTTTAAATAAATAATCCATTGAATGTTTAAACGTGGTCACTTGCGCTATATCCTTGGACTTTTGTTATTTTAGATAACCAAGCAATTTTTTCCTCCTGGGGAACGATTTCTTATTGATGGTTATTTAATATAGCCTACTTACAAGGGTAGACCAATGAAAATTGACTGGAGGCATTTCAGTTATTTTATTTCATTTAAATTTAAATATACAAATGAGCTGAGAGCTTGATGAACTTGGCTTGATTATGTCATGCCTCCTTGGTGAAAATCCCAGTTAACCAGGCCCGACCTCAAGACTATCAATGGGGTATCCTACGCCCCTTTTCCGCCCACTGTCACGCCCCTCCTTCGGCCCCTTGCTTTTGGGCTACAACCTTTTGCTGGCTTTTGGAGGGCAAACTTTCAGCTGCCACCGAAAAAAAAGCGAAGAAGGGGGGAGGCGGTTATTCTAACGGAATTCCTTCACTCACGCACACACAAAAAGCAGAACGTTCGTTAAGAGAGGGAAACCCAAAAAAATATTGTTGTAGTCCGCGTTAGGCGGCAGCCAAATGAGAGCGCATCCTCCGCTCTTCGCGCAGGTGAGAGTGAGAGAGAGCCAGGGCGAGAGAGTCCTGCTTATCCTCTCGCTCTCCCGCTAGCCCCATTTGGCTCTCACGCTCCGCGGGCATGCAAAATTCATTGACTAACAACATGCAAAACTTCGTTCAGTTTCGCTGTTTGTTTTATCCTTTTTTTTTATCCCACTTTTTACTTGGCCCTCCGAATTTTTGTTCAACAATTAACAGCCGACGAATTTGTCATTTTCTATGATCGATACTTTGATGTTTGTCTGCGAGCTCAAAACTCTGCGGTATTTTTCCGTTTTTGTGTTGCTCGTGTGCTTGCCATATCATTTGCATATTGACACAATTTTGGTTTTCAATTATTGCGGTTTTCGCATGACTCATCGCTTTATAGCTGGGCCAAAAAATTAATTCGGCAAACAACATTTTGCGAGTGTCATGAATGAAACAGACACATATAAATATACATATGCTCATATTGGCACATCCGCTTGCTTGTGTTGGTGCTCTTCTATGCTTTATGCGGTGTGCTGGTGTGTGTGAGTGTGGCGAAATATCGAACTGACCTACTTTTATGCTCGATACACACACACACACTGACACACACACGCAGGCAGATTGGCAAATGGAAAAAGAGTGCTTTGACCTTAGCGGAGGCTGCTTATATAAGCCGAATATCCAATACATCTGCAACTCGTACTAGATTCGATTTGTATCTGGGACTATGTAGAATAATTTATTATATTAAATGCATTACCTCAAAAACTACTTACGCCGTAGCAAAAAAAAATTGTTTGGCTTTTCTAACTGTTAAATATAAACTGTTAACCAATAAAAAGAGAATAATAAAAACATGTTCTCTTTTTTTGAGCTCGTTTCCCCTTAGGTTCTGAAACTCCTCTAGAATTCTTCGTTAGCCCCTGCATAAAACGTTTAAGACTAACAAGAATAATTTGTAATGACAAATAATTTATAGATAAACCGTACAATAAAAACCCTCTCACTATTATTCGAACTCTCTTCCCAATTGCATTCTTCGTACGCTCCTGTACAAAACCTTTATGACTAACAATAAGAATTTATGATAGCAAATGATTTAAAGAAAAACAATATAATAAAAACCCAATCACCATTCTTTAAATTCTCTCCCGTTCGAAATTCTTCCTACGCCCCTGCTGAAAATACACACATGTCTGTGCATTTCGCACTTTATTGATTGGCCATTGTTTTTTGTTTTGTGCATTTTACTTTTGATTGCATTTCATTTAATGCGAATTGCCGCCTGCGGTAATCCAATTAGTCAGCTGTTGAGGTTTCGAATTGGACTCCACTCCCCGGGATCAACGTTCTATTCCTTTTGCTTTAACTCTATCCAACTTTGGCCATTGCAAACTTGATTTAACATTGAATAACGGTAAACCTTATTTTGATTTAATTGCAGCATCGTGCTAAGCGGCGGGCGCTAATCGAACATGGCGCCTCGGATATAGTTGTAGCTTTAATGTAGCAGGCGACATCCATGTGCCTCATGTAAGTAAAACATTTTTATACTCATTAACATAGTCGTAAGTCGAAAATAATTATGTCCAATCAACCTTCAGTGCTAGGCGAATGTAATTCAGTTAACAATTGTATACAATTCAGGTGAAATTGCTTGATTTTTGCATTACGTGGTTCTTATTTACCCACGTAATTTATCCAGTTGTATGCTTTTAATGCTTGCTGGCTCAATTGAATTATAAATCTTTTTTTTTAACTCAATTGTACATATTGAAAAGAGTTTGAGGGTAAACATTTGCGACACGTAAACTCAGCCCAACTCAATTATTTAGTAGGCAACAAATGGCATTGAAGTGTGTGTAATTCGGTTAAATACAAAAAAATTATTATCCGTAAGCTTTTTGCTACTTGGAATAATTTATGAACCAATTCGAGAACAAAACAAAATATTTATATAGCTTTGACATAACAGTTCGCTAAATTAATGTCAAAAGTGTCAAATTTAGCATGAAAATAAAAAGGATGGGGGTGTTCTTCACATCAACTTCAGTAAGAAGGCAACATGCAAACAGTTCTACAAAATTTCTTCAATATTTTCTATTTTTTTGGTAATATTTTTTAAGTGTAAATAAATTAATTTTAACTAGAATCAAAGTAAAATAAAAAAATTAAATATTTTAAGCCTACTAGTCCAAGAATTTATTATGTTTGCTCCTCTTATTTTGTGGTGTAGTTTAGTTGACCAATACAGTATTGTTATACCTACTTGTTTAATATTTAGGTTGCACTAGTTTTGGTTAATTTGCCTATAAAATTGCTAATAAGCACATTATATTTTCTCGTTAATTTTCAGGCCTTGGAAATCTAAGGCTCTCATCGTTGGCCGCATAGACAATGACAGAAGATTCCGACTCGATATCTGAGGAAGAACGCAGTTTGTTCCGTCCCTTTACCCGCGAATCATTGGTGCAAATCGAACAACGCATTGCCGCTGAACATGAAAAGCAGAAGGAGCTGGAAAGAAAGAGAGCCGAGGGAGAGGTGGTAATTATTTCTAGCTGGATGTGAATAGCTTTCAATATATTTTGTGTGCCTACTCTACTACTCTTTCTGTATCTGTATCCGTATCCGTATATATATCTCTCTCTCTTCGTCTAAGTGAATTGACTTCCAATTGAGATCGAATGCCAAAACGGTCGATGCTGATCGCTGATCAACGATTATCGATAACTGATCGGTGATCAGTTATCAGTGATCAGCAATCAGCGATAACCGATCGCCGCTACTGTGCGCTTTGTTCGTGCTTCAACTTAAGCCTGAACGTCTATTTTACATATAAATATATTTATACTCGAATATGTTCTACTAACTATTCCCCAAACATATGTATCTGCCCCAATAAAAGAAACCAACAAAACCATCACAAGCATTCATCCCCGATTACGTATCTGTATATCGAATGCGTCTCTGTGTTTCCATCTGTACCCATTCAGTTTTTCACACCGAACTCCGATCCGATCATTTGCCTATGTAAATGCAGCTGCTATCCATCCAAAATCCATCTGTTCATATCTCAGAGTCTCACTGTGCTTGACCCCTGCCGTTCAACCCGAAAACCCTAAAAAAAAAGCCAAGCAGATCAATAGCTCTCTATCTATCTGTCTATCTGACCCCAACTGGGGATCTCAACTGTTTAACTGTCTACTGTTTTCCGTAATCTCAAGCTATCATTTCACCAACAAATCGTAAATGTTTTAATCGTAGCGTAAACCCCATTCTGATCTCAAAACACCATAACTCCACCGACTTTTATTTCGATCTTCAGTTAGGTTTATTCCGATTTAGTTCCAACAAAATTCAAAAAACGTAAAAGTGTCTAAAAGAACAGTAAATTTATTTTTAATTTCCCTTTTTTTTCTTGGTTGTTCGTAATCGTATTTTGTATTCAGCATAAGAACCCCCCGAAAATCCCCCAAAAACCACCTCTATATGCTCTTGAACGTATCGATATCGTAACGTATTACTATCGAATCTGTAAAATTTCTTCCTGCCATAATCGTTGTATGTTTGTTTGTTCGTTTGTTGGTTTGTTTAATTGTTTTATCTATTTGAGAGTAAGAACTGTGTATTCTGTAACCCATTGGCTTCGTAATGTGTTCTAATGTGTATCCTAATCGATTGATTACCTATTCCATTTTTGTATTATTGCGTAACATATCATTTTCAATGCCAGCAACCCCATTAATTTAACATTATCATTGTCGTATCGTTATCGTTATCGTTATCGTATTGTACCAGTCAAAGGCTACAATTTTTAAGTTTTATATACCTTAGTTTTTCTGTCGATTTCTTTCGATTTGATTTAACAAGCAGCTTGGGTATACGTAAAAATCCCAAGCCTTGTCCACGTCCACGTCCATGTCCATGAAATCCCATGTCCTTCTTGTCTCAGCACAAACAGCAGACCTCCTCGTATCGTCCTGTAAATAGCCGACTCGCTTGTGAATACGTGAAACAAAACTCGACAACAATCATTAGTGCCAGTATTCAGTTTTCAATCAGACCATTACCAACCAAATCATCAAAGAGCTGCTACACAACTTGTGGAGTAGTGCAATTGAAAAAAATCGGGATTGAATTTTATCTATAAATGGCATGAAGTGAAGTTAAGGAAAAACGTCCATTCAAAAGAATTAAAAAGATTTTATTCACAAAATTGTTAAGAATGATTTTTTTAATAAATGTTATTAAAATAAATCAAAACTTGTAGCTCAATAATAATATAAATACCTCGAATATTTTCAAAATATTTGCGAAGAAATTATTATAGCTGAGAGCTATAAAATTCATATAGTTTGAATCAAGATAACCGGTTAAACTACCTTATAATCACGACTTAACCTTTGAAATTTCTCCAAATAAATAAATCAATGTAGAACTTACATGATCTTTAATAGATATAGCTGATAAATACAAAAAATAATGCTATGAAAGCTAGAGCAACAAAACAAACACAAATCCCGACGAAGACCGTAAGCTATGAAACGCTGGAAACGGAAAGCGGGAAGTGTTAAAGCTAACTGCTACAAAACAATCGCAGCCATTAAATAAATCCAAAATGGCGTCACCTTTGAAATTGAATAAAAGTCCTGGATTCACTTAAACTAAAAGCTCGAATAACTGATCAACTATAAAATCTTGTACAAAAACCATCAAAGCGCATTGTCATCAGCCACTTACACAAAGTCAAGCAAATCGACTTGGTCCATGAGCACCCCAATCGACTTAAACTTCAAACTCAGCTCTATTTCTCTCTTTCTCTGTCTTCGCCTCTGTCTCTATCTCTTTCTCTGTCCCACCGCCAGCGACCTTTCACCCTGTAAAGACCATTTAAACACCTAGATCACAGATCCCACAACAACAACACTCTTACACAGATAGATATATATTTAGAAATCAATCAGAAATCATGATCTCAGCATTGCGAGGATGCGCAAAAAGCGATTAGAAGCGATTAACGATATATCGATATATCCCCTATGTATATCCCCCTGACATAATGCCGAAATCTGCTCGCCTACATAACCACTTTCTACCGTTTGTTTTTTCTTTCGTGTACTTTCTTTCGTTTCATTTACAACTTTCTCTCTACTTTTTGAACGCTCTCTCTCAACGAAACTTTTGCGCGCTGCTGTCTGGACAAAAAATGAATATAACCATGACTATAAATGAATAAAAAAACCAATCAACAATGAATGACAAATGCGAATTCGGCGCTTGCATAATGCAATCAACTTAAATTACGAAACACCAAATCAAAACCCAAAAAACCAAAATCGAACTTACGCTACTTTTTTACTTGAATACTTGATAATGCTCGTAATGAATGCCCTAAACCAAATACCAAATCCAAATCTTCTTTCAGCCGCAATATGGTCGCAAGAAAAAACAAAAAGAAGTAAGATTTTGCTCAGAAAAAAATAAAACGAAAACCACACCAAATAAAAAGAAAAACCACCTCCACCACCACAATTCCCGACCTTTGAGAACACAAAAAACACACACCTCGAGAATCTGATTCTGATTCTGATTCCGATTCCGATTCTGAATCTCAATCGAAGGAAAAGTTTTATGATTTCACCCTTTTTTTTGTGCCTTGTTTTTAATCTTTGGTTGGAGACTTTATTGCCACAAATCGTTTTTGTTTGGCCGAACCGTTTTTCGTTGCCATTTTGCGTTGTTGGTACCTCGTTTTTCTTTGTGCAACTGCTGCAACTTACCAATCAAGCCAGCCAATCCATGCCACTTAGCTCCGTTTGATCCAGCCCCACACTGGTGTGCCCCCGACTCGAGAAGTACTCGAATGCCAATATCGTACCCAGTATCTACTACTCGTATATATATCTTATATATGTATCTTTGTATCCTGTGTGCTCCCTAAACGTAGCCCTCGTACGTAACATAAGCTTGTATCTATGTATGTCGTAAACTCGTACTCGTACTATATCTTTGCCGTACTATATCTTGCCGTACTATATCTTTGCCGTTCTATATCTTTCCCACCGCCCCGGGCCGCTTTATGCAAAAAACTGAACCCAATAAAAACAACCGAAAGGTTCACATGTAAATAGCCCAAAAAAAACCAAAATAATGCAGCTGAAAATTCGCTTTTCACTTTTTCGCTTTTCTCAGCCTTTGCTTTGGGTTCTTGCAGAGGTTCAATATTAAATATATGATTATTATAAAAATCTGTTTTAATTCTATAGTAATTTTATATTGCAAGAAAATAAAACAGAGAATAGTTTAATTTGTTTTAGAAATTACAAATTATGTTTGTCTACGTTTTAGTCATCTTAAAAAACAAGCTGTTGGGGATAAATTATAATATAGAAATATCTTGAGATTAAAAATACATAAATACCTTTTCTTGTATGCAGTTAATATATTTCGGCAGTCACACAATTTATTTTGAATGACAGAAAAATATATTTTGAGAAACAGTTTTTTTGCTTACCAACAAATAAATTTCTTCATTCAAAAAGATTATTTTGTTTTACAAAACTATTAAAAAAAAGTTAGCAAATAAAAACTCAATACTGTTGCTAAGCGGATTTTAGGCAGCGCTATTTTTTTTTTCAATTAAATGAAAGTTCCTAAAATAACATGGTTGTTAAAGTCACCTATTCAATTAAATCCCAATTTGAAAATAAACAAAAGCCCTGCAAGGACCTTAAATGCTGTTTTCCTTATATTTTATTTATTGCTGTTAAATACAATGCTTCGGGATTTAAGTGTATGAACATTTGCCACATCGACTGTGGCATTGCCACAGTGGTTGTCGTTGTTGTTGCTGTTTGTTGTTGTTGGTGGCACCGCCCGGGGGCTCCAATTACTTATCGAGGTGAAGTCCCCGAACGAATAAGGAGCTTAGCGATGTCCTGGCCCCCGAAGGCTGGAACTAGAGCCGCCAGCGAACGTATTAATGGCAAATCGAGGGCTCCAAAATCGAATATAATACCCCAAACTAACCGTATCTACTATACTATATGTGTATGTGTACATGTTTTTGCCAGCTAATACTTGAGTAATTTGCGTGTGTTGTGTAATATTTGTTGTTCTCAATGTAAGCAGATGTAAGACATAAATATATAATACATATATAGCAATCTAAAAGAGCCCACACACTTAACCGCCCGATCCAGACCCAAAAACCAGATCCGATCCGAACCTTGTGCCAAAAATTGTTAGGAGCAGTTAGCAGAGATAGATGTTTAGGGCCAGGAACTCGTTTCTTTTGACCATACTATGCAGATGTCTGATGATTTCCAAGCGGCGAGCAATCCGCAAAGATTTCCCCATGCGCAAATTTTTGCATTGCCCCCCGCACCAACGACCGACTAGCAAGAAAATTCCTCCGACCCAAACAAACAAGGACATTCGAACAGCAAAAAAAGAAAAAACATAAAGAAAAGAACAAGGAACGAGCAGGAGAAGTCGAGCGAGCAAACAGATGAGTCACCGAGCAAAGTGGCCAGCGTACTGTAAGTTGTGGGCGGTGAATCGAGTAAGTGCCAGTGAAAGTATAAAGTAACCAAGTCCATCCATCCAAGGACATCCCGACTCCTTCGGTTGTGTATCGGAGCTAGGGCCGCATAATCCCCCAAAGATATTGCTGGGATCCCAAAAAAAAAAAAAAAATAAAAAATAAACCCTCTTTCTGCAATGAGCATGCAAAGTATTCCCAACCATTTCGAGTCCTGCATCCCAGCAATATCCTGGGGTCCTTGGCCTTAATCGTTAGTCCTTTGCTAGCGTTAGATGAACATCATTAATAGGTTTATCAGTTACCTTTCGGCTTGAACTATCATTTGTAGTAGTTGGCTTCAGATAAACTGTAGATTCTCCCCGAATCCGCAAACCCCGAGCCCCAAAACCCCCGATCCGTAAACCCAGCTCCTGGAAAAATAAACCCATGTCCAAACCACCTGCTAACTCGGTAAAAGTGTGCTTGGGTGTATGTGTACATAGTGCGTGAAAGTGCGTGTGCTTAGGTGTGTGTGTGTGCATGTCCTTGTAGTTGACGTTGCATGGCGCATGAAAAACTTTCTCTCTCCTAGCTACTTTCTCCAATCTCTTTCTGACTCCCACGCACTTTCCACTTCTCCCCACCGCTGACCTCTTTATAATTGGAATTGTTATGTACTTTTAAAACCCCGAAACGCCTCTTCAGTTTGGACCTTCTTAAATTTAATTGCTCTCCTAAATAACCCTAGCTTATCCTTTATAAAGTAAATAGCCATGCTTTCCCTTTTATAAAATTAAAAAAACAAAGATCCTTTTTCCTATAAATAACCAAATTACATCTAGTTCGTTGGTTGTTTACTATCCCGAGGTTAGGTAATTTAAGTGTATACTTTTTAGCTTTCCATTGGAAGTTGTAAACTTCTGCTTCCCGTTCAATCCTTTCGATAGCTCTATTAAATATAATATTTCCGCTTCCAACTTAACATCCGAGTAATCCAACCGCACGGTTAGCTAACCCCTGGGCGAACCTAACCTCATTTCGTCATTGCGTCCGGCGAATGCGTCATAAATTTGTAATCAGTACGCGGACTGCGAAGGCGCGAGGACGACTTATATCCGGTCGGAACCGGCTGGCTGGCTGACTGGCTGACTGGCTATATATCCAACTATCCGCCTCTCCTGCGGTTTGCCTTTTTATTAGTTTAAATATAGACTCGAGTTGGCCTGTTTAAAGAGGCGGAGGTGGAGGAGCTGTGCCACCCATCGAACCACCGACTTTCAGTCCGTATCCGTGTCCGTATTCGTGTCCGTGTCCGGGTTTTGGTGTCCTGGTGTCCTGGTGCTCTGGTGTTCTGGTGTTCTGGTGGGCGCCGCAATTGCGTCAAAGCCTCGGCTCCACCATACACACACACCACACCACACCACACCACACACACACCATCAAATACACATACTGACACAATCTAATTGTCACGCCAAGCCAACTATTATGGAATTTTTCCTTTCCCTTAGTTTTTTCCTTTTGTGGCTCACTCTCGCTCTCCCTCTCTCTCTCTCTCTCTCTCGTTCTTTCCCATTCTGGCCTTCTCCACATACATGTTCGTGTGCATATAGAGTGGGTCGCATTTATATATATAGTGTATATATAGTATATGCCAGCGTATATATATATCCAAAGTTAGAGAGAGAGGGCGAATCGAACCGAACGGAACGGAACGCTTCATAAAGTGACGTTAGAGTTCTTGTGCTTTTGGCTCCGGGCTCTTTAATTCTGCTTTTGGCATTGCACGTGTGGAAAGTAAAAACACTGGCTTTCACTACCGAAATCGATGGGATATATATCGACCGATATATACATATGTGTATATTTATATGGGTGGGAAAGCCAAGTCAGTCGTCACTGGGCCAAAAAAAAATATTGTCATACAATATGCATGGCGGGGCAATTAAAAGTTGGCCGAACATGCAAGAATAATGTTTGTCTGGGCAATCAAAAATACTTCGAAAATAAAACACAAAATGTCGACTAGCTGACATTGAGTTTCCGCTTTTCCCCTTCCACCTTCTCCTTTTCCTTACCCGCTTGTGATTACCCCCTCTCCAAAAAAACCAATCTTCTATAATGCATTAGTTTACTAGACTAGTTTGTTTGCACAATCTAGCTAATCGTTTATCAACACTGGACACGATTTTTAGTTGACGGGCATGCCACACCTTAACCAACACACACTCAAAACAGGAAAAGAAACCTTGTACAACACTGGTTAACTTAGGTTCCTTTTCCGTTTCCATAAACATTTCCGTTTCCGTTCCGTTTCCACCTTCTACTCATTGTATAGTTTTCGTTATTCTTTTAACCCGAAAAAGGAAATATGAAGAATGGTAGAAAACCATTGAAGGCGCCCAAAAAGGTGTAATCCCGATATTGGTCGAACCAACTTGGTGTTATTTTTGCATACCAACAGAATCTGCTGAAAACCTTCCGAAAACAGAACTCCCGACCCAAAAATCTTTTGCCATCCCATTCACCCTGTATATATATACTCCTATATATATGTATGTATTGGATCTGCCCATATATTTATATCTGAATCCCTGATATGCAAAACTGAAACCATCACGAAATTCTAAAATCTGAAAAGAAAGCGCTTGAAATTGATGTTGATTTATGTGTGCCGCTCACCTTCTGACTTATGATTTTCCGATTTTCGTTTAACGATTTTGGATTCTTTCCGTTCGATTTTGAGTTGGATTCCGGGGCTCAAAAAACGTGCCGAGTGATTGATGTTTGATTTGCCGTACGAAGGTCCTTGCTAATACTTGCCGTGTTGCCCAAACCGTTCTACACAGATCCGATATGATGACGAGGACGAGGATGAAGGTCCACAACCGGATCCTACACTTGAACAGGGTGTGCCAATACCTGTTCGATTGCAGGGCAGCTTCCCGCCGGAATTGGCCTCCACTCCTCTCGAGGATATCGATCCCTACTACAGCAATGTACTGGTAAGTCCTTCGCTTCCCACAATCACATTCCCTTCCTTTCTGAGGAGGGATCTGTTTCCCCCGATTAACAAATGTCAACCCAATTTGCAGACATTCGTAGTTGTAAGCAAAGGAAAAGATATTTTTCGCTTTTCTGCATCAAAAGCAATGTGGCTGCTCGATCCATTCAATCCGATACGTCGTGTGGCCATTTACATTCTAGTGCATCCATTATTTTCCCTATTCATCATCACCACAATTCTCGTCAACTGCATCCTGATGATAATGCCGACAACGCCCACGGTTGAGTCCACTGAGTAAGTACCCCCGGCCACGCCCACTCTATATACTATACGTATACGTATCAGATATCCAGTGTTATCCGATCCTCCCCTGACTAAACACATTTGATTTGGTTTCCTTTCCTTAGATAAATTTCATTTCAAACTTTCTTTACACTTGATTTTCGTTATCCGTTTTCTGTTTTCCGTTTGTGGAACTCTTATAACTAACGTTATTATATTATATACTCTGTACTAGTCATATAAGTATATAAACATTTATATACCTATGTGCTATATATAACCGACATACCTAACTATATACCTAAACGATATTTATACAATACTATATATGTACTTTTTCGATATTTATGCAGATGTGTATTTAGGTGAAACTTGAATTTCTTTCCTCTATGATTTCGACAAAAGCCAAACGAAAAGAAATCGAAAAACAGCAACAAACCAAAGTGCAATCGATATGTTAACATGCAACTGTGTACCATAATTAACTCTATATATAATATATAAATCAATTTAACCAGTCAATCGATCTCAGGCAAAGGTAAAAGCGTCGAGTAAAGTAAAGTTCTAGGTAGCTAATGGCATTTCCAGTAAGAGAACCCCGATATATCATGATGCATTATCGTAGTGGTACGATGGCTCGATGCCATGAAGATCGAAACCGATCTTAACGCTCTTGTATGATATGACACCACTATCGCATCATATCTATCTCATCCTATCTACCAACCAATAACTACTATATCTGTATATCCTCATATCCGTACTCGTACTTCTGTCGTGAGTAACTTTGAATTGTTCGATCGTTCGACTTATCGATAACTCGATCATAGAGCCACCACTCGCGTCCCAATCGCAGAATCGCTATCGAAATTACTCATTCCAACTGTAAATTTGCCACGCTAGTCCATCCGAAAACAAAAATTAAATATATAAAACTGATTATCACCCGAAAACATCGGGAATTCGTAGAGGTCCTGACTGAACCAGTCGAACTGGTTGGTTTTGGTTTGTTCACGTTTCGAATTGAATTCAATCGATATATCATTTGTAACTTTGATCCGTATAGTCGATTGTAGTTCCTAGCTACCTAGTTTATATATCCTACACACGATTAGAAAAAACAATTTGTACCTATACTCATAGTTAGAACATATGTAAATAGTTTAAGTATCTATTAAGTAAACCTTTATAAACAGAAAAAAAGTATTGTTAACGTTATCCCTTATAAAAACCCCAAAATAGAAGCAGATTTTAGAACATTTTGATCATAGTAAATATGTAAACCATATGTAATCATAGCCCCATCCATAGCTATACCCAATTTACATTGTCCTAATTATTCACTTTAGTGGTTTAAAATTTAAACAAATTACTGTGGAATCTAGAAATTCTGATGGCAATAAACTGATAAAAATTAAATTAACTCTTTTATAATAAGAGGGAGTCCCAAAAACAGTTTTTGCTTAATTGCCAAAGAGTTGTCATTTTGTATAATCTTTTGAATAATGAGACCAGCAAATGTTTATATTTTTACTTTTCATTACTAATTACTAACTAACAACGATAAACTTCGTAATTGCTTTTCATAGTTAAAAATCCTTGCTTTGAAACTAATTGAAAATGTTGAACCACTTTGGTTTTCAGTGATTTAATTATCTCAAAGTGTTGTTTTAAAAATATAACTGTTTAAAAGGCAATGTTTTATGTTTTAAAGGTTCCATTTACTCTCTAAAAACAATACATCACAATGTAAATTGGGTCTTAGTTAAGTTCCCTCATAATCGAATTTAGTTAATAGAATATATATTTAGCTATTAAACCATTTTGTAAAGGGTTTTGGTATCGTACTATTTGCAGATTAATCTGGGCGGGGAATTAAAGTAGAATTTTGTGTGATTCCTAGCTGACTTAGAAAACATATATCCCTAGAACAGTTAAAGGGTCCTTGGATCCCGTATTTATATATTATATCTACTCGTATAGTACATAGAAACTCCCTTTGTGGGTAGGACATCTGTCTCTCGCTCTATTCACTCAATTGATTCGATATGTACTTCTAGCTAGAATCGATCGAAAAGTGCTCATCTAGAACTCGTTAATCATAGTAATCAACAAATCTAGAAACATTGCGTATACGTAGTGGTAACTTGTACATAGGTAATATTCAACTCTAGTGACAAATTAAATAAAAAGGAAAGCCAAGCGAGCAAAAATGCTTTGAAGAGTGCGCAGAGCGCCCAAACAATAAAAAGCAATATGTAAAGTGAAAAGAGTTACGTCATTTTTCTAGCTGATATCAAAGTTATTGTCGCAGATTTGGTATCAGAATTGAGCACCCTAAGGTTTAAAAAAATATAAAGACGAGTTAAATACTTTAAGAACTAAAAACAAAAAGAGGCAGAGCGAGCGACAGAGCGGAAACAAAAAAGAATCAGAATCAGAATCAGGAGCAGAAAAACTAAAGGCAGCGATAAGGATAACTGAAGAGGATGAGCAGGAAGAAGAAGAAGAAAAGGAGAAGGAGGAGGAGGAAGAGGAGGAGAAGGAGGAGGAGCAGGTGGCAGCCAGATGGAAGTGCAAGCGGAAGTGCCACTTGAACTTGGCTAAGGGTTGGACGCCTTCGAGGGTGTGGGAAACAAGTGCTGGGGAGTGGAACGGAATAAAATGAGGATGGGGATGGGGATCTAAACAGCAGGTGCCGCATAACTTGAAACACGCACACGCACACACACATACACACACAGACACACACCGGGAAAAAGGGAAAGTACGAAAGTGCGGAGAGTCGGAGAAAGCAGAAAGGAAAGGCAAAAGGACACAACCCAAAGTGGGTCGAGTTGCACATGCAGTTCAACAAACTTCTTCAAGTCCCACTACTATCATTATATTTCAAAAAAAATGTTTTCATTAAAAAGTTACTGAGTAAAATACCATATTCCATATTTGGAATTTTAATTCGAATTTAAGAAGGTATGGCTTTGCATATGCTGACCATTAACTTCTTTGTTATGGACATTTTACTCAGAAAAGATGATGGCTATACATTTTTGAAGAAGTATAAGGTGTTGTGAAGGGTGTTTTTTTCCAACTTGCTCAGTATCTTCATAACATCCCAACTTACTAATTATCCTTCGAACAACATTACTAAATACAGATTTAAATTTTGAATATATTAGCATACCAAACAACTTAAGAATATGGACTCTAATTTAAGAATTTCTGAAAAGAGGCTCTACAGTCCATTAATTCGGCCTACCAACTATATTTGTCAAAGATTTTCTCAATTTGCAAGTATTTTTTGCAGTGTAGGGGTCACACTTGTGCGGGCCCCTGAGAAAGACATAATACCTGCAATTAAAACACAGCTCAAGTGTCCTTCACAGACATTGGGGCCTAGGTCAGACGCATGCTCATCCCCGCTTCGTCTTTTGCTATTCCCCTTCCCTCTGACCCCTGAACCCTGACCCCCCCGCCCCCGCAGGACGACTTTAAAGTAGTTGCGGCGCCCAGAGAACCAAAGAGAGAAAAGGATAAGAAGAAGTAGATATAGAAAGAGAAGAAGAAGGAGCGAGGAGAAGAGTGTCACTGGAGCGCTGTCTGCCTGAAATCTGTCAAATGGCTAACCAGGCAGCGGGGGGCGTAAAGGGGCGGAAAAGGCGATGGGCAATGGGCGTGACAGTGGGGGGCGTGGCATGAAAGAGGCGGACAGTTGGCCGAAGGCCGGCCTATTGATCTGAGAACCCACCCACACCAACAGCCTCCCATACAAAAGCCGTTTCAAGCAGTTGGCCGTTAAGTATTAACCATTATTGACATTGACAATTGTCTATCTGCATCTGCAATTCAGTAATTAGGACGGTCGAGCACTTGCCAAGTGTCCTTTTGATGTGAGCCTGCCATTCAGTTCACGTCTCCGATAAATTCAGTTGTTCGGTACCCTTGCACCTAGCAATTATGTGTCAGAAAACATGTGTACATTTCAATTTAACAAATTTCTGATAATGTTGTTAATAATTGGTTCACATATTTATGGTATATGCCTTTCCGAAAATGGCTTATAGTAATATTTATGAGAACTCAGTGTAAATTACAACTAATTTCCATATTATTATTTTCAATACATAGCATTGGTTTTAATATCTATCACTGGAATTTCCAATTAATAAATTAATGAAATATTTGTAGCACTCTAACTCAATTAGTATTAGTGAACAAATTTGATAATAAAAGAAGTCGATTGTCAAAAATTTTTTTTTTTTTAATTTTTAAAATATGTGTTATTGAGATTTTGGAACACAATGGTGTTAAGGGTAAGAACAACAAGATTTTTCTTTATGCAGTAATTCCAAGTCCCATTTTTGCCGGTTGGTGTTTCTTCGAGTGTGTGTTGTTTCTTTAAGGCTGCTGTTAAATTGGCGGGGACTGTATAAGCAGAGCATCAGTCTAGAACAAGAGCAACCGACATTTGTGAATCGCAAATACAGATACTATCTTTCAACTCGTTGAGGTTATTTCACCATTCAGACACACCGAGATTTGGATATGGGATACAAAAGTGGCACGATTAGGTTAATCACTTAAGTTAGTTTTAAAAATTACATTTATGCTGAATCTCGGAGAAACAACTACGACAAACGGAAGTGAATGGATGGTAAATCGACGCTGGATCGCAAAGTGCCAGCGATTGGAGAACTTATCAAAGAAATCCAGAAGTGTAGCCTACTTTTAAGCGCAATTTTTCTACCCTTTTTGCAACTACTCTGTTTCAATATTTGATTTTCGATTTCGATTTCTATGTAACAGTTACCCATCTATTTTCTTGGACAACTTATTCCAATTGGTTTTAGTTTTTGTGTGTGTGTTTTTTTCCGTTGTTGTTGATGACCCATCTCATCATCAGGCAGTCTAACCAAAAATATAAAAAAAAAACAAACAAACATTTCAAGCAATATCTGAAGTGCATTAAAGCGAAGAAGACAACAAACAACAAATTGCATTTCGAAATTCAATTCGTTTTTAGGGTGATATTCACCGGAATCTACACATTTGAATCAGCTGTTAAAGTGATGGCACGAGGTTTCATTTTATGCCCGTTTACGTATCTTAGAGATGCATGGAATTGGCTGGACTTCGTAGTAATAGCTTTAGCGTGAGTTATATAAACCTATATATATATATATAATGATATATCACTTATTACAATTGAATAATAAATTGTCATCCATCCCGTAAGTCACGCCTATGCTTCCCATTGAAAACTGCAATGGCACCAACAATAATGTTTTAGAGCTACACAATTGAAACTTCATTTAAATTAATTGAAAAATACTAAAATTATACCTTTAGCTATACAAAGTACTTTTTTGCATATCAATTATAATACCTGTCGTTTAATATCTTTTTAATTTATATAATCATAATATTATCAACATTATTTTTGGTGCTTGGCAGTAGCTTCATCCTCGCACCAAAGTACCATCAATAAGGATCAGTTATCGTCTCTTGTGTTGCCTTTGACTTAAGATTTGCTTTCGTATTGGTATCGTAACTGGATCAGCCATCTTATAAGCTGTAGTCACACCAATCTGAATAGCAGACTTCTCAACCCGAATACTTCCTACCCACGCCATATATTCTCGTTTTTATTTCGACTTTATGAAAGACTTTTTTTTACCAGTTTTCAGTTTACAGCCAGTTGACTTCTGATTACAAATTAGCGGTGTTTGCATACAATTTTTATTATTAATATCAATTTATGCAAAACATTCAGACACACTTCATTAACATAATCGTGTGGGTGAGGGTGCGCTTGTGTGTGTGGGAGTCGCGCAATTAGCAGCAGCAAGTTGAGTCAATCAATGGTTGTGAACAGAAATAAATCGAGATTGAAGGCTGAAGGCGACCGAATGCGGCGTTAACCGAATTACAGACATATGCATATATGTACATATATACTCGTATATGCATATTTTGCTGGTCCATTTAATGCAATCAAAGAGACAGCTGTGTGTTCTATCAGCATCAGCAATTAAATGAGCACGAAATGCGGCAAGGGCGCTGCAAAAAACAGAAAACACAAAACCAAGCAAAATTACTGGCCGTAAAAAATGCGAATGTTTGTCGAAACGTGAAGACATGCTGCAATGAGCACGAAAATCGGCTGAACAATTTTAATTCATAATATAATTGTATGCATATTACATAAAAATAAATAAAATATGAACAAATAATAATTAAATATTTGATAAATATTCATTAATTTTTATTTGAATATTTTGTAGATATAATTTTTCTAATCTAACAGCTTTAAGATGTTTGTTTCAATCAAATTAAATAGAAACACTTTTGAACAAGTAAATAATTTGGTTACTTTAACAATCTTAATTCTTCCTCTTAATTGCTAATTGTTAACGATTTCAATAACCCAGAAGAAGAAGCACAGGAATATAGATAACTTGCTTGCCTAATTCTTAGCCAAAAAGAGAAACTAGTTACCGAATTCGCAGTATCTTGAACACATGTGTATTGACTATGAAAAAGAAGTGGAAAAAAAGTTCAGATTTGCGATTGAAAATTAATTTTACAATTGAACAGAGAAAAAAGCTTTAGCAAGTAATTTACTTAATGATTTGGCTAAATTCTTATTAAAGCTTATTGTTATTTTACAAAGAAGCTATAGGTATGCCAATACCATCTGACTTAATAAGAAATCCATAAAAAAATGTGGAATGTAGGTGAACTTTCGGAATTAATCAAAGGGGAGAGGCCGACGGAAATATTCAAAAGTAGAAGCTGAAGTCAAATTAAAATGAACACAGGCCCGGGACCAAAGAGCAAATGGAATTACATTCATTAGAGTTAGCGGTTGGAAAATAATAAAAACGGAAAAAGAAAAACACAAATACAAATAAAAATAAAAAAGCAGCCGCAAGAAAAAAAAAACAGCTATGGCCATAGAATTCTATAGAATTATACGTTACACGCGAGGGAAACAAAAAAAGTCGCGTTAGCTGAGCATTTTTATTGATTTATTTTTGCCGTTTCTAATGACGCGCCCAACCACACACACATACCCATACCCACTCACACACAACACACAACACACAACACACAACACACACACACACAGATACAGTCACAGGATTTTCTCCGATTATTTTCCAAGCACTCGCACACTCACTCACACACACATAAAAAAGCCATAAACAAATTTTTGGTCGCTCAAGTTAATTTTTGTTCCATTTCCCATCTTTTCGGTTATTTTTCCTTTCTCTCCCGTCTCCTTTCTCCTTTTCTCCTTTCTCTTTTTTTATTTTTTGTTTGTTCGAAATTGCCGCTTTGCCTTGTTCTTTTTGTCGTTTCGTGACAATTCCATTTCATTGCTTTCTGCTTCATTTTAAGCATTTATTGGAGCTGTCTATTTGCCATTCGTTTTCCTTCTTTATTATTTTTTTCTTTACTTTTTTCTGGGTGGCAACTGGGGGGAGGGAGTGGAAAGGGGGGTGGGGGTAAGACTGTGTCGTGCGGCACATTTGGCTGGTGGCGCCGCCAGGACGCGCAGCCTTGGCTCGTCAATGCCAGGCACGACATTTTAAAGCTCCGGCTTAAAGCCCCGTGCTTTTCCCCTCCGTTTGGAGAGTGGAGATTCCGGGGCATCGGGGATTCCGGGGATTTCGGGGATTCGCCAATGCAGGCCACTCGCCTTTCCAGTTTTCGTTTTCCCACGAAAACCAGGATTCTGCAAGGGAAAAGGACAACGCAGCCAACCCTTTGAAACATAACTAATTTGGAACAAGTAGCATTTAAATATAAAAAGGAGACAAGAGTTCTTTAATCCAACCAGAAGATGGGTTTTTATGAAAATTGCAATTTACATTTATAGTAGGAAAAAAAAATTGATTAAGGCCTCCAGAAAGGGAATATTAACAATGAAAGCAATTTGTTTGATTATTTTCCTACCGTCTTCGTTAATAAAATTGGCTTTTCAGTTTTAAACATTTGGACCACGTTGCGTATACGTAATTAGGGCTCAATTCCCAATTCCCACCTACAACTGATTTTAAAATCGAGCCAAATATAATTGCAAATGTTTTCCAATGGGAAAATTATTTCTACAAAAAAAAATAATTTTTCGTGACTCAAAATTTTCGTATACGCAATTTAAACGAATTGATATATTACGTATACGCCAAATTTTTTAAGCAAAAATCTTATACAGCTTTTAAATAAGCATGCAATTGCGGCCTTCAGCTAACAAAGCGGTTAACTTTTTTTGACGGACACTTGATAATTGTATCCTAAGAAAGATCTTTCCTAAGATTTCCAATTTTTTCCATTTAATTCTAGCATTGAGTCTAGTGTTTATCCAAAAAAAAAAAAACAACGGGTAATTATTCTATAGGACTGCGAATCGATAAATATTCATGAAAAATAAATGACACCGCTGTTGCTAGTGGCACTTTCAGTGGGGTGGTGCTGGGTCCGCCCACCAAACACGGCCAAAAACAACCTACAACCCACCACCCACCACCCACCGAGAGTTCCCAAAGGATGACGTACGACGGGTCGGAGTGAGCATTTCTGGTCGGTGGGGCTAAGCGGTCTCTATTAATATGCCTTTTTATGACTGGCCACGAAAGAGAGAGAAAATTGATCGGTGGCCCATAGGCGGACCAAGTTGGCGGTGGGCGGTGGGTGATGGTTGGTGGATGGTGGGTTGGAAAATGGGAAGTGGCCCAGGTGAAGCTAATTTACAAAATGTGTAATAAACTTGGCCGTTCGCAGCCGCAGGTTTATTTATTTTAGTACCTATGCTTAGGCATATGTCAAAGTTCGCATTCATTTGGGCTTTTTATGGCATACACTTTCATACACACACACACACACACAATAACACTCACATTTACTCGTTTGATTTACCTTAATTGCTTTGTAAAGAACAACGAAAGAATAATGAACCCACAACATTTGTAATTATATCGAATGCGATCGAATCGAATCAAATTGAAACGAATCGACACAAATTCTATAAATAAGCCAATAACTAATTGCATGCCTATAGCACTCTAATTACTAATATGCGATGACATTCTGTGTGTATATCCGTATCCGTATCCATATCCGTATCTGCCGAACCAACCACGCTCCGTCAACAATCGACAACTATCGACGATCGAAATCGATAACCGATCCGCAGTTATGTGACCATGGGTATAGATTTAGGTAATCTGGCAGCCCTGCGAACGTTTAGGGTGTTGCGAGCGCTTAAAACCGTAGCCATTGTGCCAGGTATGATCAATAAAACTAAAGTTCTCTCCTATATCCATAATTATTATTGCCATGAAATTAAATTCGAATATTATAATAACCATTTGCTTTGACTGGCAGGCTTGAAGACCATCGTGGGTGCCGTCATCGAGTCGGTGAAGAATCTGCGCGATGTGATAATCCTGACCATGTTCTCCCTCTCGGTTTTCGCGCTGATGGGACTGCAGATCTACATGGGCGTGCTCACGCAGAAGTGCATCAAGAAGTTCCCGCTGGACGGCTCCTGGGGCAACCTGACCGATGAGAACTGGGACTACCACAACCGGAACAGCTCCAATTGGTATTCGGAGGACGAGGGCATCTCATTTCCACTGTGCGGCAACATATCCGGCGCGGGGTAAGTTGAGATCTCAACTTCAAGGGTTATACACGAATATAACAAATATGTAGTGCGTGTATAACAAATGTTAACTAACCCTTAATGTTATTGTTAAACTAAACGCTTTTCCATCTTACTTCTCTTTCATGGCATCCAAAACCGATCCGAACCGATTACCAGGCAATGCGATGACGACTACGTGTGCCTGCAGGGGTTTGGACCGAATCCGAACTATGGTTACACCAGCTTCGACTCGTTCGGATGGGCCTTCCTCTCCGCTTTCCGGCTGATGACACAGGACTTCTGGGAGGACCTGTACCAGCTGGTGTTGCGCGCCGCCGGACCATGGCACATGCTGTTCTTTATAGTCATCATCTTCCTAGGTTCATTCTATCTTGTGAATTTGATTTTGGCCATTGTTGCCATGTCGTATGACGAATTGCAAAAGAAGGCCGAAGAAGAAGAGGCTGCCGAAGAGGAGGCGATACGTGTAAGTAGACACCCAGACAACTGCAAGTGCCCCAGTTAACTGCGACTGCGACTGCAGCTGCAAATGCCAACAGCAACAACAGCAGCAACAGCAACTGCAACTGCAGCAGCAAGTGCCACGCAGTGGGACATGAACAGACACGAACAGTAAAACAGACGCCCGCATTTACATACTACACTTGAAAAAACAACTGATACGCAACTCCAACAGCTGCGGTAGATAATTTCAATTTCGATTGCTGCGGGATCTCGATCGATCATTGAGAATATCTACCCGTACCAATAACCGACCAACCACAGCAACAACCACAACAGACTTGCTTTTTTCTTTTGTATGTACTATGTACTATGTACCATATGAATATGAATATCAATATGAATATGAATATGAATATGAATCGACTACTCGTATGTATATCTCGTATGCATTAATATCGTATGCTTTAGCTAATTGTCTATCAAACTATCAATCTAACTTAATCAACAATCGCAACATCCTATCGAAAACTACTCTGTACTCTCTCCTGTACTTTCCAATCATTGTAAAAAATGTCGAGCTCGGTTCCGTCTGATACTGTCATCCAGTAACTGCTATAAGACCTGGTCTTAATCACGAACCATTTAGCTTTCAAAGTTCCTGGAACTTGCCCTCTTATCTCTCTTTCTCTCTCCATATATATATATATATACTTTATCTTATACGTAAACTCTTTGGAGATATAATCGTACTTACTTACTCTATATACTTATAATTTTAGTGCACCATTAGTTTCGATCCTGTCACTAGTCACGAACGATTAACGAAAATAACAAAAGAAGAAATCAAATTACTCACAACCTATACCTACTCTATATATATATAAATATGAATATGTATGAAATAAGATCCTCCCCCCGAAACCCCATCCCAAACCCTAAAACCCTCCCGGAAACCCAGCACAGCACCTTATTGTATGATTTGACTTGATCTGTTGTCTATCAACCTATCAACCACAACCGATCAATGTAGTGTAGTTTTGCTTTTCGTAATGTACCGATTCCGAACCCAAACCGAAAAGATCCCATCCTTGAACCGTAAACCACCCCCGCCCCCCCAAAACCTCCGGATGTGTGAGATTTGCGGAGTGACGGGACTGTACATAATCGCTAATCACATGATCCACAATTGTTGTAGGAAGCTGAGGAGGCTGCCGCCGCCAAAGCGGCCAAGCTGGAGGAGCGGGCCAATGCGCAGGCTCAGGCAGCAGCGGATGCGGCTGCCGCCGAAGAGGCTGCACTGCATCCGGAGATGGCCAAGAGCCCGACGTATTCTTGCATCAGCTATGAGCTGTTTGTTGGCGGCGAGAAGGGCAACGATGACAACAACAAGGAGAAGATGTCCATTCGCAGCGTCGAGGTGGAGTCGGAGTCGGTGAGCGTTATACAAAGACAACCAGCACCTACCACAGCACACCAAGCTACCAAAGTTCGTAAAGTGAGCACGGTAAGTATTCCGAGCGCAGGCGCAGCATTTTTCTTTACCTTCCTTTCCATTCCAGTCTTTTGTTTTTCTTGTACCGTTCCGTTCCGTTCCGTTTCGTTTCGATTCGTTTGACGAGTTTCCGTTATCGCTTTACGTTCCTCCATGTGATCCTCCTTGTTTCGATACTTTTATCGGTTCTCTTACGTTTTACGTTCGGCTTTTGCGTTATTGGGCTCAACTGTACCCCAACTGTCTTTAGATCTAGATGTGTTGAACTGTACATGAATTGTGTTTGGTTGGCCCATCGACGGCCCATCGATTATTATGTATGTGTTGGCTTGAGTTGCTTTTGGCCTCGGTTAGGTTGCTTTTCCGTTGCGTTTATTGCGTTATTCTAACCGACTTCCCTGCAAGGGTCTCGTCCTCCGATCGCTGCCTATCGATATCTGCCTATCGTTGGGCCCAAGATTCAGCTTGCGCTGCAGCTTCGACTAGTACTTCCATGAGCTATCGATTAATTGCGTCGCCGCTACAGCTGACATTTAGAGCAACAGTAAAAGTTACAGTTATAGTTACCGTTTTCGCTAACGTTACATTGCCATTGCATTGTTATCGAACCTGAGTTCCAGTTATCGCCTATCCTTTTTTTGTATCGCTTCTCGTCGATTTTCCTTTGATTCGTTTGATCATTTTGTTGGATCTCCTTCCTCGTTTGATTGGATCGTACATTTCGTGCCTTATATGCTATATAAACTTACCCGTATGATCATGCAACTAGATATTGAATCCTTTCATACCTGTATATGGTTATAGTGTTAGTGCGTGTCGAAATGTATGTATGTAGGTACTATGATCTTTACCTATCTCTATACCTCTTCTTTAAAACAATTTTTTATTTGGTTTGGTTTTCGTTTGTTATTTGCATGCGAGTGTCTGTGTGTGCGTGAGTGTCGGTGGGATATAGAATCCCAGACAGTTTTGTAGTTCTATCGTAGGAGCTTTTGAAAATGATTTTTCCATTTGCCTAGCTTCAGATCTAGACTTTGAGTTTTCTATTCGTCTTGTGTTTTTCTTTCTGCTTTCCCGTGATTTTGTAATTTCCTTAATCGTTTTTGTGTTTCTATTTCGATTTTGGTTGGGTCATTGCTCGGAATGCTTTAGGTAAACATCAAAAACTCCTTAGCAACATATATATCTTATGGTTTCTTCGACAATTGGCTTTCAAACTGCATTCTGCTGCGCCAGTCATTTAAACGCAAGCTAAGAGAACCAACAAGAACCATAGGCTTCAGATTCGTCAGCTTGGCTTGACCATTGGACCTGCGCTTAAAGGCTTTGAACCCACACAAAAACCACTGCGATTTTCGTTTCCTGATTTAAGTTCGATTATTGTTTCCGTTTCGGTTTATAGTGTTAGCCTTGAGACCTGGCCAGATTTCGGTCACCGCTAATTATTTCTTTTAACTTAACGTTGAGTTCCCGTTCTTGTTTCGATTTTTATTAACGTTACGTTTAGATATTTGTTGACATATTGTGCGATAGAGTTTCAGATTTGATAATTTCTGTGGCTGCATTAACCATTGCATGCATTGATCGAACGTTACATTTACCGTTATAGCATCTATAAATGTAAAACAGTTATAACAGTTAACACACGCCACAAACGAATTCCGAAAGCTAGAATCAATCGATTGGAAAACGCTACCACTCGTGCAATTAGCAACAGATCGAATAAATTCAAATCGAATCCAATTGAAACATACCGAATACCATACCTATCGGGCGAGCGATAACCAATTGCGATAACCACAGATCAGCTGAGCTCCCTGTTTCTTTCTATCTCTTGCTAGCTAAATATATAGTTACCTCTCACGACACGCGAACTTTTTAAGCATCCGGCAAGCGTTTGCTTTTCCGCACAGCTACAATTACACAAACACGCGCGCAATTGGAAGATCTCCGCGATAGCTGATAACCGATAATCCATTAACTACGATAGGCGATTCCATTTATCGAGCAGAAAACTCTCAAACATAGTGAATGTTCTCGGTTTTTCCGTTTAAGTCTTTAAAACGCTAACACAGCAATGAACTGCCTTGAATAGATATGAAATAACACATCTCCACACGATATATACCTAACCGATATACTGATTGATAACTCGCTATCGCTATCTCGCTCTCGCTCGCTCGCTAGCTCGTTCTAACCAACCATCACTTTTGCTCAGGGCAGCCTCAGATAGTTTTCGATGAGAGCAGAAACTATTTGGGATTGACCGTTGATCGTATATCGATAAGCCCCCAGTTGCCTCAGGTAGGTTGCTCTCTCTCTCTCTCGCTCTCTCCCACACACACTCTCTCTTTCTCTCTCCAACTCTCTATCTCTCTCTGTCTCGCTCTGTTAAACCAATCAAGCGAACTCACACAGACAAGAAACAACATGCATACACCCCAAAAAAATAAGAAAATATTTCTGATGAGGACTCAAAGCAGAGCCAAGATAATATCGTGTAGATATATATATATTTTTTCGATCCGCTAGCCGCCCCCTGCCATGCCCGCTGAGTATGCAACGAAACGAGATCGAAAGCGCAGTAGAGTTGTGATTTGAAACTAGAAATGCATCCGTACGAAGTTTGGAAGAGATTTGCCTAGAGTTGATTGTAGAACTTACCGATTAACACTTGATTTTAATTACGATTTCGATTACTTTTGTTACCGTTATTGAGCCGGCTTTTCCACCAATGGGACCGATTTTCCCGATCGACTCAAAAGTTATTGAAACCTTTTCGTTTTCAGTATTGTTCCATTGAAGTTTTTCTCTTTTTGGTTGGTTAAGAATTCTTGATCTAAGAACCGTATAAGTATATAACCCTTTTTGGAATATTTTAAGTTATTTGTTCTCCAACCCCGACCCCGAAATATTTAGCTAAATTAATCAACCTTTTAAACAAACGCTACGCTGAAGTAGAACCGAAATCACACCACAAGTTTAAAACTCAAATCAACCGTTCACAAAACTACAAAATGTAAAATAGTTGCTATTTTATCATGTTAAAAGGAACACACACACATAGTGACACAATATATATACACACTGACACACACACTAACACGTGTTTTCACACACTCATACAACTAAACGCTCCAAGTAATAACTTTTCCTTTAAATCGTAGACAGCCCTAACGAATAATTTATACCCAAACCAAAAAAAAATGAAGAAATTGTACAAAAAATAAATATACATTTATCCATAGATAATAAAACCGCAATCGAGGAATATATATATTTTATTTGATTCATTTTTCTTTTTCTTCTTCTATTTATACTTTGTTTGTAAAACAAATAATGTGAAAAAAAAATGAAAACGAACCGAAAAAAAACAAAACTTAGACATCCTTATCCTTACCTGGTTCACCGTTTAACATACGCAGGGGATCACGTAGTTCTCACAAGGTAAGCGCCCAACACACACACACACACACTCGAACACTTCACACGTATTTCACAGACACAGACCCACCCACTGACACAGATACGGAATTGCGAAATACACTAACACACACTACCAACCACCACCTCCATTATCAACCATGTCCATGTGGATCAGCGATCCAGAACCGTGGAATTGGCCATAGATAATCCTGACATCTGAGACCCACCGTCTTAGTTCTTAGCCAAGTAAACAACCGTACCTCGTAGGCAGTTGCTACCGTACAGCGTGTAGATCGTATAGTTATCGAAACGGTTTCCATCGAACACCGAACGCTCAGTTTGGATCAACATACCCCATTCAAGCGACTAGTTAGAGTAGCATCCGTAAAACCCGAACATCTTTAGATCTGAGAGTCACACGTGGCACCCACCAACCATATCGATAAGCATTCGACCACATTCGCATTAGCATTACGTACCGTACCATTAGCCATTTGCCATAACTCACCTAATCGTCTATTACTGTCTACTTACATGTTTTATGGTTTTCTTCTCTTCTCTTCGATAATTGTTTCCTTGTTTGGCCTTGTTTTTTGTGTATCGCTGTAACTCCATATCCCTATATATACATATATAAATATATACATATACTGTTATATACACTATCGTGCATATCCATCTATAACGTATAGTTGTCTAACTAACTGTACTGCTCTTTACTGTACTCGGTTGCAAGTGTGTCTGTCTCTGTGTGCCTGTCCTCAGTTCAGTTCAGTTTAGTACATTTCTGTACACTTTCGTACACTCGACTCTGGTTGGCTTGACCTCTGCAGTGGGCTTCGATGGGAACAGTTCTCGACCGGATGTCACCAGTCACTGTCACGATCACTGTCACTCGGTCACGCCATAGTCGCAAATCACTGTCACAGTCACCATCACCATCACCATCACCATCACGATCACCTCCACTGTCAAATCTCAATGTGCATTCTTACGATCGTTTTCCTTTCGGTTAAGTATGTTTTTATCTTGGTTGAATTTCTGGGTTTGTTATTGTTTAGTTATCTGTTTGTACCTGTGTAATCATGTCTATGTATATGCAAAATAAAAAATATATATATAAACAACTAAGAAAACATTTCACGAAGTCTGTCTGTTGTACTTAACAAACTAAGAAGATAAACTATATAAATAACCGGATTCAGTTCAGATACCAAACATCCGAACTGATTTCGCCGTTAGCCCATTTCATTTGTTCTTCCGCTTTTGATTTATTACTGTTGTCTATTATTGCTCATTTCAAGCCCATCGATAACGAGTCTTTCTGTTCGAAAAACGGTTAAATGTACCGAAGAATACCCTCCGTCATAACTCTCACTAAACTCTCGGCTAAAACCACTTAACTACTACCTACTACTACTGCTCTCTGCTGTATATCTACTTTGTAATTACTAACTACGCCTAGATATAAATATATTTTATATAAAATGTGTGTGGATTTAGTGAATGCGCGAGTGGGTGCGTGTATGTGTGTGTGTGTGTGTGGGAATGAAGGACGCTCGGTTAATGCCGATTAACTAACCGATCCCAATCCTGTAACCATGTCCAGTACACGATACGGAACGGACGTGGCCGCTTTGGTATACCCGGTAGCGATCGCAAACCGTTGGTATTGTCAACATATCAGGACGCCCAGCAGCACTTGCCCTATGCGGACGACTCGAATGCCGTCACCCCGATGTCCGAGGAGAACGGAGCTATCATAGTGCCCGTATATTACGGCAACCTAGGTGGGTAGTACCTTAGCCCTACATATTAGAGAGGTCCACTTACCGAATATTAATTTCATCCAAAGGCTCTCGACACTCATCGTACACCTCGCATCAGTCCCGAATATCGTATACCTCACATGGCGATCTACTCGGCGGCATGGCCGTCATGGGCGTCAGCACAATGACCAAGGAGAGCAAATTGCGCAACCGTAACACACGCAATCAATCAGTGGGCGCCACAAATGGCGGCACCACCTGCCTGGACACCAATCACAAGCTCGAGCATCGCGATTACGTAAGCCACCCCAGTCTTAATCGTTTGTAATCGATTTAATTAATGATTGCTTCGATTATTACACAGGAAATCGGTCTGGAGTGCACGGACGAAGCTGGCAAGATTAAACATCATGACAATCCTTTTATCGAGCCCGTCCAGACACAAACGGTGGTCGACATGAAAGGTAGGATATGAACGATAGAAAATTTCAACTTTCATTTATAAAGCATGGTTAAGTATTGAAACAGATTAACATTACCCCTGACTTATTTAACCCTCAGAGGATTTTCAGATTTTACAGCGCCATCATATGGGTAATATTTATTAACGGATTATTTAGATAGAAAGTGTAATACTCTTCGATTGTTTCGATACCAAAATCCCTGTCATGCTTTCCTCTCTTTTCAGATGTGATGGTCCTGAATGACATCATCGAACAGGCCGCTGGTCGGCACAGTCGGGCTAGCGATCGCGGTGGTAAGTGGATCGATATATGCTTGCCAATATCTGTAACTGTTTACTATCGATTAATCTCCATTCCGTTCATTCTGTACATTTTTGCATCCCAATCGATCGTCGTCTCTTTTGTGTTAACCCTTACATGTGCATTGTTCCATTTGATTTCCGTTTAATGTTCCGTTATCGTGTAAATACAAACTGTAAACAGCCTTGGAAATGCGCGGGGACTAAAGATTGCCAGTCGATTATCCCCGGCAATTCTCCAATTATTTTCAATAATTAACATTTTTGGCTTTACAAAAAAAAAAACAAAAAAACAGCATTGCTTAAGATCATCTTCAATGCGAATTCTTGGCCAAAATAAATCAACTGGAGTGACAGTTTCATTGACCTGGTCATCATGGCTGTCTCGACAAAGATTGAAATTTAATTTCCCTTCATGTTTTATGCATTTCATTTTGCATTTTGATTGCGGTCTTGTTTTGATTTTATCGGTTCGCATGCGTTTTGTGACCTGTGACCCCGCCTGCCCGAGTCCTTCGACTAAATGAATGATTGATTGATTGATGGCTGAAACGAATGAGCAAGTGTCCTGCTCCTAGAGCTCGCATGCATCCTGTGCATCCTTCGATTGATAATTGATAACTGATATCTGGTAACCGTTTTAACCAGGCAAAAAGCGAACGTTTCGTGGCCTTTTCTTTTTAATATTTTTCCCATTGCATTTTCCTTTGTGTTCTGTTCTGCATTCAACCTCTAATCTCGTGTGCATACATATATATATACAAATATTTTTGATTCCTCTTTTTTGATTCTTCTACTCTGAGCTAAATAAAAAATACAAAACAAAATCGAAGCCTAGCAAAAAATATATTTTATATATATACCTATGCATATATACTCCATTTATATATATACTCCAATGAATGACTTCTTTGACTCGTCCATTTTATTTAATGCCGTTGATGCTAACAGAAGAAAGCGAACAAGCAAAAAAAAAAAAAAAACAAAAGCCAAAATCTATACAACAAATGTTTTCAAACAAACAAGAACAACAGTCCGTTAAAAGAAAGTGCAGCCAGCAAGCCAAACACACACACCCATATATAATTAGAGTTGTTATCTCACTCGACACACACACACGTAAGGCGGGAGAGCAAGGCGTTCTCTCGCAGCTTTTATCTCTTTCTCTCTCAAATAAGAGCTTAAGCATTTCGCACGCTGCTGATGCCTCCACCCACACACAGACACACACACACACACACTTTACTCACACACAGCAGCATGAATGACGACCGAGCCGCCGGAGAGCTGATGAAAACTTTCACTCAGTCTCTCCTGCCAGCTGTGACGTCACAAAGGCTGCTCCTTAGAGAGGCTCGACTTGAAACACATTTCGGCCAGAGTTTCCAAATTCCAGAACAAAAGCAAATCGCGAAATTCGATTTTCTTCCTTTTTTTTTACAATGCTTTATTTATTACCTTTAGTTAACAATTTTCTAGTGCATGCCTTAACTAGTTACCTGTATATTTCCAATATTTTGGATAACTTTCTGCCCAAATTAGATGATTTTGTTTTCAAGTACATTTATTTTGAAATTTTGCCTAATAACTTAAAACAAACTGCAGTATATTTGTTAATAATAGAGCATGCTTTTGTTGAACAGTTCGTAGAGCATTATTTAGCCCAATCACATTCACTGTTATCAAATGATTTCCATGAATCAATATATAATATACTAGAACTATTTTAACTGGTATTTGAAGCGTCGAACAACGATTGTATTGGAATATAATTCGCGTAGTATTATTTGTGATTTCCCAAAGTGTCCGATTCGGTTTGATAAACTTCCTACATAGCTTGTCACGAAGTTTAAGAGTAGTCAGAAATCAGCATTAGACGCATATAGTCTTTCGATCAGCTTTTAGTAGAGAAATTCAAACATTATGTAGCTGAATATCGAGTTGGCGGTGAAATATTCGGCCTCCGATGTTGAGATATCCTTAACCTAAAGCTGGCAAGTTATTTTAATTAACAAATAAGAATATATAATATAACATGTTACCTAATAATAACATGTTTGTGTGATCAATAAAATATATAAAATAAATTTTTTATTCTGTAGAAGTTGAAATAATAACTATTTATCAATAAACACATAATGAGTGCATTTATTAACAGTAAGAACATTTAAGTTGTTAACTACAAATTTTAAATCAATGGCTTACCAGCTCTTGGCAAGGATATCGACTGATTCCCGCCAAGTAGGTCAGTTGAGATCTATAGTACCTTTCGATTTTGATAAATTCTGCAATCCTACCTGCAAACTTTTGTTTTTCGTAATGTGCAACGTGCAAAGCAAGAATCGGCAATCAGTATCTCAAAGCCAAAGCCTCTCTCACACAAGACACAAACTTTGAACCGTCTGCTTGAAACGAATAATATCCAATGCAATGAGCTTCAACAAGATAATACAGCAAAATCAAAAACAAGAAATGATATGATATGAAAACGAATGAAACCAAACCAAAAAAAAACAAAAAACTAAAGTAAAAGCAATCTGGCTGAGTCAAAGTTGGTCAAATCACCACTAATAACAAATTTTTGTATGGTTCAGTCTCCGTTTACTATTTCCCAACAGAAGACGATGACGAGGATGGGCCGACGTTCAAGGACAAGGCACTCGAAGTGATCCTCAAAGGCATCGATGTGTTTTGTGTGTGGGACTGTTGCTGGGTTTGGTTGAAATTTCAGGAGTGGGTCTCGCTGATCGTCTTCGATCCCTTCGTCGAGCTCTTCATCACGCTCTGCATTGTGGTGAACACGATGTTCATGGCGATGGACCACCACGATATGAACAAGGAGATGGAGCGCGTGCTCAAGAGTGGCAACTATGTGAGTATTATGGGGTATTCCATATCTGAATTTTGGTATACATATATTAGCTACATTAGAGAATTATTTTGGTCCTTTTACCTGGAACAACAATTTTTAACAAAATACTTAGATTTGATACATGATTATTTTGGTGTATATTTTTCAAAATGTGTTATCAATGAATGAAATGTACTTTCTAATGTTTTTATTTTATCTTGCAGTTCTTCACCGCCACCTTCGCCATCGAGGCCACCATGAAGCTGATGGCCATGAGCCCCAAGTACTATTTCCAGGAGGGCTGGAACATCTTCGACTTCATCATCGTGGCGCTTTCGCTTTTGGAACTGGGCTTAGAAGGCGTCCAGGGCCTGTCCGTCTTGCGCTCGTTTCGATTGGTAAGCCTCTGTTCCGATTTCCATAGGATAGCTTAGTTTAGCCGTAAGATAGGCTTAAGATATTGTTACGCTAACCCCCAACTTTAGCAGGCAACTGTGAAAAGCAAGCTCAAGCGATTCGCGCACAATTGAACAATTGTTAACTCGTACTCGTGCTGGTATATAAACCCCTTTTCCCTCTTCCCATTCTGACCTGCCAATTTGCAGCTGCGTGTTTTCAAGCTGGCCAAATCGTGGCCCACGCTGAATTTGCTCATATCGATTATGGGCCGCACTGTCGGCGCTCTGGGCAATCTGACCTTCGTCCTGTGCATTATTATCTTCATATTCGCGGTCATGGGCATGCAGCTGTTTGGCAAGAACTACACAGGTACTTTGGGCCGAACCCGGAAGATCCCCAAACAAATTCCGATCCCCATCCGAAAAATCCCCATCCGAGAACTCCCATCGAAAAGCCCTCGAATTCGATGCAAAGTTTTAGCGTGCAATGATACCATTTTCTTAGTGCAACCTTTCAACTACAACTTTTTGCCTCCAACTTTTTCAACTTACATACGTTTTTTGAACTCTATATGCTCCTTACTATATAATACTACTTCTTAGCCATAGCCTTACAAAAAGTACACCTACGTAAGACCAAATCCGAGAACTCGTTTAGAGAGCCACGCTTTGGGCACGGTTACTTATTTTAGTTTACCACACTTTGGTTTGATTTCAATCTAGTTTTTAAGATTCTGCTTTTGCTGGCAAAAAACAAGAAAATTAAACAAAATTTCTAGCGGATCATAATGCCCGGACTAATTGTCTTTTTATCCTAGCGAGATCCTTTGACGCATTTTAAGCGAATGTTACGTTATAAGACACCTTTTATAGGCCCGGATTAATCCTAGGCGTAGCCTAAGTAAGAATGATATAACCTGTATATATAGCAACTACTTTAGTGTTTATGTATGAGGTTGTATCGTGCACAGCAACGAAGAACCATCGGTCGACTTAAAATTGTAATTACATTAATTTTTAAATCGATTGTTTTTTGCAATATAATTCTATATAACCTAAATACGACTCTTTTCCACTATATTTTCCTAATGCTTTGCCCGGCTTTCAAATCAAATCAAATCGAATCGAATCGAATCGAAACGAATCCTAACAACATGATCGATTAACCGACCAATCGAATTGAATCAACTTCCCATACACCAATTGCCAATTGAACTGTGAATGAACCCCAAAAACAAACTATACTAAATCAAATCAATCAAATTAAAACAAATCAAATCAAATCAAATCAAATCGAATTCGCAAACTGCAGCTGCGTGTATTCAAATTGGCCAAGTCTTGGCCAACACTTAATTTACTCATTTCGATTATGGGACGCACCATGGGCGCTTTGGGTAATCTGACATTTGTACTTTGCATTATCATCTTCATCTTTGCGGTGATGGGAATGCAACTGTTCGGAAAGAATTATCATGGTAAGTGCAAGTTCAATCGCAACCCGAATCTCATACAACACCTTATTCGATGTGTGTTTCTGTTCAATGTTGTGTATGTGTCGTGGAGATCACAGTGTCCTCAAAAGTATATACATATATTTATATTGCCTCACCTGTCTGTATGTACTGCGTTGTTTGTGTGTTCACCAAGCTCAGTTGTACAGCCCAAAAAGGGGATCCAATTAAAGAGTCAATTTGATAAAGTATAATGTATTGTGATCTACCTTTAAATTGGATTTCCTTAGGAAAAATTGTATTTGCAAAACCATCATACCATGCTACTTTTGATTTATTACAAGCGTTAGTCCGTTTCGAATAATAATGCCCGTCCAATCCCGAATGGTCGAAGTAGCGACTATTAGAATGGTTTCATGATTTCCCTGGAGCTTGAGTTCTTTTATTTGTTTGGCGTTCAATGTTCGATCGAGAGAGTTTCCGTAAGTACTAGCCTGCCAGCGAATTTGCGGCCAATTCACTTTCTCCTAGCTAATTTACTCCAAGCTCGACTATTTGATTTATTCCTTCCTACGTATTTTGTATATGCGAACGCAACAGCAAACTAGCTACACCCTTGCGTAGCTCTAGCCTGAGAAATCATGATGTTGATGGTACTACGTACTACTGCGATACTACTTTGTGTGCCACCCTTTTTCCGTTTCCGTTTCCGTTTTCTGTTTAGTTTTTAAAATTGTGTACGATTTTTCTGGCATTTTAACTTAATATACTTGTATACCTCACCCGTTTTTTGTGAGTGCCCGCTGCGCTGAACACCTTTTGCACACGCTTTTGTATGTGGCTTGACACCGAACCAAATAAAAGAAAAGAAAAAAAAAACACCAACTATGTCCAAATACTCCCGAAATTAAATAAAGAAATTACGAGGGAGATCCAGGAGTGAAGCTAATGATTACTGTATGCCATTGGCAGATCACAAGGACCGCTTCCCAGATGGAGACCTTCCCCGATGGAACTTCACCGACTTCATGCACAGCTTTATGATCGTGTTCCGGGTTCTCTGCGGAGAGTGGATCGAGTCCATGTGGGACTGCATGTACGTGGGCGATGTCTCGTGCATTCCCTTCTTCTTGGCCACCGTTGTCATCGGCAATCTTGTGGTAAGTAATCGATAGAATCGCACTTGGTTCGATAAAACATGCAGTAGCATCCCTGAATATAGATAGATTTTATTACAATTCAGAAAATATAATCTAATAGCTAATCGTTGTACTCTCGTTGCAGGTACTTAACCTTTTCTTAGCCTTGCTTTTGTCCAATTTTGGCTCATCTAGCTTATCAGCGCCGACTGCCGATAACGATACGAATAAAATAGCCGAGGCCTTCAATCGAATTGGCCGATTTAAAAGTTGGGTTAAGCGTAATATTGCTGATTGTTTCAAGTTAATACGTAACAAATTGACAAATCAAATAAGTGATCAACCATCAGGTGAGAGGACCAACCAGATCAGTTGGATTTGGAGCGAAGGTTTTTATCCACTTGTTTTCCAATTACTAAACTACTTTTAATTATATGATACTCGTAATACTCGTATATTGCCAAACGATATAATTGCGTATACCGTTAACGTTAACTTCAACTCACCATTGGCCAGTAATTGAATTGCGTAATCGATCGAAAAACCAAGTATCAGTAACTAAATCAAAAATACTAAAAAAGATCTAACCCAATTCGCAATATGTAAACAGTCAAAAACAAATCGAAACGTAAAGAAAAACCCCAAAGTAAAAATACGTTCTTAGCTGACAATTTGGAAATTCTCTTTAGTTAGTTTCAAGTATACTTCCCTTCCTAGACCTAGACCTTCAACCTTCAACCTTCAACCTTTGACCTCGACCTCAGCCATAATAGCAACCACTCACCCGAACATATGTATGTATCTATAAAGCCAAAAGTTTCATCTTGGTATTCATTTCGATCGAGAGGTCGCATCCATTTCTTTTGTTTGTTCGTATCGGTTCCCGTTCGGTTTGAAACCTAAGTGTTGTTGTTCTTCAGCCGGTCACTGATCCTCTGACCTCTGACCCCAGACTTCAGACCTCCTCCGAGAACTGTGCCGTGCCGTGCCATTTCCGATCACATCATACCCAACAAACAACTTAAACAAATCGTAACCGTAACCGTATCCGTCATAATCTTTAGCATTTTACTTAGATAGTCTGTATTTAGCTGAACCGAAAGTAACAGTACCAGTAAAACCAAAAAAAAAAAAAAAAATAAAAAAACAAAACCAAGTATTGTATTCGTATACGTATTTTCCTTAGATACATATTATTAAAGTTTCTAAACAATTTATAAACTAGTTTGATCCTCGTCGTCAATACTGTTAGCGAATTGACCCTTTTTAACTTTGGTTGAGTTCTTTGAATCTAGCTTAACGTTAGTTAAAGCCTTGTTTTACCTCACCTTTTAATTTCGGATTTAGGTTAATGGTTTTGGTTTCACAACAACCAGTCCCCCACATCCTTGTACATTTGCATTTTCAATAGTCCTCGCTAGACTCGCAGCGGAGATCGATTGGCCAAGCCGAAACAAAACTGATTGATTCTAAAATCGAATTCCCCAAATGGCAAATTCAATTATGTGTCTAGCTGTCATTACCGAAAGGAAACTTAAAAAAATATATGCGAAAACAGTATTAGACTCACATTGTAATATGGAATTATATAAATTGAAAGTAAAACAGTGGATTTGATCCTTCATAGTGTTATGAACTTTTCTTACTCTCGTTACTCAAATTTTAATTTGTTCGATTTACTGTCTGTGTATTAGTAATATGTATGGATTTTAGTTAAAACCTTAGCAACTCGAATCATCCGTCACCTTAAGTTCCATCCACTGGCTGCGATCAATGATATCAGCTAGTGGAAACACTTTCGTTGTTAACGGCTCACCAGCTTATTCAATTAACCGATCAGTTACGTTATCATTAGTTGGCGTCGGTGATGTGAGTGCAATGGAATCGCTGTGCTTACCCACCGATACCGAGTAGTGGAAACACTTTAGTTCAGTTCTCTACAGTGATGCGGCAAGCAGTGCGATCACAAGCACTGCTTGTCCACTGATGCTGACTAGTGGAAACGCCTTAGTTACGTTTTTCTCACTAGTTTATTGAGTTCATTGATCATTTTGCGATTTGTGTTGTTCGCTGTTGTGTTGTGAGCGTTCCTCCTCCTTCGTTCCCACCCAAGACACACCAACTACATCCACACGACACGAAATCTGAAACAAAATGTATTCAACACGATTTAAACCACTGACACCACCACGAACCACCAAACGAACCGCGGAGACGCTGATTAAATGTGTTTTGTGTTCCCTTTGTGTGTCCCTATCGATAACCGATTACCAATTACCGATTTGATCCCAAAAATGACTATTAACCGTAATATCTATCTTCATTCTTTTCATTTATTATGGCTTGTCATGATTTCCCAAAAAAAAAAAAAAAATTATAATTCAAATTCAAAAACTAAACATCCAAACCGAACTTGAATCGCAATGCATTGGCCGACGTATCGAACAACGCTTAAACCAAATCGAATCTCGACTCATCCCAAAATCGACTCAATTCAAAATCAAAATCAAATCAACCAAAACGATCGACAAACAACCAACAACAACAACAACAACTTTAATGCGAACGGCAACTGCTTGTATGAATTATGAATTCGTTTCGCTTTATGATTTCCCAACAATCGATAACCGATCAACAATCGTCATTTGCCCATCCGTACAACTCAATAACAAATATATATTGCATAAATATATATATATATATATATATATATATACTGCCATACCTCTGTTACGTTACATATGTATATATCGAACCGATTATGTAAACACTATCTATAAAACTATTACGATCGAATGTGGGATACGAAAGGCAAAGGCGTTTGTCGTTGTATATCTGCAGAGCATGGTGACAACGAACTGGAGCTGGGTCACGACGAGATCCTCGCCGATGGCCTCATCAAGAAGGGGATCAAGGAGCAGACGCAACTGGAAGTGGCCATCGGGGATGGCATGGAGTTCACGATACACGGCGACATGAAGAACAACAAGCCGAAGAAATCCAAATATCTAAATAACGCAACGGTAAATACAATCCATTTCAGTGCGGATCGCAACTACAACTTGAACTTGAGCTTGGGTCACCTTATATTCTTTATTTTCCCGATACTTGAGCTCAAGTTCCCGATATGTATTGATTTGTAATACTCCCATAACCCGATCCCACAACCCCATTTAACTACAACTACTACCGCTACTACTCCCCTTAAATAAAAATAAAAAATACTTTGTTATTATATAGAATATTTTCGTAACGACAAGAAATTGATTTACCTTATTTGTTCGTTTCTCTTTTCCGTTCATTAAATTGTCACTTTTTTTCTTTCTGCATATAACTGTCTATATGTGTACTGTTATGTGTGTGTATTCCACCACCCAATCAATCGAAAAAAAAAAAAAAAATAAAAACAAAAATGATAAAAACTCAACCAACCAATCCAACCAACTGAACCACCCAACTGAAAAAAAAACCAAAACCAAAATACTGAAACACATGAACTGATAATCTCGCTAAAACAAAAAACAAAAACAAAAATCTATACCGATATATGAAAATATATATATATATATGTATAACTATAACTATAACTATACAGATGATTGGCAACTCAATTAACCACCAAGACAATAGACTGGAACACGAGCTAAACCATAGAGGTTTGTCCTTACAGGACGACGACACTGCCAGCATTAACTCATATGGTAGCCATAAGAATCGACCATTCAAGGACGAGAGCCACAAGGGCAGCGCCGAGACGATGGAGGGCGAGGAGAAGCGGGACGCCAGCAAGGAGGATTTAGGTCTCGACGAGGAACTGGACGAGGAGGGCGAATGCGAGGAGGGCCCGCTCGACGGTGATATCATTATTCATGCACACGACGAGGATATACTCGATGAATATCCAGCTGATTGCTGCCCCGATTCGTACTATAAGAAATTTCCGATCTTAGCCGGTGACGATGACTCGCCGTTCTGGCAAGGATGGGGCAATTTACGACTGAAAACTTTTCAATTAATTGAAAATAAATATTTTGAAACAGCTGTTATCACTATGATTTTAATGAGTAGCTTAGCTTTGGTAAGTCAACTACAAAATTTACAATCAAAAATCAAATCCTTTTAAAAATCGATAAATACAAAAATACAATTTTGAAAAAGACTCTAAGCCAGAACATTCGATACGATATTTGTTTGCCATTTAGATTGTTGCAAATTTGTGCCATTTGCCTTTTTTACATGCTAAAAATGCAAATCCTTAGCTTGCAACAGTTGTCCAAATTAACCAATCAAAAGAACCATTCAAATCAAGCAAAAACAATTGAAAATGTAGTTAATCAAGCCATGCTTAAACTTTACCAAAGTTGATTGCTTCATTCCGAAACCCGACCCAAACCATTTTTAAGTTCGATCCCAGTCTCTCTGCAAAGTATAGCATAGCTTAGCGTAGATATTCTCCGATTGGATCAGAGTTTTATGTTTTCAACTCCCCCCAGCCGATGGTGGAGCCCACCAAGACTTGCCATCGGCCTTAAACTCCCTTCAAATTGAATATTTAAAACCACTTTCTAAGTGAGAGAATAGTTTTTAAACATTTTAAACAGGTTTGCCTCGTATGCCTAGGCACATTTCTGTCAAACGGCTTGTGTCTCCGCGTAAGATCGCAAACTTACGATTTCTAGAAAATCGTTTAGCGAACTAGAACTAGTTGTTTACCTAGATACTTGATATAGAACTAGATGTAGACGCTTTGTGCGTATTATTTCAAGAATTTTGTCTTCAATTTCTTTGAAAATTTTTCTTTAATTGCGTTTGACTTTCATTTGTCCGCCCAAGAAGAAGATCCGAAAAAGCGAAGAAAAGAAAAGAAGAGAAAGCCGGCTGTTGTACAGCAAATACAGCGATGCTTTAACAACCATTTTTTAATAATCATTAATGTTATATAGCTTCTTATACTGCTTCTAGATAATTGTTATACTCGTACTCGTACTCGTACCTCATTATCTCGTAACCACTCTATAACGCCAATGTAAATGTCCCTGTGTTTCTTCTATATGAATACGCAACAACAACTTCAACAACTTCAACAACATCGACAACTTCAAAAACATCGACAACAGGCATTAGAAGATGTACATCTGCCACAAAGACCCATACTGCAGGATATTTTATACTATATGGACAGAATATTTACGGTTATATTCTTCTTGGAAATGTTAATCAAGTGGTTGGCGCTCGGCTTCAAAGTGTACTTCACCAACGCGTGGTGTTGGCTCGATTTCGTGATTGTCATGGTAAGTCCACCGGTTGCCCAAGTAGATCGCTCCCCATTCTGCTTTCGGACCTCAGAACTTTTTAGTTTGCAACGAGCAACTCAAACCGTTACCGAACTTAAACCACCGGCCCTAAAAACTGACCCAAGACCGAAACGAATTGATGCAGTGACGAAGACGATTTAAGACAATTTTTCAGTTAAAAGCTCCCTCCCCTTAGACCAAAAACTGTGAAGACAGTGTTGCGGGTGGTCGAGCTCCACCGGAGTTTGTATATCTGAACTGTATATTGAGAACCATTGTATTATATACAAATAGTAAAACGTAAAAGTAAACCCTTTGTACAATAGGTTAGCCTAGTTATTTGGAATAGCTTAGAACGATAAGAATACCCCGAGCCCTAGAAAACCATTCCTAGATTATAGTGTATCCAAGTTTGAGTTTCGTTTTGAGTTACCCGCCATCTGAATCTGAATCGCCCATCTAGCTGTCGCTAATTAATTTGGCCGCGGTCTGGTCGGGGGCCGATGATGTGCCCGCCTTTCGCTCGATGCGAACTCTGCGCGCCCTGCGACCTCTGCGGGCAGTTTCGCGCTGGGAGGGCATGAAAGTAAGTAGCGTCCACCACAGCCTCTCTCTCTCTCTCTATCTTTCCTTTTCTCTCTGTCACTTTCTCTCTGTCTATTGCTGTCTCTGTCACTCTCTCTCGATCTGAGACTTAACCTCCTTTAAGTGTTTCTCTCTGTGTAACTTTCGATCATTCGCATTCTCTGTTGTTTCAATGTGTGTGCGTGTGACTGGGTGTGTGTATGAGTGTACATGTGTGTGTGTGTGTGTGTCAAGTAACCAACTAACACTATTCGATTACTGTATATCCGTTAAATGTTGTTGCCTCACTAATAAACTTACTTACGGACTTGCCATCCCTTCAATCTTCAGTGCTATCTGAAAGTGTTATACTGTAAGGCAGTGGTAAGCAGTGCAGCTGTTATAAAGATCAGTTGCAGCGTTTACCAAGACCTTTGAACATTTGGTAACCCTTACCAACTTAAAGTAACCGAAAACTTCTTTGGCAAAGCGCTTTAGTCCATCCCCAAAACTGTTATACACCTAACCAATCCTTTGCAGTGTGTGTGTGTGTGTGTATGTAAGAGCTATGTTGTGAAACACTTTCGTTAACATTTTCCGTTAAAATAAACGATATATCAATATTTAAGTATGGGTGTACGTGGTTTTCTCTCGCTCAATATGTGTGTGTTATACGCTACTATCCGTCCAAGCCGAATCGCTCACACTGCGCCCAGGGCAGCGCCAAAGCAAAGTGTTATACCGGCCAGTTCTGTACATTTTCCGCTGCCTGTTAATGTTGATGTACTATTTATTCCCCCACTTATGTGTGCCCCCAACCCCCCATCTACCTAAAATATCTATCAATGTCCCTATCTACTCATACTGTTGCCTAAATGTAACGTAACGTACATATGTAACGTAAAATATATACATATAAATATCAAATAAATCCGCTCTACTGCAATATAATCCAGATGCTTTGTAGGCATTATATTCCATTGCTGCCGTCGCGTGCTTCAGCTTTGTTGCGTCTTTATAATATAATACTATAGCGTACTCATATGGTTCATATATAGTTTATACAAGTAACTTAGGACCATTGATAGAGACATAAATAGGTCAGTCATAGCTTATAAATTGTACTATATATACATAATCGTACGTATCTTGTTAAATTAGATTTAAGTATAATACTTGCTATTGCATTGGCCAGCCAACGTAACTGTTATACGAAAAAGAAGCGTATAATAACCTGTGTATAAGTAGTTTGGTTCAATAACTAGCCTTAGCTTAGACCTAGGTAGAAATACCTTCCCCCCAGAACCCCCCAATCTACCGAAACCCCAACCCCTGTACACTCCCAGTTTTCGAGTCCGAACCCCTAGATCGTTTGGTTGTCTTAGACAGATAGTTAGATAGATGCCCCATCTCCAGAGCCACGTCCACACGAACACAAAGAATATGAAACGCAACTGGACCCCCTGCCCCTTCCAATCTCCCTCGCCACGACCTCCAAACTTAGCGGCACCAAAACTATATCCATCTGTAAAAGGTGTATGTACATACCAAATGTATATCGCGAACTAAACAAAAGGGCCACAACTGCACTGAATTGTACAAACAAGAAGTAAAACAGTATGAATTACAAAAACCAAAAACTTCGCGACGATGAGTCGTTAGTGTATAGAATCGACATCGTTTACTCGTATATGTATATATACTGTATATTCAAGCACAATCAGTACAATCAGAACCAACCAGATGTCGAGCACTCGACAAATCGCTCATACGCAGTGGTGGCAGTGTTTTACTTACAACAAACGACGCTCCAATCGCGTCCCGTCTCACACCAACTGATGTCGCTTGGTCTGGGCTAACTTAACTGAGCTCTTCTTATCTAGGCCCCCAAAAAGGCCCTTCTGGTATCCACAATACCCAATCGAGTCCGGCAGCAAAGTTTGAGCAAAAATGTGTCAACATAGAGACAGATCAAGACAGAAAAAGAAAAGAAAAGAAAAGAAAAGAAAAAAGAAAAAAAGAAACCAAAAGCCGAAAGCCATTTTCAATAAGAACCTAGTGATGAGGTCGCACGACTGCACAATGGACCCATCGAGGTCCCTGCATACGCCCCGATCAGCAAATCGCAGTTACCATTAACCCAAAATCGCCACAGAGTGTTTGTAAATATTAGAAGAATCTGTCGAATCAAATCATGGAACATCCATCCACGGCGTATGCATGCCGAATTCGTCCATTGTGAAGTTCAGTGCGGCTGGTGGTGCAAAAAACAATCGAAGTAGGAATCGATCGATTTAGACAGAGCTAGCTTAGATCTCAAAGTCATCTCAATCTCTCTATCTCTCTGTAACAACATCTATGAATGTTATGTCCTTCCCCGTCAGGACCGCCTTCGTCTTCGTCTCGAACAACCAATACACACACACACAACAACTCTCGTCTCTGTTTCTCTCAGTAATCGTAACCCCCGAGCCTTGGATTGAACCGAAACTACTTCCAAATACACATGTCAAACCAATCCAAAATCAAACCGAACCGAACCCCCAGTAACCTACATTCGAGTATACGTACTTTATATGCATATGTGTTAACCTGTTTTGTGTGTATGTGTCTACGTCTATAAGTGTTACCATCTATGTATTTGCCAGAAGACCTATACTATATATCTATCAATATATATATTTATATACTCGTACAAACTATATAACGTATCAACTATCGTACACTAGGCTATTGTTTAAGTACCCCCTGTTGTTGTCTAAGTCAGAAAGCGCATTGGTAATATGCAAGTAAGTTCTCTGTACCCATAGGGCCCCTGCCACGCCCCTGCCACGCCCCTGCCACGCCCCTGCCACGCCCCTTCCCGTTTGTCACGCCCCTTTCTTCTCGAGCAGCAGCTGCAACGAACAACGGTGCGGATTGAACTCCTCTAAGCTTCTTTCAGTTAGACAGACAGACAGAACCAAAAACCAAAGAACCTGAAACCAAACCGAACAAAAACAGAAGAACAGAAAAAAAAAACCAACAAAAAAAAACCAATAATGAACACCGAAATGAAAGATAAACACTTTTGCTTTATTTACCAAGAATCTCTGTATGCAACTACTATATGTTAAACTTGGCACTATTCGAACTATATCGAAACTAGGTATCGCTTATCAACTTCGTTGCTTCACTTGTTGGAGCTGGTGGTATTCAAGCCTTCAAGACTATGCGAACGTTAAGAGCACTGAGACCACTACGTGCCATGTCCCGTATGCAGGGCATGAGGGTACGTACTTTCCATACATACTCGTAAAAATCGTACAAATCCTATACCAAACCAAAAAACAACCAAATCAATTCAAAACCAATTACCACAACAAAATACCAACCAACCAAAAACAAACAACTTCATCAATCAGTATCAATATCAGTATCAGTATCAGTAACAGTACTCAGTATCAGTATCAGTATCAGTATCGTAACTCGTAATCAATCCAGCTAAAAGCGCCGAATCTCATCCAATAACCAATACTGGCAACTCTTTAACGCTGTTTAACCCTATCTACTCGTACTCGTTTACACCAGCCATTCATAAACTAAACTAACAGCAACCGATCAGAATTGTGTATCTAGATAAATTGAAACGTAGCTTTACAGTTAACCATTTGGATTGTTGGACTCATAACCATGATTATCGGTTCAAGTGCAGCAGTTGATTTGATTTGTTGCATCCGTAATGCGTAATCTGTAAAACATAAACCATAAACCGTAATTGATTGACTGATTAGATGATACTTAATTACCCAACTACTTACTCAAATCTCTCCCTCATCGATCAGCCGAACACAAAAATAAAACCACACTCAAAGTACTAGAGTTAATCTTAGCTATCGTTAATCGTTATTCTTATACTTATACTTATGCGTATCCGTTATTCATAATTAGAAAACCGTTATGCCTTGCCTTCTCTCTCTCACACACAAGTTGCGTCTTGCTCGCTCAATATTTCGCTCTCGCTCGCTCGCTCTCTCTCTCTTTCTTTACTATCTCTCTGTACTCTCTACTCTCTATTTTAGTCCTGCTAACCACTTGTTTTATTGACTGTCCACTCGGCTCACTCTTAGAATAATTGGCTCATTCGAACGCAACCAACTAAGAAATTCGCTTAACCAGCTTCATTCGACGACAGTCAGTCGAGTCTAATTGCCTGCCCGAAATAAAAACCGTAGTAACCGATCGAACTTAGAGCTAGAACCATCACCGTCTTATGTAACTACACAGCATTTGACTCTGCTCTTATTTAACCCATCTCATCTAGTTCGCATTCCGACCGGATTCACGTACTTAGTTCCTAGTTTAAGTTAACTCTTAGCCGTATACTCTTAACTACTTCTACTTGATCTTGTGCCTGCTTGATCGCCAATGAACCGTTATGCCGTTGCATGTTATGCCTCACCGTTATTGTGTAGTGTTGTAAATTGAACTGCTGCTTTGGCTTGGCTCAGTGTTGAGCAACGCACGCTGCCTGCAAGTCGTGTTTGTTAACGCTGAGTAAATCTATGAGCAAATATACATTGCACACACACACACATGCTTCCATCTCATAAAGCGCAAACACATTCAGCTTTATAAATAAGCCAGCAATCACTCTCATTTACAAACGATCACATACACGCACCAACCAACTTACTAACCAACACACCCATCTGTACATCCACATCTACTTATAAGTCTGATACTAACATAGTGATTATCGATAAATATAAATATAAATACTTATATATTCCTAACTGACTAAATAACTCTCTGCATTTATTGTATTATATTCTATCCCCTCTCCCCCGCCCTCGCCTCGCCCTGCCTCGCATCACCCATACACCCATGTATCCCAAACTACAACAACAACCAAACCAAACCAACCAACCCATCGATAACTCAACTCCCAATCATCATCGACGTTGCCAACGACGACCCAATCGGTTAACGATCGATCGTTTGATCAATCGATCCACGAAATCTGAAAAACAAACGACTACAAAAAACTATAAAAACCAAACCAAATTCAGGTCGTCGTTAATGCGCTGGTACAAGCTATACCGTCCATCTTCAATGTGCTATTGGTGTGTCTAATATTTTGGCTAATTTTTGCCATAATGGGTGTACAGCTTTTTGCTGGAAAATATTTTAAGGTACGTGCCAAATGTTTCAAACTAAAACCTGAACCAAAACCAGAAACCAAGCCAAAACCAAAACCAAAACTAAAAACGAAACCGAAACATAATCAAACAGGCCAAAGATCGGAGGTAAAATGAATACAAGTCACACAGGCCTGTGCTCGTTTCGTCTCCAAATGGCCAAAATTGAGCAAATCCAATTCCAAGCAGCATTCCATAATTAGCAACGATTTAATCAATCGAACTATCAAATCAATCTTGAAAGAAATGCGTATCTTTGCATCTATTTTTCGTAAATAGTTGAGTTTCAAACACGATTCGAAACGTAAAGTTCAGAATTAACAAGCCAAGAACTTGTCCACAAAGAAGAGACAAGTCCTTGCTGACTGTACATAAAATCAGAATTCATTCAAGTGCAAGTCCTAAGCAAGAATCAGAATCGAACTCAAAGTCAAAGTGAAAAGTCAATATCAAAATCAATATCAAAATCAGAATCAGATGCATAGTCCGATTCAGCTTGGGCATGCTTATCGAACTTTATATTACAATACGAGTATGCGACCTTGCGAAAGTTTCTGCACTAAAACCGTTTCTTAGAACACTCCTTAGTATGTAATAGCCTTAGTTTGTACTCTGCCTTTTGCACCGGAACTCGAAATTGAGCAGATCTATTCAATCCTTTTTTAATATAATCAACTATAATCTAATCCAATCCAATCGAAGCCGAGCTTTTTTAAATATCGTATAGTCAAGAGGCCAAGCTAATTAGCTGCTCAAACACTAACACAGCCACAGAGACACTGACACTATTACAAATTAGTTAGCATCTATAGCTGTTTCCTTATGTAATCTAACCCGCCCCGATATCTATATATATTTATTACTATAATTATCTGTATGTGAAATCCTGCATAACTGAAATACATTTTTTCGAAATCAACTCGATAAACAAAACCAATCCCATCGACGCCAACCACCGATGACCGATAACAACGATCGATAACCAACAGTGCGAGGACATGAACGGCACGAAGCTCAGCCACGAGATCATACCAAATCGCAATGCCTGCGAGAGCGAGAACTACACGTGGGTGAATTCAGCAATGAATTTCGATCATGTAGGTAACGCGTATCTGTGCCTTTTCCAAGTGGCCACCTTCAAAGGCTGGATACAAATCATGAACGATGCTATCGATTCACGAGAGGTAATGTACAACCCTTACAATCATCACATTCGATCAGATTGCATTTCTGTTTGCCAATGCGCTTTGCCAGCCACAAAATCCAGTCAAATATCAATAATTTAACACGCAAAATAGAGCAGAAAGCCGCAATGACAAAGCTATGTTACAAACGAATAGTTAGTTTAGCCTCCATATATACTGTAAATGTATAGAATTGTCGATAATCTCTATTTAAGTCCAGTCTATGATACTTTTTATTAATCAACCAATTTTATCTATAACTTTTTCTCTTTTTTATATATGATCAACAAATCTACAACTACTACAACAACACTCAACACTTAAAAACAACAACTACAAACAACAACAAATATGGTCACACCACTCAAAAAAAAAACTACAACTCTGGCTACACCCACTCCACAACAACAACAACACGAGCAACACTAAAAATGATCCATTCACCAAAAAAAATATATGAAACGAAATGAAATGAAACCCGAAACTGAAACCGATGATGCCATACTACTAAATTACCCCGCAAAATATAAAATTCAACATCGACACCTGCTGCTATCGACCGATATCGAACCGGCCAAACAATCGATAACAGGTGGACAAACAACCAATTCGTGAAACGAACATCTACATGTATTTATATTTCGTATTCTTCATCATATTTGGATCATTTTTCACACTCAATCTGTTCATTGGTGTTATCATTGATAATTTTAATGAGCAAAAGAAAAAAGCAGGTGGATCATTAGAAATGTTCATGACAGAAGATCAGAAAAAGTACTATAATGCTATGAAAAAGATGGGCTCTAAAAAACCATTAAAAGCCATTCCAAGACCAAGGGTAAGACAACAACAAAATACAAAAAAAAAATAAAATATTTATAATATAACTAAAACAAATGAAATCCTCTAATCAATGAAAAAAGAAGTAAACAAGAATCAACGAGTAAACTTATAAATCAATATAACACCTTAAGAATGAGAAGAAACCTACCTTTGTATAAATATAAATGAAAGCAAAAATCTTTTGAAAAGGGGCATCAAAATATTTAGCCAGCTCTTGAAGAAGTGCAATCCCGTTCAAGTAAAATACTTGCCATTCTCTCAAAGTATTCTGTATTCTGTCGATATTAATTCATTTGATGCCCCATAAACGAAATTGAACTAAAACCCCTTATAAAAGTATAAATGAAAATTAAAAAATATGACTGCAAAATAAATAAATAAAACCAGGACAATGAAAAAAAATAGCTTTTGATCGCGTAATCTGTGCCAATCGTATCTGAATTGTATATATAACATTTTGTATATATGATAAACTTTTTTCTATGTTAACTTGTTTTAAGAAAACACACTACTGTGCTACTAAATCAGACTGCTATACGGGACTGTTATACCGAACCTAACCAAAACTTTTAAAGCCAAAAACCGCTAAAATCGACAACAAGTTATATGATTGATACATTCGGTTATTATCCAAGTAATTATACACTTTTCAAAAAAGTGTTATACAGACTCGAACAGAGACCAATACCCTTGCAATCCGTTGAGTTTATTTATGTACCAAACACATATCTACGTACGCGCGTATGTATGTATGTGAAGAAAGGCCCCGTTCTCTAGCAATATTTTGTCAAGTTAATTGATGGATCTTTGAAACAAGAAAAACAACAAGAGAAACATTACGAAAACGAAAAGATCGAGAAGATGATGGCAGTGCACCAAGTCGAGTCTCTGGAATGGCTGCCGTGGTGTGAAAGAAAGAGACAACGCCACTGTTGCCATTGAGCGACTCCTGCGTGCGACTGCGGGTGCGAGTGCGACGACGATGTGGTCGCAAACATACCGTTTTCTTACTCTCTACTCTAATACTTAATTTCCACTAGCTGTACTTAAGTATTGTGTCCGTTTGGTTCGTCTGTACTTAAACATTTTTATGTCTGCCATTTATCAGCTGGACGTTCGTTCTATCAAATTTATTCCAAAATTCCAAAAGCAAAGCAAAACTACAATCTATCTATATGTATATACCTATCTATGATACCCCACTTGTAACACTCCTAACTTAGATATGGCAACCAATGCATGTTTCTTTTCTACTTGTACAACTACTAATCCTAATATGGATGTGTACATAGCATACATCTTGGCACGTCTCTCTTTAATCTCTACTCTACTCTACTGGGCATGTTTAGCGATAGTAACAGAACCGATAACTGATAACCGATAAGTGAAACTTAAAAAAACTGTACTGTAAATGTAACGATATCCGCGGCAACGGCATGCTGACGAAGAAAAGAGACAGACCGATAGATCGATCGACAGACTGCACGTTAACAACCGAATGAACCTGTCTGCTATCTCTCTCTAACACTAGCTCTGTAACTGTATCCGTCTCTGTCTCGTGGTAGTGTGCTCTGTTGCTCTAGCTCGAACTTAAACGTTAACCTATAATCGATGCAATGAATGAATGTTAATAGCACACTGAGTCACTGTTTAACAATAATTCCCAACTGTTTTACTGTTATACTGTTATACGCCTACTCTGTACGTCTGCAGGTGCGCGGCTCTCGACGCTCCACACAGAATGATCACATCATGGAAAAAAGTTTGCAATTGGCACAGATCTACAAACGTTATGTAATACTAGACAAGAAAGCAAAGAAACCGATAAAACCCCCATAAACCAAACAGAAAGTAACTCAATAATACAAAGCGATCAACTGAAAAATCTTATTCTATATACATATATATAAATGATAATTCGACGTATTTAACAAAATGTACTTATACGAAACTCTTCTATTCCTTTTCTCTCTTCTCTCCAATGTGTTTTGTCGGTGTCCAACGATTGATTATGTTTTGTGTTTCTTATGTTTTATTCCTCTTATGATTTCCATCTTGATTTCCGTGTTGATCTTTTACCATTCCAGTGGCGACCACAAGCAATAGTCTTTGAAATAGTAACCGATAAGAAATTCGATATAATCATTATGTTATTCATTGGTCTGAACATGTTCACCATGACCCTCGATCGTTACGATGCGTCGGACACGTACAACGCGGTCCTAGACTATCTCAATGCGATATTCGTAGTTATTTTCAGTTCCGAATGTCTATTAAAAATATTCGCTTTACGATATCACTATTTTATTGAGCCATGGAATTTATTTGATGTAGTAGTTGTCATTTTATCCATCTTAGGTAAGTAAAACCGAAAATCAATTTCCAAATTAACCCAACCACCCACTGCCCAACTGCCAACCTAATAGCCAAAATATGCAAATCGACCCCGAGCTCTTTTAACTTAAAAAACAAAAACACTTTGAATTCCGGATCAGCTTGATGATCCTTGAGTCCTAAACTCTCCTCTCTCTCCCCCACTCTCTCTATTTATATGCATATATATATTTGATGTAAAAACCTGTCTGTCTCTGCCACAGTACGCTCCTCTCTCATTAAGTATTGTACCTTGTAATAATTGTTGCTAATTTGCTGTCGTATAGGTAATGCGTAATTCCATTGTTCGATGTTGATTCGTATTCAAATCCCCATTCCCAGCAAAAGAATCAAGCAATGTAATAATCTAAATCCCTTCCCTACCAATTTGTTGTGTACAAAAATTGTTGTATCGCGAGTGTTCATACTGTGGTATCAACTGTTATACTCGTATTTATAACAGTGTCACAATCACTATATGAGCAGCTCAATGTTGTTGTGCTTAACGTATTCCAAGTTATATTTTTATTTTCGCTTTTGAAGCGCTTGCCATTTGCCTTTTTAGCTGAAGGTGCAGTAATGCTTATTAAGAAAGTGTTATACATTTGTTATACGACTAATATTTTTACATTTTTGTCATCATGTAACTAATTTTAATGTAAGCTGCAAAAGCTTTAAGATTTATACAAGTTTAAAGTGTTCTAATCATATTTTATAAAGCCCCTAAATTGTTATACTAGCTGTAATTTTATTCTGATTCTACTGAATTAAAAATATTTACTCTTCAAGGACTTTTTAATTTTAATAAGTCTCTCAAACATTTAAGTAATTTGAAAACTTTGACCAACAAGTTTTATACGGTATCACTTTATAAGTATTTTGCAATATTTTTATACAGCTATGAAAGAACCCAGTTCAAAAAGCAAATGCGCAATCGATTAATTAATGTGATAAATATATTTTTTTTTTTTTTATTGTTGTTGTTGTTATTGCCAAATTTGTATGTAAAATACGTAAATCGATGTTGAATTTTTATTTAAGCCTAAGTTAAAAAGTAACCGTAATACGTTGTAATATGTTGTTAATTTAATTGTATTTTCCAAGTAATTGTTGTCGTTTGTAGCTGGCGTTAAAATTTATTTGTACTTGACCATAAACTTGATATATTTTTCGTTGTCAATCAGTTGATAATACTAACAATTGGCAGATTTCTATTGAAGTTTGTCAAAAAATAATTTTTATGTTTGATTTTCAAGCTTAAAAGGGTCAAGCCCTTGCCTGAATGTTTTATTTAATTCAACCATTTTACTTTATATACAAAACTACAATTAATAGCGAGAAAAATTGCGCATACGTAAGCACAAAAATGAACGAACAAATGGAAGAGCCGAACCGAGAGACAGTTCCCACCACTCGAAAGTGGCATTATGTTCCGAAACTCAAGTAGGAATTGGCTATTGGAGATTACCAGAAACAACCACGATAAACTATACAAAAGATGGCTTAAAATATGCTTTACTACATTGACAAGTGCAACAGAGAGCCTCCTTTTTAATGCCGATTGCGTTGAAAAGAATGCTTTTCATCGTTCTGTTGCTGTCTAAGGTGTTCCCCGATTCGAAATGCGCCCAAAAAAATATTTTGTCTAGCGAAAGTCCCCATAAACCAAAACCAAATACCAAATACCCCAACCCCAAAACCCCAAACCTCTGTCCAACTCCAAACCAGAACCGAACCAAAACCAAAAACCAAGTCAACCCCTACAAAATCGGAACCTAAACAAACCGATCGTATTGTGTTTTTCCCCCCTTCTATATGTACAAGTTTTTCGTTTCACTTTTGAAATAAGTATAGTTTGTGCGAGAGAAGCTTCAAGTAAACCTTTACTATTTAAGAGCTGCGAAACTTAAATGTTGCTTTCCGCTTCCTTTATCTCATATATGTATTTGTATATGTTTACTACTCGCAAGAGATTCACGCGCCCCAAACTTGTTCTCAAGCGCACTTTCCAAGAACAAAAAACCAACAAAAAAAAACAAAAACTTAAATGCTTTTAACTTTTTCGAGCGCCTAAAAGTTCTATGCTTCCTTATTTGGCTTCGATGTTGCGACAGACGCAGAGTGATATCCTCATAGACGAATATATTAATACACGCTTAAGGCAAACGAAAACAATCCACAGAAAAAAAAAACAAAACAAAAAAGAAAACATAACGAAAAGACAACGACGACTGAGCTTTTGTAAATGCAAATTCTTTAAATAACAAAGTAACAGAATAACAATAAAAAAAAGAAATCAATAATGAAAAGCAATGCTAATACACTTCTACACACACACACTTACACTCTTACACACGTTAAATGGCTTGCACAAAAACGCATAAAAAATATCAAACGAAACGAAATGAAAGTGAAAAAAATGAAGATAAACTCAATTTACACAAGATTCATTCAGAGTTAGGTGTCAATGGGCATTCCACTCTGTGCGATTGTCGGTTGCATAACTCTGTAAGCTATCGCAAGGTATCCGAAATCCTCAAACCGAACACGGTATCCCCAATGCATTGAGTGGGATCCAAAAGATTGAAACGGATCAGAGCCAGGAGCTCTGAGGGCGGGGCCCCAGCCAGGACAACGGCCATGCGGACTGTCTTAGCGTGCAGATCCTGCAAGGCCGTTGAACTGGATCGGACCGGACCCAATGGCAAACCCAACCCAGCCCGAACCCAAATCGATATCCGCATCGAAATCACGAACCCTTTCGAGCCCCGTTGACTAGTTTGTAGCCCAAAAATGCCGGAGGGTTCCCGCCCACAATCAGGCCCCCAATCTCTTTCAAACGAAAAAAAGAAACCTCTTTTCAAATCACTTGAAACCAAATCGATGGATATACCGTTGCAATAGCCTGAATCTTCTTAATGGTTTTGGTCCAATCTACAATGGAGATTATGTACTTTACTATGAACGTAGTAAAAAGCATATAACTTTGTGTATTCGATAGACGAGTACCCCTTCCAATGGTTCCCAAGCCATTTCCTAGTGCGGCACTTGACCCCGCCCCCCATATATTATAGACCCCGTCCCCAAGATAAAAAAAATGAAGAAGAAACCATTTCTTACTTTTTACAACTCTTTTTACATAGCTCTTTAAGAAGCTTTCACTTTTCCTACTCCAATTTTTTTTGTTTTCTTTTAACTTATTCAACCTTTTTTGAGATCGCTCAGCTCAAAATACCGAAATTCCTGCAAATAGTTCGTTCGACCACGCCCCCCTTTCCAACGCTCCCCAAAATCATTGCTAGAGCCATCAAACAAACGAAAGAAGAATCGAAACAAAAAAACAAGAACCAATGAACATTTTGATAAGCTGGGCAGCGAACGAACTTTGCAGTGTATAGTATTTGGCACTTTCAAAATATGCTGCGGATTATCGCTAAAGAAAACGTAACCACGCATTACAAAAAAACAAAAAAAAAAAAAAAAGATTTATTGTTATATATCGACTACGGCTCCCGGTATATAGTACGTAATCCGGGCTCCGAGTTTTTAATTTGATGCTAATTTTGCTGTCGCTGCTTAAAACAACGCCAAAGATCGCCTGCTCCTGCGCCAGCTGCTCGCCAAAACAGCCAAAGGATATCGACTGCTTAAATCTGTTAAGCGTTTACCGTTTACCGTTAACCGTTCAGCGTTTACCGTTTGCTCTAACCTTTAACTCTTCAGTTTTGATTATTACTTTATGTTCTTCAATCGTTTTTCTCTCTCTCTGTTTTGGTTTTTGCGCAGCAATCTCTTCTCATTCGATTTAGGCCAGCTGTAAAAATCGTTTGAAAAACAAAAAAAACCTTTGTGTTAACTGTACCTGTACTGCTAATCCGTATTTACGTAAACAGTAACTGTACTTTGACTGTAAATGTTGTAAATGTAATTGTAATTTAATTGTATTACCTTCGCTCCACGACGGTTGACATTGCTCCTCCGATTGTTTGATTATCCAATTATCGTTTTGTATTTTCGTTACGCCTGTTTATGTTTTGTGTCTACTGTACCTAAATGTAACTTTTTTCCATCCTGTACATATTACTTTTGCGTTTCTTATCCAAACCTGTTTGTGTGTGCGTCTGTAAATGTTGACTGACGTTTGGAGAAGATGGAGGAGCAGGAACCTAATGCTTTCCATATTTCAGCTATGTCAAGTGTTTTTAGGTCTTGAGCTCCCGGAGCTTTTATCGCCAGCTAAAAAAAAAAACCCAGCCCCTCCCCTTATTCCCATCCATCCGATTCCCGCTCTGTTTCTGAATTACTCAACTGATTTCTCTTCAAAAACAACTCAATTCCCCCCAAAATCCGCTGCCAAATGTTCGCCGCAGGTCTCGTACTTAGCGATATTATCGAGAAGTACTTCGTGTCGCCGACGCTGCTCCGTGTGGTGCGTGTGGCGAAGGTTGGCCGAGTCCTTCGACTGGTCAAGGGAGCCAAGGGCATCAGGACACTGCTATTCGCGTTGGCCATGTCGCTGCCGGCCCTCTTCAACATCTGCCTGCTGCTGTTCCTGGTCATGTTCATCTTCGCCATCTTCGGCATGTCGTTCTTCATGCACGTGAAGGAGAAGAGCGGCATCAACGATGTCTACAACTTCAAGACCTTTGGCCAGAGCATGATCCTGCTCTTTCAGGTAAGAGGCCCAGCCACAATTCCGTTGACGGTTTATGTTGTCTATTGTTGTTGTCGTTGGGTGATGTTGCCACGACCCCCGAATGCTGAAATACCCATATATCTGAAATGTACTGAAGATACCGAAGAGCAGTGACCACCCGCATTCTGACCCTCGATCGGCGACGCTCTATCGCTGGAGTTACGTTCGTCGATCGACGGCCGGAAGCGGATGTGGTGCCGCCATTTTGCGTCGGCCATCTTGTTTCAGCCCAGTGGCAACATCACAATGTTGATTCAAGCTGCGGTAGTTGTTGGTAAAAGCTAAATTAGTGCGATTTTTTGAAAATCTAATTACCCTACGATTTCGTTTATCAAACCTCTTTAAAACTCTCTGTCTATCTGTCTGCCTATCGGTTTCCCACTTACTCTTTTACGTTCCTCTGTACAAAGTACGCCAACGATCTAAACGATTCACTTATGTACTTTTTCATTTGCACCTTGGCCACCCAAGCGAGAAGGCCAAAATCAATTTGGTCAAAAAAGCTTTTGATTATGATTTTGCGCTTATTTACTATCTCAATCGATTTGTATCCAACGTATATGCTTCTCTGTATATGCATATTTTTTAGACAAATTGTACAAAAAACAAATCTAATTCAGCTCTTTCAACAAACACCAAATGAAATGTTAAGTTTCCTCAAGACACCCCCTTCCCCGCCAGAAAACAACAAACCCTTACCTCAAAATCTAACCACCTTTATGCAAAAAGAAAAAAGTGAAGGCAAAACGAAAGAATAGATTCGATCTTAAGATCCTGGGAACACAAAACCCCTATCCCTCTCTCTTTTACTTCCGCTCTCTCCATCTATCTATCTCTATACATATCTATCTACTTTTCCAACTATATTTCTGCTTTAAATATCCAAATCTTTCTATCTTTCCTGCCCATTTGGAGTCTACCGACTCCTCGAGCTTTACAAAGTATAGCGAATGCTTGCCACGCTTACCGCTTTGAGTCCCCTAGTTTTTTTTTTTGGGGCTAGAGTCCCCCGCCTACCAGCCACGCCCCTGATCGCCCTATCGACCGGGCCAAGGCGATATAGATTTCTAAGCAGCTTGCTCCACTTTCCAAAGGGGCCGGTTCAAAGCAAAAGCAGCCTATTATCCGTATACGTATAATACCGTAACCGCATACCGAATACCGAATACACACTCAATGTATAACTACTAACTATAGCCGTAACTGTACTAACCACCTACCGTATGCCAATAACTAGTTTTGCTTAGCCCAGCGATCCCGGTGCCGAACGTTTGACTAATGATGACTCTTCTTGTTATTGTATCTTCTGTCTTAAACTTCTCTCTCTCTCTCCCACCGCCCACACACGAACACACCGAAACAATTTAAAAAAAATACCGAAATAACCCAAACACCACGAACGACCGACCTGACATGCATCGATAAATATCGATCAATAAATATCGATGCATCGAACCATGCCCAACCGATCGCACGACTGCCAATCCAAAATCAAATCCCGTTTCTATCCGATTGCAAATCAATAACTTGATCCAAAACAATGATCCCCAAACCCCTGAACTAAAATTGCAACTTTCCTATTGGAACTTTTATCGATTATCCTCAAATCCCTAATCCTCTAACCAAAATTCCAAATCTGAAACCCAATTGAAAATGGCAGATGTCGACCTCAGCCGGTTGGGATGGTGTACTGGACGCCATTATCAATGAGGAAGCATGCGATCCACCCGACAACGACAAAGGCTATCCGGGCAATTGTGGTTCAGCGACCGTTGGAATAACGTTTCTCCTCTCATACCTAGTTATAAGCTTTTTGATAGTTATTAATATGTACATTGCTGTCATTCTCGAGAACTATAGTCAGGCCACCGAGGACGTGCAGGAGGGTCTGACCGACGACGACTACGACATGTACTACGAGATCTGGCAGCAGTTCGATCCGGAGGGCACCCAGTACATACGCTACGATCAGCTGTCCGAATTCCTGGACGTGCTGGAGCCCCCGCTGCAGATCCACAAGCCGAACAAGTACAAGATCATATCGATGGACATACCCATCTGTCGCGGCGACCTCATGTACTGTGTCGACATCCTCGACGCCCTAACGAAAGACTTCTTTGCGCGCAAGGGCAATCCGATTGAGGAGACGGGCGAGATTGGTGAGATAGCCGCCCGTCCGGACACCGAGGGCTACGAACCGGTCTCATCGACGCTGTGGCGCCAGCGTGAGGAGTACTGTGCCCGCCTCATCCAGCACGCCTGGCGGAAGCACAAGGCGCGCGGAAGCGGTGGCGACGGCGGTGGGTCCTTCGAGCCGGATCCTGAACAGGGGGATCATCAGGGTGGCGGCGGCAACGGCGGCGAACCGGAGGCCGGAGCTCCGGCGCCCGGTGATGCGGCGGATGGCGAGGCTCCAACCGATGGAGAGGCTCATCCGGCTGTTAATGGTAATGGAACTGGTAATGGAAATGTGAATGTGAATATGAATGGCAATGGAACTGGCGATGGAGCTGCCGGTGCCGACGAGAGCAATGTAAATAGTCCGATTGAGGATGCAGTAGCGGCGGCAGCAGCAGCAGCAGTGGCGACGGCGGCGGGAGCGGTGACGACGACGACGACGGCGGCGGGAAGTCCCGGAGCGGGCAGCGCCGGACGACAGACGGCCGTTCTCGTGGAGAGCGACGGGTTCGTGACGAAGAACGGCCACAAGGTGGTCATCCACTCGCGATCGCCGAGCATCACGTCGCGCACGGCGGATGTCTGAGCCAGGCCTCGCCCCCCTCCAAGATGCACGCGAGTATTAGCATGAGTACGAGTGTTGGATGTTGCACGTTGCACGCGGCATTTGGCTCGTGGTTGCACGTGGCACGTCCAGCGTTGCAAGCTAACAACAACAGCGAACATGGCGAACAACAAGCATAATTTTCTGCTATATATAATGAAAAGTACAACCATACAAAAACAAAACAACAATAACAACAACCAAAAATACATCAAGAGTACAACAAGCAACAACAACAACAGCAACCGATGTAATAACAAAGGAGATGAACAACAACAAGCAACAACAACAACAAAAACAGAACAACACCAGTGTAATGTCTTTGAGTTACATACATATATGTATACCCGCATTATTCAGTTAACGAGTCAGCAACCAACAACAATCATACTTAAGCTAAATCGAAATGTCTAAATAATTTGTAAGCAGCTCGTAGTCCAATCAATTTAGGCGTTTTTCCAAACAACAACAACAACAACGACAACTATTGGCCTAAGCAGTCGAAATGAGAAGAAAAACATCAATTCACACACACACACACAAAAACACACACTAACAAAACGCCGACATACACACATCTTAACATGACCATAAACAATTATAATGCCCCAAAACAAAACAAATAACTTAAAAGAACGAGCTCTAAAAATTGTATTTGCCAGTAGTGGGACAACAAACAAAAAAACAACACGCTTGATTTAATTAACTACTTACCAAAACCAAAAAAGCAAATAACAAACAAACAGAAAACGAAGAGAAATACGAGCGTTTAACGGTAAAGGTAAGGGAGCAGAAGCAAAACCACAAAAAAAAACAAATCCCCCAAAAGCAACATTCCTAAATAAGCAAGATGAACCCTTTTAACTTATTCTAAACGAGATGAGAACACCAATTTGCATAGTTTGTATTGTACATTTATCCAGCTTAATATTGAAAACCAAAGGGAGTAAATCAAAAGCGGACCCGAAACAAGTAACTAAAGCAACACCAATAAAAAAATACCGCCTGAACTGCCATTGAAAGCAATACGAACCAAAGAAAAAAAAAATATAACAGAAAGAAAAGAAAGAAAAACAAAAGCGAAAGCTAAAAGTCAAGTAATCACAATACATCCATAAACCAATCACACAAACACCCGCACACCCACACACGTACACACAGAAGAAAGGAATAAGATCATTAAGAGAGTAACAGGCAGACAGAGTAATTTCCGATTCAGAAGCGATCGAAATTATCGATCGAGCATTCCCTTTGCAGTTTTGATTTAGGCGATAACATTCCAATTGGGCCAGCAAGAAAATTCAAAGCAAACATTTCATCCACAGAGATATCGGATTGTTGAGGTTATGCCCTCATTTTGAGGTTATGTTCTCACTTTGAGGTTATGTCCTCGCACACATGTACACACACCCACACTAACACACCGACACCGGGCGACAAAGTATCCTTGGAGTTGGGGCGCATGGAGCCGAAGGAAGTGAGATGAAGACAAGTGAAACCTTTAAGGAAAAAACCTTAGCAATTCAAATTTGAATTCGATCAGTTAGAGAATTGATCAATAAAAACAATTGACGAAGAAGAAAGAATGAGCAAAAAGTGTATAAAAGAATTGAACAATACCGAGAAGTAAGAAGAAGTGAAAGAAACAAATACCGAAACAAGTTCAAAGCAAAGCGAAGCAAGTGCTAAAAGACCAAAAAAAAAAAATGAATGAAAAACCGAAAATAGCAAGAGAAACGATTGTGCCTAGCACGAACAAAAGTAAAACAAATATAGAATCGAAAACGAGTGAAAAAATTGAACAAGTTTTCTGTTTTCAAAGTGCTCTATTTTCACATACACCTTTCTTTAACTTAACCTACAAGTAGTATCGAGCAAAGGTCGCGAATAATGCTAAATTACACAGTGAGCAAGGAAAGTAAATACGAAACGAATATATATTACACGTAATTATAACATAACTAATTTAACTAAAATACAATATTGATACTGAATTGAATTCAAACAAAGTTTTAGCTCGACCACTTAAGAGCGTAGCATACTTTTCAGCGTCAGCCGCCTTCGCATTCGCTTTCCTTTTTGTATCAGCGGCATTCGCGTTATGACGAAGGACAAGAAGAAATGAGAAAACCGACAACCGATAACCAATTAAAAAAGAAGAAATAGAGAGTATCCCGATCAGTTGCGCCCAATTTTGCCAAGCTAAGCTTTGTTTAAATCAGCTTTACTGCATTTCATTTCTTTGATTTCTCTGTCGTATAATTTACTAGCATTGCCTTTTCGCCGCTGTTCAGTTTTGTATCGACAAGCAAACGATTACCAATAACCGATAACGATCAATGAAACTCCATCGAATGGCTCCCGCTACACTGACAGTTGGGGAGTAGCTACCCTGCAGTTCCAAAATTGCTTTGTCGTCGAAGAAGTGTGCGAAGCCGCACCGACGACAGCGGGGGTAGCAGCCTTAGCCGCAGCGGCGCGAGTTTATAGAGACATTTTATATGGCACCGCCGTTTTCGGGATACATGTCGTTCTCGATGACTTTTTTGTCCGTTTCATCGAACGAGTCGTCGGTGGCTTATACGAATTTTGTATGGAGAAACTTCGTATAAGCCATTGTTGCTTTCGTAGCTGACGTGGAGGCGAAGTTTTCAACGATGGCTTTTGCGAGGATGTCCTTAGCGAAATCATCTATGTCAAGCCTAAAAATGTCATCCCCAAATTCATATGAAAAACAATATATATATATTTAATTCTTTTTTATTTTATTAATTTATCTTATTTTGTAATATAAGAAATAAGTACATAAATAATATGAAATTCGAAAGTTTTTGTTTACCACTTCTGTGGAGTATTTGCAGGACATCGGCTGTTTTGCGTCTATCTATGGTACAAATATTTTTATTATTACATGTTATATATTACTTTTTTTAATCTAAAGCAAACTTACCTTTCAAACGAATTTATGGGACATATGTATGGCTGAATCCTAAAAAGATTTAAATAAGTTTGTAGTAAAAAACATAATGTTTTTGTAATATTAACGACACTTACATGATTTTTAAAACATTTCCGCTGCCAGTTGCACAAGTGAAGTAATTTCACAACCAATCGTCGACGCACTACTTAAAAGAATGACGCAGTTTCATTTTTCTCCGATCGAAAGAATAGAAGACAAATTTGGAGTCGGGCCGCCGTCGTTTGCAAGCAACGATTCGTGTTATAAGAGTGAGAAAGAGAGGAACACTTAGGAATATCCCTTTTCCTTTCCTACACACTGATTGCTTAATTGACAAAAGTCCACAGTGGACATCCAGAACTGCAGGGTAACGAAATGATGTATATGAGAGGTTCCATTGCGCACTCATACACAGTACAGTACAGTACACTCTCGCCACATTCACCCACTCACCCGAAAGAGACATATTTAGTAACTCAGACACATGTAAATGCTTTGCTTTTGCTTTGAAATTGCTGCAATCGTAGGAGGTGAACGAAAAACGAATACTTGGGATAAATGCGCTTTTTGGTTTTCGACAATAAAACTATTCAACCAATTCACCCACTGACACCCACGTCCACAAGAATAAAACAAAAACACAGAGACAGACTTGGACATTGAAAGGACCTTCTTTCAGTAGTCCCTTCCTCTTCTCGCTGACTTGCTCTCACTCGATCTCCCACAAGAATTGAAACAGTTATACGAAACATGCTTTCACACACACACTGCCTGACTTCTAAGTATCTGTTAAATCAAATACAAATGCGGAACTTGTTCTAAGCACATCCACATCTACCCACAAAAAAAGATAAACAACATCGTACAAATAAATTGGCAAATCACCCTTTGGCCAACCACTGTGAAGAATTTTCATTTAACATACCTTTTCGACATAACTCCGTATAATTTAGTTTTTCGATCAGTTTTTGTATAAAGTTGACAATTGGAAATGGCCAGGCTGTTTACTAAACTTGATGTGGTGTGTAACCAATGTATAACAGTTGTATAACAGTCATATGGCAGGTATGTATAAAAGTTGTAAACTTGTTACATAGCTGCCCTAAAATAGCTATACGATTTTTATACAACAGTTGAAGGCCACCGTATAACAGTTTGCTTAAACCGTCAAAATAAGTTTTCTGAATACCACCATGGCCACTTCTCATTAATCAACTCTCTCAATCCGGTTGTATGAAAAATTAAAAAAGAATTATTCAAGCAAGCCTCCATAGTTTTCTATCACCAAACCGTTCCGATTTCATCATCTCAAGGCGTTCAAAAACAATTAACCCTAACCAACACAACAAAGTAACGCAAACAACAAAAATTGTAGAGTAATTAACTTGTGTACATTATGGGGACCAGTTTAAGCGTTGCCTTAAAGTCCAAAAATTAAGTGTTTATTTGTTGCGCACGCTTTTACAAGAGCTTTGTCAATGATCAGCAATCCCTTAGATTGGTGCTACAAATAGCACTCCCCACCATCTTGACCCTATGACCCCGTTACCCCTTGAAAAGCCCTCACCAAACCCAAGACGCAACGCATCCCGACTCGAACAGAATCCGCTTTGGTTTGCCTTAACCTCATCGTATTACCTATTACGTACTATTTACCCCACATTGATTTAACGCTTGCCAATTGCCAATTTTGTAACGACTTGAATGTAGCTTCATTATTATACATTTTGTTGGCTGTTTGACAAATAATACGAGTACCCACTTCGATAAATAATAGAACACATGGAAATAACGCAAAACGATAAATCGCTTAGTCGAGAATAATAAAACGAAACATGCTATAAACTAATAACAGAAAATTAAGTTTGAAAATTCCGTACAAAATGCATAAGTTTAACGAAAAAAAGCATATAATATTGAAAAAGCTAAACGAATAATATTATCTACTTATACTGAGTGCACTGTTATAAATGAGGGGCGGGGCGAGATTAAATAAACAACAGAATCAAACGAAAATGAAAACAAAACAAAAACATATATTATAATGGTACCTATATACTTCAAGATATTGTACTATCTATGTGTGAATAACATCATCTGCAAAAAACAACAACAGCCACACATGAAGCTTATGCGACAAGCAAACAGAAAAATAAAAAAAGATCTGAACAACTAACGATGAGTCGAGGAGAGATACTCTATAATAGATGTGTAAATTAACAATAATAAAAGCCGAGTGAGGGATATGGAACTTTAGCAAGCGAAACCGTAACGCAAATCGAAATCGAAAAGTTGAAAAATATATGAGGACGATGAGAAGGACGTCGTTGAAGGAGGATAATGATATTGATAAGGAAATCTATTTCATATTTTTAGCATACGTGTAAACATATTTTTTGTGCTGAGGTTACGTTCGAAGCAACACGCGCATCATTGCCATTAGACAAAATAAAATTAATTATATATACAATATGCCTAAAAAAAAAAATACGGGAAAACCAAAAAACTACCACTAATAATTATAAAAGAAAACAAAAAAAGAACAAAACAACAACTGCATATTTTGTGCTGCTGAACAAAGTCACAACGCAACAAAAAACATGATAACAATAAAACGTATATAAATTTCTAACAAATTTAGAGCAATAAAACCACATACACTATCAACAGTCACACAAACACACATTCTCACCACAGAGGCTTGCCGAATATTTGCACCGCCACTGTAGCACGAAGGACGTGCGAAAGGGAGCGAGACGGAGCGAAAGACGCTCTGCACTGCTCTCGCCCACGGCCGCACAGTGGCGTCGCAAAGTTTGCGGCCAGCAAATGCCAGCAGCATTCTCAAATACCAATTACAAGTGCAAACGCAAATGCAAGGAGATGGTGCGTTACAAAAACGATAAAACATTTTTTTAGATACACTTCAAAAATCAAAGCGTGGAAATTTCTATATTAGTTAATAATAAAATCCTTTTTTGTTAACTCACTATATTAAAATGAAAACAAAGATGGACAAAAACTTTAGCTTTATACTCGTACATTTGTAATATATTACATAAGTCTAGTTAATTACATAAAAAAAGGAAAATAGAAAATATATTATAAATTATAATTATACAAAAGCAAACCGAAAAATTTTACAAATAAAAAAAGCAAAAACAAAAAAAAACAAACAAAACCAAATCAAACAAAACATAGCAAATGAAATTCGAAGTAAATTCATAAATAGCGAAGAAAAAATCTTAAAAAAAAGGAGAAAACTAAAAACGAACTGTAAAAAAAAAAAGAAAAAAAACAGAACATTTAAATGTAAAACAGCCAGTTATTATGCATAGCTAATAAAATTCAAATACAAAGAAGAAGCAGGAGACGAAACCAAGAAATAAGAACAATTATTGCAATTAGATATTCTACATAAAAAATTCTAAATCTTTAGTAAAGCATAGGTTGCACATGCAACCACACAAACAAGAACACAAAGGCCCACTCACATTCGCATTCCCGTACATTCGAATACGAAAGGATTACAATTTTATTTTCACCGACCCGATTAGGTCGGTCCTAATTTCGAGTGATATTAGTTGCCAATCCACTCAAACACACCCCAACACACAAAGACAGACGCCAGAAAGGACCCACACGAGACACATAGACAGACCCCGGAAAATGCAAAAGCCAAGCAGCAGAGATTAAGATACCAAGCCAAGCCAAGCCTGTACGATACCAAATTCAAATCAATCCAATCCAAACTGAACACAAGAACACACAATTACGAAAGTTGCCATCCAGCGAAGTATTTGCAATTTATATTGAGAGCAAGAGTTAATAGCCGTTTATATAAAGCCCGTTGAACACGAAAATAAAACGAAAAAAGAAAAACCAAAAACAGACTGAAGAAAATGAGAATTATTTAACAAGAAAATTTATATATATAATGATAGCCAATAAAGACAAGTGCATCCAAGCTATATGAACAGAATCACAAATTGCCAAGCTGCTTTTACATGCATCCAGAGCCGAGCCCCATCCACTCTCATACACAGATACACAAACACACACACACACAGAGACAGGCCGAGAGTCCTGCCACGCCCACAAACAACCACCCACCCACAAATACACTGGAGATGGAATAGCTCGTAAAAACAAGATTGAGATATGAGGGAAATATGTATTTATATTTATACACCAGCAAGCTAGCAAAAATGGAAATATGATACTAAAGAAGCATAATTTAAATATACATATTAAAGGACGTCTCAACTAAGGCAACAGAAAAAAAACTGAAATAACAAATTAGCGAGATTACGAAAGGACGTTTACGAAAAGACACAGGCACCGTTAGCATATTTTTTTTATACAAATACAATTTAAGCAAACGACGAATACGAAAAAAATCAACAAATTGAAGTAAATTATTAGTGAGAAACCGAAGCAACTGATGATGTCTTTGTAAAGACTTTATATATGCCTGCCATATGCCTACATCTGCCTAGCTGTCTGACTCTTACAGGAACACAACACACATACACTAAAACACAGTAATTTCTCCCCCCTTTCTCTCTCTCTCTCGCTTGTGCAGACACGAACAGACAGACGGACCCCTTGAGTATAAATCCTCTCCATTCATCATTCCGAACCGAAGCTTAGCCGCCCGCAATGAGAAGCGCGGAGAGAGGCGCATTAGCCGAAATAAAAGAGTTCGGGCTTCTTTTTGTCCTTGTATGCGTTTATTAGCTCATCCTGATTTCCCAGCCAGTTTACGGAGCCCTCGGACTCCGATATCCTCCGATCCAGAGCCGTTGTCGAGCAACTCTATTTGATAGCAACTTCCCCGGCTACAAATTCTTAGTGGTTCAGATGGCTGTAGGACAACCGGACACCAGACACAGACACACACACGCCCACACAGACACCGAGAATCTCCCGTAAAAGATGATAAAGATACATATGAATATGTATAGATTATATGTATGTGCGATCAAGTAAAAGCAGCTAAAATACCGAAAAACAAAAAACGAAGAAAAAAAAGAAATGCTAAAAAATTATGACACCCGCCACTTTTCTACTAAAAAGAAATCGACTGTATATATATATACAAATATATATATGTATATATATATATAAATATATATATATATAAATGATAATATGAGTATATTTATGTAGCAGTATAACAGTATGTGTAGTATAACACTATGTCCATTTGCTTGACAAACCGACAGATACAGAGCAACAGAAACAACCACACACACACAAACACACACACAGCCCCATACAGACAGGCAGACGATCTGCATTTTGTTTTCTAGTTTTTTAAAGGAACATTAACTTGTATTAGCGATACTCTTAATAAATAAATCTTGCAAAATAATACGAAATGCGGCTATCGCTGTCATACATTTAAATGTTTTCGCGGGCACAGCCTTCGATTTTCGATTGAAGCCAGCCTCTTGTTATCAATTTTTTGTCGACAGAATACGTGTATTTACCAACCACAGATAATCCATTAAGTTTGAGCCACACACATATTAATATAAATATACCTACATATATATTTTTTTTATAACAACGTATGGGAAATCTATATGGGACAAATGAAACACAACAACAATTTTTGTATGTATTCATTTTTATTAAAAACAAAAACAAAAACAAAACGGGAAAATGGGAAAATACAAACCGGAAACCAAAACCAAAACAAACACTCGTAAAACACACTGACAGACAAAAATTGTTTTTATAAAGATATATTCGATTAATGTATTTAAAATAAAATAAAAAGAAACAAACGCCTGAATTAGTTTATTACGCAAAAGAAATGAATTATAATTAGTTAATTCAAAATAAAATAAAAAAAAAACAAGCATACCCAAAAAAAAAAGGAAACCAAAACTGCACAATAACATCTAAATGTAAAAAATATGAACTAAAACATAAATAAAGCAAATGCAAAGGAAAAAGCCCAAAGAAAATGAGATAAAAAGTGAACGATTTTTATTTTCATTATATATAAATAATTAACGCTTTTTTAGTTCTAAAACAAGTTGCATAATTTATGTATAATTTAAATAAAAAAAGAACGACAAAACAATTTATAATAAAGCGAAAACAAAATAAATCAAATTGATATATGGGCAACCTAAAAATATTGTAATGTAATAAATGAAGAAAACAAACAATACAAAAACCAAAGGATATATATATATATAAATTAAAAGCGAAATTTTTTCACACTTTAGCTTAATAAATTGTAAAAAAAATACAAAAAAAAACAAACAAACAAAACTGAAATAAAATGAGATTTAATTGAATTTGTTATGCAAATGAAAAACTAGTCGTGTTTTATTTGATACAAGCCTTCTAAACTAAAATGGAATAGGTAAGACCAACTTAAAAAAAAAACCTATTGAAAAAATTTATCATAGCTCCAGAAATCCTTAATATCCGAAAACCTCTAATAATCTTTTGACACTAATACCTTTCAACCGAAGATCGGAAAGTTTTTTAATCAAAAAACGGTTTGTTGTATTATAATTTCTTTTATTTATTTGTTTAGTTATGTGTATATATATGTATATATACGTATCGTACAAAATGTTCAAACAACAAAAAATATATATATATATTTTTATATATTTCGTTATAATGTTGTGTATGGATTGTGAATTCTGTTTAGCTTTCGTTTCTCATTTACTTAATTAATCATCTTGTTGTCTGTTTACTTTACTTTGTTGATTTATTTATATTAAATTTGTTATGTAAGTTACATGAAGTTAGCATTTTACGATTTTTGCTGGTGTTGGTAATTGGTAAAAATTTATTCATCATTCTCGCCTACGTTTGTTTCCTCTAACTGCTTGCTAATTTCGGTTATTATTTTTTTGTTTCAATTTATTGCGGTTGCTAAGAGTAGAATTGCTATTTAATCTTGGCTTACTCGATCAGTTTCGTCATTAACCATAGCGTATAATTATTTATATTTGTGTATATATAGATGTTTTATGATGTAAGTTAATGTCTAACTCTTGCTTTGTATAAATTCTCGTTTTAGTGTTGCTTTTGGTTTAATCGTAATTTAAACAATTCTTTGTCTTTATGGGCGTTTTAAAATGCATATCAAAGTTCTTAATTAGGTTTAGAGCAGCATTTAAGTAAGTTGTCAACTCGATCTCGTTATTTTTCTCATTTGTTTATTTTTTTGAGGAGTTACAAATATTGTTTGTCCATTTTCGTTTAGTGTAAATACTTGACTGCTTACGGTATTAGTGCTAAAAATTAAGTGTTAAGTTTATCTTTAGCTTTAAAGGTATATTAAACGTAATTCTTTACTTTAACTGTTACACATTACTTTCATTTGTATTTCTATTTGCTTCTTTGCTGCGCCTGCTGGTCGCGGTTAACTCTGGTTTAGCTTGTCGGTCAAGTCGTTTTGTGTTTTTGCTTTTTTTTGGTTTTTCGTGTTTTTGCTTTTTTGAGTTTTTTCTGTTTTTTCAGTTTTTGGGGGGGAATTTGCAATCAAACTCGGTACCGAAATCTGGAGCAGGACAGCCGATTCGGACAGGACAACACAACAATTGTTACTCCCAGGATTTGGGAGCGCGGGGGGGAAATGATTATTTGTTTGTATGTACAAAGTGCTGAGCTTTCTTTTTTGTTTTTTTTTGAGCCGCACTCCGAAAAAACAATTCCGATTAGTCCGAAGGAAAACACCAAAACCGAAACGGTACATTCTTATGTAAATTTTTTTGCTTTATTTTCAAATTAATTTACAACTTTCGCGTTTTTTCAGCTCTTGCAAGGTACAAAAAAATGGTTTAAAAAAAACTTGTGAGGAAACTAGAAGGTCATTAAGAAAGGAAAAACGCTTTTCGCTTACGTACATTGCGGATGCAAAGAAAAATCGAAACACACAAACAACAATTAATAATATACATTGTTTTTTTTATCATATTTTTTGCGTCTTATTCAAGGGTTATCTACAAAGAAATCAGATCTGAGTGCGCGAGAATTCATTTTTTTCTTTAAATAAAAGTACAGAGATAGGCGAGGAAGTAATCAAAGCTAAGGTTCTTACAAATGAAGCGGGAATAAAGAGTAAAACTTAAAGCGTGGAAAAAAAAGACAATAATTATCGTACAATTTGGTCTTAGACTTGGAGTCGGTCCACGAGTGCCATTTAAGATTAGAATTAGCCAGCTGAATCAGGGGTTTGTGATCCTGCCAACCCTTTCTTTATCTTTATCTTTATCTTGGCATTTGAGAGACCGGCTCTTAGATTTTCTTCTTTAGCTACATAAAACCTATGCAGTCGATTGCTTTTTTGTATGTATATAAAGTTGCTTGTTGCTGTTATTGTTGCTGCTTCTGCGTATTTCTTCTATTTAATCTTCAAGGATTACTTCGCCGTCTGTGTTTTTGTTGTTTTCTTTACGTACGTAGTTGGTGTTTTGCTTCTCTGCGATTTGTTTTGTTATTAGATCTGCAATTGGTGTTTTTCTCATAAGGTATATAAGTTCAATAATTGTTTTCGGTATTTCTTTGTGTTCTTTTTTTGCGATTTTTCTTTTTCATGTTTTTTTTTTTTTTTTTTGCTATATAAACTGTATAAATTGCCTGCCTGCTACGCTGAACGTTTTGTCAAAAAAGTTTTTGTTTTCGATTTTTCCTTTGTTTTTCGAGTTTTTTCATTTTTTATATTGTTTTCATTTTTTTGTTTTGTTTTGCTTGTTTTTCGTTTACTATTTATGCCTTAACGGTAGAACTTTTGTTTTGTTTTTTGTTTTGTTGGTTTTGCATTACTTAACTAACAAATAGCAGCGTGCATACAGCTGCTGTACATGAATCGCACATAGACTATATATATGCTATATATATTGGCCATATGCACGAGACTAAGGTTTATCGCGGCTTATGGACTAACATTCATAGACTTTCCATTGTTGATTCGGATGTTCCTGTTGCAAATTTTAAGAAGGGTTAGGGTTGCTTGGTTGCTGCTTGGATTTTTGCTTTTTCTTGATGTTGCTGTTGTTGTTGTTGTTGCTGCTGCTGCTGTTGTTGCTGCTGCTGTTGTTGCTGCTGCTGCTGCTGCTGTTGTTGCTGCTAATGTTGCTGCTGCTTTTGCTGCTGTTAAGTTGCTTGCTGACTGACACTGGACACTGACACAGAGACATAGAGGCCAGCCTGTTGTTTCAGCTTAGTTCTTGTAATGTAGTACATATCTTTCGTATATAATAGGTATGTAGCGTAGTGTTATTAATTAATGTATGTGTTTATATATGCATGCTGCTGATGCTCGTTCTGTTCCTCCTTCTCCTCGTTCTTCTCCTCCTAATCCTCATCCTCACTCTCCATCCATCCGTCGCTGATTTCCACTCCATCTCTCTCGCACACCAAAATATCATATCAGGCATATTATATTGCGGACCGACTTCTGCCCTCTAGTTATCGCCGTTGTGATTGACATTCTGCTGCAGCTCCTTCAGCTTCTCCTCGCGCGGCTTGGCGTTGCCAAAGATCGAGGCCGATTGCTTGGTCTCGGCCACCGCGTTTATTGGTGCGGCAATGGTCCGTGGCTTCAGCTGCAGGCGAGGCCGTTCATTGTCATCTGTGTTTGGGAAGCACAAGAATGTGGATGAGTAAGTGAAATATTCCGGAAAGGTGTATTAAGTGCACTTGGTAAGCTTAGTACAACAACTAATAAATCTGCTTGAATTTAGAATCATATTATCCTTGCTAGGGAATTGATTTACTCATTATTTTACATTACTTGTAATACTTAAAGGATATTCCATCAACAGAAGCTTTATACAACAATTTTTAAATTTTCCCTTTGATTTGACATTACTTTCAACGCCTTCAAATACAAAAAAACAAATACTAAAATTTCATACGAATCGAAAAATTAATTCCCTAATTTAAATTACACATATTTCAATGTCTTTAACTTTGGATTGCGATTCAAAACATTTTCAATGCGTTTCTCTTATTTCTAAATCGCAATAAAGCGTATCCGTATCGTTAGTTATATTGTTAAGATCCCACCTATTTGTGCAACTCACCAATGACGCCCATCGAGAAAACGCCGACGCCCAAACCTCCTGATCCACCGGATCCGCCGCCCAGGCCGCCCATTCCGCCGCTGGGACGTTCACTCTGCTGGTTGGGATTGTAGTGGGTGCGCTCGCGGTCGCGGTGCCGGCTGAAGTTGTTGTAGCGATCGCCGTCGCGCGACTGATTGCCATAGCTGCCTTCCCGCTGTCCGCGGTCGCGATCCTGGTTGCGATCGAACCGATCGTCGTTGTTAAAGTTGCCGTACCGACCTCGATTTGCCGGCCGATCTGCAACGGAAGCAATTGGATTAGCACTTGTTGGCCAAAATGGAACCTGCTTAGAGTTAGGCTCAGCATGCTGACTAAATGCAGTTCGAACTAAAAAGCGTGCGGGTGGAAAGTCGTCTCAAAACTATCAAAGTGTGTGCTTGGACTACGGATACAAGGGAGCTCAAAAATACGGGGTAAAAAGGTGGGTCGCTTCCCAACGACGCATTGTAAGCATCAATTCAGAAAATGAAATAAACTGTGGAATTTAGTGAATTGAATTCGTTTGTTTGTGAACAATCACAGGATTGTGAATTCATATCAACCAAGAGCGAATAATTTTGTGCCTCTTACTAGCAGTTCCTCAAATATTAAGCTAATGAAACGATAATATCATAGACTGTAATAAAAATTGCAGGAATTAAATCACTGCTGACCAATGAATAATAAACTCCATTGCGTTAAACCTTTCATGTTTTTGATCATTATGCAAATATAGAAAGAATTAGATTTAGGAAGATTGATTAGTAAGTCTGAAGGATTATAACACATTTAACGACCCACCCTAATACAAAGTGGTGAGAAAAGCAAAGCAAAACCAACTCAAGATCGGAAAAAAGAACCGTAGGAGCATAAAAAGTAAAGAAGGATCAGAAACAGAAACAGAAGAGGAGTGTCTAGGATCACTTTCGAGGACTGCAGCATGGATGTCTTCCTGCCATGCGAGCGAATCGAATTAGTATTCCAATCAGGATCGGAGTCGTATTCAGAATCAACTACTTTTTGGCGGCACTACGAGGGATGCAGCTACGTGTTGTTGTTGGTTGGTTGATTGATTGATTGATTGATTGGTTGGTTGGTTGTTGGACGGCAGATAAAAATGCTTTACCATTGTATCCTCTATTCATGCCACCGCCGGAGCCCGCGCCGCTGCCGCCGCCGCCGCGACTTCTATCATTGTGACCACCATAACTATCATTGTACGAACCTCTACTATCGCCGCGATTACCCGATCCGCCGTCGCGACCGCCGCCCGTGCCAGGACCTCCCCGGCTGTACGACTGACTGCTGCCGCCCTGACGGGGTGGGCCGCGCTTCTGGAAACCGTCTCTGCCGTCGCCGCGACTCATGCCGCCGTTGCCACCGCCGCCAACACCGCCACCAGGGCTGTAAGAAAGGATTACAAATTTAATACTCCATTTAGAAAGTGGGTAAGAACAGTAGATCGATTTGGAGACCCAACAGAATATTCAATAAACAGCACTATGATTTATTGCCTAAAGATCTATGGGTCTCAAATCACGTTTAGCAAATGATTAATACTTCTCTTGAAAAGCAGACATTGGTAAGTTTTCTTTTAAATATCACTGATTTACAAAATAAAATATCGAAAAATGTAAAAGTGGTTTTATATTTTCGAAAGCAATATAATATGCTGAGTTACTAAAGTGACTTTTGAAACCAAATCCTTAACGAGTATATCAGAGAAGAACTGATTTTGGTTTATATTTTAATGTTTACTATGAGTAGGTCCATGAAATATGACTATGACCACACATGGTTTCCTGGACAATATTTTAAAACTGTCTATTTAACAATGTTTTCTCCAAATCGACCTATCTTAGAGCAAATTTATCCACATACCGATCATTTTTCCGGCGATCAGCAATATCGATGCGCAGCGGCGCCGACAGATCGTCCAGTTTTATCCGACCGTCGCACTCTAACGCCCGCTCCAGATTGTCCAGTGTCTCGAACTCCACATAGCAGAAACCTTTGAATTGATCCGTCTCCCGATCCTTCACCAGCCGCACGTTCTTCACCTCGAAGTCCTGGAATATTTTGATCACATCGCCCTGCACGAGGCCTTGCGGCAGATTGCCGACGAATGCGATATAGGGCGGTTCCGTGGGCAACTGCTTCGATCCCCGATCCCCACCGTATCCGCCTCTGAAATAGGGAGTAATATGTTATTATAATAGAGTTCTATCAATGCACTAACTATTTTCACTTGTAAAATCAAGAAATATTTAGTTGAGTAATTCATAACCACTCAAGTTCCAGCATTATTTTGGTTTTATTATTTATTTGTTATAAGAAGCTAGGAAGGTTGTTCCATTTAAAGCCTGTTCAAACTTATTGTTTACTAAAAGTGTTATTATTTTGTTTGCTGAATGTAATTTGACTACATATATTATTCATTTTTGTGGGCTGCTTATGGGTCTAGAACCTTCCAGGATACAAAGAAGGATTTTACCAATACCCTGGCTCTATATCTGTGTACGATTTTGTGGTTTTAAGGGACATGGTATGGATGGGAATACGTTGTATAAGTTAACAAAAGCTGATTTTCGAAGAAATTACACGCCATCTTTGGGATTAAACATTTCGAAATCCTATAAAGAAAAAAGTTCTAGGGAAACGACACATTTTATAGCAACGAGGTTTAGTCCTTCAAATATTTATAACTATGTATTTAGTTAAGTGTCCTTTGAATCTATGATTTACTCAGCTAACCGAAATTGCGGACGAATTCTAAGTCCCATTGTTTGGAGGAGCTTCGCCTGGAACCTTGAAACCGAATCCAATTAATGGGGGTGTGTCTGCGTCGTCTTCTTCTTCTCAATTGGGGGAATTCTAAGGGGCGCCACCCCTTGAGGCGAAACGCACATGGCTGGAATATCTAGGTAACATGGCTCCGGTTCTTTGGTTCTCCGGTTCCCGGCGAAAAGTCAACAAAAGATGCAGACACAAGAAATAGCAACAATAATAACAACAATACCGTGGGACAGGTGTCAAGTGGAGAGGCAAATCGCGCGCGCTTTTTGCTAAAACTGCATTTATACATGGATTTTGCATCTATTTTTGGTATTTTCATTTTTATTGGGGTGGGGGCGGTCAATTTAAAAGCCGCCGGTGCGCTGCTCCCGCTTCTGTTGACGTTGACGCCGGCAGCGACGCTGACGCCAGCTGCAGCAGAATTTCCCGAAAAGAAAAACAACGCAGGCGGTGGAATCGACAAAAAAAAGAAGAAAACGAAAAAGAATGTTGGAAAAAAAAACACGCACACTACCTCGCGCACACACACACGCGCTCACTCACATGCACACATACAAAGGCGGCGGCGACCAACGACCGACACGTACACTACGTGCATATACGTGTTCGTGCGCGCGTGCCTGTGTGTGTGAGCGGCGAGGCGAGAGCGTACGCGTGTATTGGTGGGCTGGTGTTGCCTTTTTTGCCCAAACCCCAAAAACCGCGTGCATTATTACACATTTTGGCCAAATTGTCGGCACTCGCGCAGATCACTAGCACCGCGACAATTTTCACAAACACCGGCACTACGCGGCCAACACGTATCGCTCGCGATTCCAATAATAATTAATAATATTTACCTAGCGTGTTCATAACCACCTCTTCCAGCCATGTTTTATTTTTTTTCAAATGAGCGAATTCGCTGCAATCCGCAGTGTGAACACACGGGCGAAAAATACTATCGCGGCGAATTCGGCGCATGAGTGTCACCACACCACATTTGGTTTCCCGCTAGGTTAGGAGGGTGTACTCGCTTAATAATCGCTAGGATAGGAGGGTGTATTGGCTAGGTTAGAAGGATAAAAAACATCGGGTAAAATATCGATCAAAGCATCGAAACTATCGTTGGTTAAACTGATGTTTTTGGAGCCCTAGTAAAAACTATTACCCTACGCAGTTGCAACTATTAAACTTTATATTTTATACAATAATCGAACAAAGAAGTAATGGCGAATTGCATTTTCTGCAAAATAGCCAATGGCGAAGAGCCGTCAACTGTCTTGGAAAAGGAAACCGATGAATTCGTTATCTTTAAGGACATCAAGCCCGCTTCCCAGCACCATTATTTAGCGGTAACCAAAAAGCACTACAACAGCCTTAAGACTCTAAACAAGAGCGACGAGCCCATGGGTGAGCTTAATTAAAATATTTAAAGAAATCATTTACCTCAATATCCCATATTCTTTTAGTGGAAAGAATGGAGAACTGCTTGACAGAATTTCTGACGGGCGCAGGAATATCCCCCCAGGACGCGTTGTTGGGGTTTCACTTGCCACCTTTCATTACGGTCAACCATCTACATATGCATGCTATTGCTCCACGATCGGAAATGGGCTTTGTATCTAAACTAATCTTTAGACCCTCCATTTGGTTCAAAACCGTACGTAACAGTTAGCCGTTTTAATTAGCTTATCTTTAATGACGTCTAATCTTTTCAATTATAGGCCCAAGATGCTCGCGTGTACCTTGCTCAAAAGGAGGCAGATTCCTAGTAAATAAATAGTATGTGGACGAACGCTAATGCATGTTTAACAATAATAACTGCTGCCAAAAGACTTGTTAATGTTTTTTTTTTTTTTAAATATTTTTAATAAATCAATATTTTATACTAAACATTATTTATTATAATATACAAAATCTTATGCTTCTTTAATCAAACTTTGTAATCCGGTTTAGGAATAATGGCAGAAACGCATTTGTTTACTCCTTTATTATTTTGAAAAATAATTTTTTAATGCAACTGCTGCAGATTAAAAATTAAACAAAGTGCCTAAAGTTAAAAAGTAATCAAATAAATTAAAAAAACACTTAAGCAAAATTAACAAAATTAATTTAATGCGAGTAGCCAGCTTAAAAAATCAGAATGATTTTTTTTTATTTGAGTAAACAATTATTTGCTAGGTAAAAAAACTATTTATCTAAGGTATGCATGCGGAGGAGTGCCGGCATACTCGATATTCGCTGTGTATCGAGCAACCAATCGATATATCGATACTATCGTGAGTTGCCAAACCAGCTCTACCTCTTCTTCTTGCGCCCGCTCGGCAAAAATTGTACACGTTTTTCGTTTCGAAAAGTGCATTTTCCCTTTTTTTCGGCTCAGGACTACATATTCAACAATGGCCCTTTCGTCGCGCTTCTATAACGAGCGGTACCCGGAGATCGAGGATGTCGTCATGGTGAACGTGCTGTCGATCGCAGAGATGGGCGCCTACGTCCATCTGCTCGAGTACAACAACATCGAGGGCATGATCCTGCTGTCCGAGTTGTCCCGCCGGCGTATTCGCTCCATCAACAAGCTGATTCGCGTGGGCAAAACCGAACCCGTGGTGGTCATTCGTGTTGACAAGGAGAAGGGCTACATTGATCTGTCCAAGCGCCGTGTTTCGCCCGAGGACGTGGAGAAGTGCACGGAACGCTTCGCGAAGGCCAAGGCCATTAACTCCCTGCTGCGACATGTCGCTGACATCCTTGGCTACGAGGGCAACGAGAAGCTGGAGGAGCTCTACCAGAAAACCGCCTGGTACTTCGAAAAGAAGTACAACAGCAAGACGGTGGCCTATGACATCTTCAAGCAGTCGGTGACTGATCCCTCGGTGTTCGACGAGTGCAACCTGGACGCGGAAACCAAGGAAGTCCTGCTGAGCAACATCAAGCGCAAGCTCGTCTCGCCCACTGTCAAGATCCGGGCGGACATCGAGTGCTCCTGCTACGGTTACGAGGGCATCGACGCGGTGAAGGCATCACTCACCAAGGGCCTGGAGCTCAGCACCGAGGAGCTGCCCATCCGCATCAACCTGATAGCACCGCCTCTGTGAGTTGAAATGCTATTTATTAAATATTGCTACTAAGGCGTAGGACTTTCTTAAAGTAGATCTTGAGTGTACAGATTGTATAAAAATGTTATATGATTCTTGATTTCTGTACTTTGATCCACCATTTAGGCTGTTCGATGGTTTTGTCAAGTAGAATTTCGGCTTATAATATTGAAAGCACTCTGACATGTACAAAGTATACGATTTGCAATATCGTTGTCCTCTCCGTTTGGGCGTAGTCCCCTTTGTAAAATTAGTTTCTTGGTTAAACCGGCTTGCCAATTACTGATTTCGGATTACGATATCGAAATTAAAGCAAAAAATAGGGGTTTTCCCCAAAAGGTTTTTCCATTATTACGTATAAAATAGAATATATATATAATATATGTAAATAATATTGCTTTGCTCTGCTTTGTTTCTCTGCTCAGGCTTAATCAGATTTCCTACTCTAAAAGTTATTTGAATTATATAAAAAGTGGGTCTTCAAATAAAGCAATATGATTAAGAGTGATGAAAATTAAGCTCAAGAATAAAAAATAAACCTTTTCGTTGAGTGCTGAAACGTTGCTCCTTTTTTTTAAATAATTGATTATATACACATGTGAAATGCAAATTCGTTGATGTGACTTTTGCGTAACTTAATACTAACCAAAATAATTTAGACTTCTTAACCAAGCATAAAAATCTCGAAAACATCAATATTTAAAAAAAAGAGAAAGCAAATTAAAAATTAAGAAAATGACAAACATAATTTTTCAATATTGATTTTTACAATAATATGTAGTAACAAAAAAAAAAGTTTTTAAGCTGAAGTATTAATCATTCTGCCCATTCACTCATCCAGGTATGTGATGACCACGTCCACCACAAAGAAAACAGACGGCCTGAAGGCTCTGGAGGTGGCCATCGAGAACATCCGCGCCAAGATCATCGAATATGAGGGCGAGTTCAAGGTGATCATGGCGCCCAAGCTTGTCACTGCCATCGATGAGGCGGATCTGGCCAGACGACTGGAGCGGGCCGAGGCCGAGAACGCCCAGGTGGCTGGCGACGACGACGAGGAGGATGGCGCCGACCAGGAGGGCATGCAGTTCGATCCGGAAAAGGAATTCAACCACAAGGGCTCGGCGGCGGGTCGCGCGAACGACGAGGATGAGGAAGAGGATGAGGACTAGCGTAGCCACGGCATCAGACACACCTATAGCAACTGTAACAAACGATTAAACGAGTTTTGCAAAAATAAATCCAGACCTATGAGCCATGTGTATGCTTGTGAGCGGTAGAACCGTTTGTGAAACCTTTGGAGCCTTCAGCAGACCAGATATTGTATTTCATAATTTATATACATATAATATTACGAACGCTATTAAAGATTCACAAAGAGAAAACAGCGAAGTGCCCAAGAAGACAGTTAAAATGCGCTTGTTCGTCTTTCCTTTTTTTTAAATCCAAAACAATACTTTCGACCTTTTATTGAACCCGATTCAGTTTTGCTCGAACGAGCCTTAATACTAGTTCAAATTGTGTATAATTTGTAATATGTATGCAATTGTAATATATTTTAATAGTCAGGCGTTATTTTTTCCGTTTTTTGCTTGTATTTTGTAATACGGTTAATGTGTTTCGTTGATGAGGTTTGGTTCCATCACCTTTAAATTTTCCATCCACTACAATCGTTACTTTTGTCTTAGTTTTAAAGATTAAATCGCCTACCATTTCTCCTCTCAATATTTTCTAGAAAAAACCAACCCTTGTTCTGCTTTAAAAGTGATCCGCTGCTGGAAATGCATCCTAATTAGCTATTGTACATCGTAACAAACGATTCGTATAAAAAAGTGGCTTCAGTTTACAAAAATTTCACTAAATTAGAAAGGTTTTCGTTTCTGTTATCATTGCTTTTCATTGTTGTGTTGACCTCTTACTGTTTGATACTTGACTTTATATGCGGCGTTGCGTATTTTTGGTATTGCTCGGAGTATTACTTTGGAACGCCATCCAGTTGTGAGGGTCCTGGTCCTGTATATGTTCATCATCCTATTGCAATCCGTTTCTGTCTGCGGGGGTGTTCGGCTTGAGGTGGTGTGTGTTGGGGATCTAGCCGTGTTCAGCTGAGTTCGGCTCCCGAGGCGGCGGCGTTGCGGTTGAGCAGCACAGAGCTGGCCGCCTGCTTGTTGCCGCCGCAAAGGCGCAGCACGGTGAGCACATCGCTGCGCGGATACCCGAGGGCCATGAGATCGGTTACGTCCTGTTCTGTGAATTGGTCCAGCGGCTGAATCGTATTGGGTCCACCGCCGGCACCGCCGCTTTCGCGCTTGCTCTGCTCGATGGCATTGGCGATGGCCTCCTGCTCCATGGATTCCTCCGAGTTTCCCGTAAGCCGAGCGCTCACCGGCAACTCGCTCTCCGGTAGGAACGGCGTCGTCGTCCCGGTGGTGCCGATAATCAACAGATTCCGCTGCAAGTCAATGAGGCACTGGAAAGTACGATTTATTTGTATTGTTCATTGTGAGGTTTATCAATAACAACGCTGCTCTACCTGGTGGCGCTTAAGCATGTCCAAACCGAGCAGCATGTCCATGGGCTGCTGACCCAGCACCGTGAAGCTGGAAGTGAGATGATCGTTCTCGATCTGCAGCTGCACCATGTGAATTCTGCCCAGAATGGGCTGTGTGCCCACACCTTTGGCCACGCCGTTCCAACGCGTGTCGATCAGTCGGTTGACGTGGCAGCGCTCAGCGCAATCCTTGCTCATAATGGTGGTCTGGGCGCCCGAGTCCACAAAGGCTTTAACCGGTGTTCCATTCACTTTGCAGTTGATATAACTAGGTAGGATATTGATAATTAATAAATAATTACGGCCTGATCAATTTGAACTGATATATGTACATAATTTAGCCTTAATTAACTAGTGTTTATATGAAAGGGTTATTTTTCCTAATTGCAATTGTTTTTTTTTTAAGTTTTTTTTCACTAAAGAGTATAGAAAAATAAAAAAGAATTCTACATACAGCATGGTGACCGTGCCAAAAATTTCTGGATTGTATTCAATGGCCGCTGCCATATTATCCTGAATGTTCTTTTGTTTGATCTCCTCGGCAATCAGACGTTGCGTCTCCTCGTCAAAGGGATCAGCGTTCAGCATTCGCATGCGGTGCTCATTGCGCCGTTTCCGCTCCGTAATATGCTCGCGGAGCAGACGGGCGAACGTCTCCTGGTCGCCGGAATCGAGGGCCTCGGCCAGACGAGGATTGTACTGCCGCATCAGCGCCAGCGTCTCGGGACTTGAAAGAAACATCTGCCGCACCGTTGCTGGATCGTCATCGAAGTTTACATTGAACTCATCGGTCATGGGGATGTCTGTGAGGTTGGCGAACTGTGGCTGCTGCACTCCCTGCTGCTGGGCATTCCGCGAGGGAGGACTTCCACCGGAACTCGTCCCCGGCACTGCGATGCTACTGAAGTCCAGGGTGCTGATCGCCGGATTTGCGGTCCCTTAAAAAGTGACAGCAAAGAATGGTTTTAGTAAAGGCGAGAAGGTTTTTCAATTATAAAATTTTTCCTTTATGTTCATCGAGCTGAAAAAACATTTAATTATAAACAGAAGATATAGCCATATACATACCGGAGAATAAGGTTAATAAAATTTTAAAATCCTGATATTTTAAATCGATTTTTTCTTTCTTGGTTTGAAATGAATGAAATTTGGAATGAATACATATATGTATGTCTATATACATATATACAGAAATCCTATTTTTTTGTGCAGATCAAAGGTCAAAGGACTAAAGTATGTTAATGCTAGACTCCTATCTTGTTTTAAATATATGTAAATCCATTTATCGTAATAAGTGGGTTAAAGCATGGAGTACAAGGTGATATCATCTGTGCTGTGCAATTGGTAAAATAAAATCAAAAATTGTTCACCGCCTACACCTGCAGTCGCAAATATGTGAGTATGCACAAGCATTGTACATTATGACAGCATTGGTATATCACGATCCCATTCCAATGGACAAACAGACAAGGCCATTCACGCACGCAGGGGTCAACAAAACAGGCGGCTAAAGTGGGCGGTGGTGATATGGGTGGATCCATGGGGCAGAGCACCTGCTGCTGCCATTCCCTGCCCCTCTCTTTTACGCTCTCTCTCCCCCTCATCCAAAGCTGCTGCAATGGAAACAGATAAGCCACTTCCAGTGTTCTTGTATTTGTGTGTCGCTGTTATTTTGGAATTCGCAAAAAGAATGATTGGCGAAACAAGGTGTTTATTTTTAACACCAACTGCGCCGCAAAAAGATTTTCTGTGCGTTTTAATAACCCAAAAAATGAAAAACAGAATATGCATAGAGGGAATGAAATCCGAGGTTTAAATTTCACCACGCCGAGAATTCTTTAAAAACATGTTTTCACATGTCGCATCAATATTAAATCATCTACTTTGGCATTTTCACGTAAATATTACAGATTTCTATCTAGGCGAACTATATTATTTTATTAATTGAAAATGGGTTAACGCATCCCCCTGGCACATAAAACTTCACTCAAGATCCACACCTGTCCCCCGCCGGACCTGACCCACTTAAGGGTTAATGGCTCTCTTTCTTCAACTCTCTCACCTGAGCGATTGGCGCTCCTGCGTCGTTCCAGCATGATGAAGTCGCCATCGCCGACGCCGCATTGTTGCAGAGACTGTTTGTCGTTGGAAAGCTCCCGCCCGTTAAATATAACGACTAACTGAGCCACTTCCGCACCGATCTCCATCGCGCAAAGGGCTTTGAGATTCTCCAGCTCCAGATCCTGGGACACGTCCAGGCAGAAGACCTTGTCATCGCTGGTGGTCACTGTGATTTTCATTGCCGCTGCCTTCTGTGCTTATCTGTGTTGGGGGTGGGGAAGAGCGTTGTTTGTGTTCTGGATTCTGATTGCCGGGCTCTGGTGGGTGAGTCCTAATTTCCGATAGCCTTTTCCTAGCCGTTATCTTCGCTGGCCGATGGGAGTGCTGATATTTTGCTGGCTGCTTATTGTTTTGGCACAACAACGAAAACGCCGCCTCCACGACACGGTTGCATGCGGCTCTCTTTCGATGTTTTTTTTAGCTGTCTAGCTATCGATGGTTGGTCGTATTTGTCCGCTCAAATCATATTTCTGTCTATATGGGAATCAATATCGGGATTCACGGCTGATTTTGAATGGGCTTTAAGAAAGTTATTTTTAAGTTTGGCATACTACCCGAAGGGTGTTATGCACTGTGTCAGAAAATTAGAAATATAGGTATGTTACCTGGTTAGCTCGATTTTAGAATCTTTTTTTTTTTTTAAATTTATTGAAAACATTCATCTTTTAATCAAAAACATTTGTGCTACATAGTTCATAAAACAATAACTGTTCGTAAAATTTAATTTTTATTTATTTACTTGAAGTAACGTAATCTATTAATCTATTATAAATATTGTTCTTATCAAACTCTTTCAACTTTATAATTTAAACTGACTTATTTTTTAAAGAACTGTTGAAGGTTTGGACGATTGCTTGTATCCCATAAAAATATTATCCAAGAACGGCTAGAATGTAGTTTGTATAACTAAGCTCTTTAATTATATACAGTTTCCCGCTAAGAAGCAGCATGTCGGTAAAGTGCATATTATGTTAAATGCCAGCTTGGACTTAAAAAATCGGCCCATACATATAAAATTATTTAATGTTTATAAAAAATAAGCTTAAGAAGTTCACCGATATCCGTTATCTTGGCATCGATGTGTATCGATGACTCATGTGGTGTCATCGCTAGGACCGAAAATTTATTGTATTTAGCTTTATTCAATTGGACCGATTTGCAGCGTGTGGACAAGCCAAGCAGCTTTTTAGTGCCAGCCGATTCTACAGAGCAACCATATAAGTCGCCATGTCCACTCAGCCAGCGGAGAACGAGGAGAGCGCGGCGGCCAAGTCCAAGCGACCTTCAGGTGAAAACCCAGTTGGATTCGAGTACCCTCCCACTCGTACTTTAACTCCTACTCCCCCTCCCACTTTCACACACACACACACGCGCGCGTAACAAGTGATAAGGGAATGAGTAATGTCCGAATGGCAAATCGATTTTAGGGGCCAATCCTGGAGTCAATGCATAAATCATGAGGTCACGTTCAGTAGCTAACTTTAGTCCAACTGCTTTCACCCACCACCCACAGATTCGGCCTTCAAGCAGCAGCGATTGCCTGCCTGGCAGCCAGTCCTCACCGCTCGTACCGTCCTGCCCACATTCTTCGTGATTGGGGTGCTCTTCATACCCATCGGCGTCGTCCTGCTCCACTTGAGCAACACGTCCAATGAGCTGATCATCGACTACACCAAGTGCAAGCCGTCGACCGGGAATGCCACCTGCGCGGAGTACCTAGAAGCCAATGCCGGTGGCCAGTGCAACTGCCGGGTGCCCTTCGTCCTTCCTACGGATTTCAATGTGAGTTTAAGAAATTGTGGATGGAAAGACATCATGTTACCGACCTAGCAGTCCTCTCTGGGGGAGTCCCACTAATATATATTAAAAAAGTAATAGTAGCTTAGATGTTATGGGAGCAGTAAAAGCTGTGCCGAGTTTAGAAAGTTAACCCTTTTTTAATTTTGCAGTGTTGTTTAAAACAATTTCGCCAGGTACTGCATTTATAATGTAGATGCATTAGATGTTTAAAAGTCTGTAAAGGAGCCCTTTTTTTATGTAAAGAGTTTTTGAAAGAAGAGTCGATCTTGTCCCAACTCACCAGTTCTGCTATTGCCAGCGTTCTTAATCTGAAACTTACTATCATCGATTTTATCAAACCCGATTAAGAGAAGATTAACCTATAGTCAGTAAGCTATTTACATTAACCCGATGTCGGTTTGACATTTTTGACAATTTTTTAAGAATTTGATTCTTTTGTGATGAAGAACATTATATTTAATAAGATAAAAATTTGAAATTTTAGATTAGTCGCGCAAATAAACTAGTTAATCAATAGAGTTTGATGATGAATTCGAGTTCCTAATTTGCTTACCTTTATTTATTTAAAGGGTGTGGTCTACATGTACTACGGCCTGACGAACTACTACCAGAACCATCGGCGCTATGTGAAGTCACGGGACGACGAGCAGCTGCTGGGTCACCTGTCGCAAACGCCGAGTACGGACTGCGCCCCCTTTGCCTACGATCCGGACAGCGGAAAGCCGATCGCGCCCTGCGGTGCCATTGCCAACTCTCTGTTCAATGGTGAGTCTTCAATCTTTCTGCCCTTTCAATCGAGTCACAACTAACTGAATGATTCGTGTCAGACACGCTGACCCTGTTGCAGGGCGAATCCGAGATCAAGCTGCTGAAGACGGGCATTGCTTGGCCCTCGGATAAGCGCGTCAAGTTCCGCAATCCGGAGGGCAACCTCAACGTTTCCCTCGAGGCCTTCTCGAAGCCATTGTTCTGGCAGAAGAGCCTGGCCGAGCTGGACCCGGAGAATCCGGAAAACAACGGCTTCCAGAACGAGGATTTAATCGTGTGGATGCGCACCGCCGCCCTGCCCAGCTTTCGAAAGCTATATCGCCGGCTCGACCAGACGAACACCAACTATGCTAATGGTCTTAAGGCCGGCAACTATACGCTGGACATTAAGTATCGTAAGTACGGGAGATTAACCGAATTGATAACCTATACTGAACATACATTTTGTATTGCATTTTAGAATATCCGGTTGTCTCGTTCGACGGCACCAAGCGAATGATTTTGTCCACCACCTCGGTGCTGGGGGGCAAGAATCCTTTCCTGGGCATTGCGTACATCGTAGTCGGCGCAATTTGCATCACACTAGGCCTTGCCCTGCTTTTCATCCATATGCGCTGCAGTCGCAGGTGAGCTTCACTCGAACTAAACATTTAATCATGCTCATTTTACCCTCATGATCACCATCCTACCCGTCCTTGTTCCTATTCCCGCAGCATTGTTGTGCATTAGGTCCGCATAGGGACGAGAATATCATAACCCATTGAAGCCGCATTATTTATCATGGCCAAATTTGCTTTGCTCGGTGCGCGATAAGTATTGATATTTAAGTAGCGATTGATAGTGGCTTTACTCCTTATCGGGCACTGGCCAAAATGATTGACAACCATTTCCTATGGGCTCTTGAACTAATCAAAGTTTATTTCTGTTTCCCCAGCAGCAACATGGAGATGATCAATGTGAACCCGCACACGCAGTACTCCTAGGCCGAGCACCGACAGTATTCCGGGCTGCTTCACATAGCTTTAGTAGATCCATCTGTTTAAGCCTTATCAGCATAAAGTAGTTTCTATTGACCAAAACTGGCACTGTGTTCTCGACTGCTCTGCTCTGTTCTACATATACATACATATGTTTTCTGACTGTGTGCACTTGGCCATCCGATGAGCTGGCCGTGCCTTTTGTTAATTTTTTGTATCTGTCTCCATATGTGCACCGAAAATATTTGTGATTCTTGTTGTGTAACTTATTCTGCACATCACATACTAAGTGGCACCCTTTAAAAAAGTGCGCACCTATTTCCACGCCACTGCATTACAAACAGCAAAGAAATACTTTGTGCCTGACCTAATCTGTATTGCCTTTTACTACGTTTATAAGCGAAAATAAACATTGTTAACGGCAGAGCTTTTTCTATTGGCCAGTTAATCGGGAACTTTGGGCTTGCACCTAACTGTTTTCATTAAGTAATAAAGGATTGCTAAATAACGAATTGAGTTATTAATCGGGAATCAGTTTAATTTACTGAACGAGAAAACTGCAAGGCCTTCGGTGAGTCATGTAAACGAGGCTTGTTAGTTATTAATGGAGTGGAAAAGGGGCCCTGTATGTAAAGAAAGTATGTAAACTTAAGTGATTTTAACTCCTTACTACATGCAACCTTTAAAGGTATTTAATAAAGGAATTTATTAAAAAAAACTAGAATTGTCAGTCTATTTAAAATTAAGCTTCTGTAAAATGTTCGCTGAAGGAGTTTGTAAATAATTTTCAGACGCAAATAAACGTTTTAAACATCGTCTCTTTAAAAATCATCGTTTTGATCGGGAAACTGCTTTTCCAGCATTTTCGTATGAGCTTCACATAAGGGGAAATAAATAATGAAGTGATAAATAGTGATGTCGAGTGATGCAAACCCCATTAAAGAAAACTGTTGTTCAATTTTCAATATATATTTTTAGGTTTATATTTCTTTTATTATTTTTCTTTTCGATTCTTCAACGCGTGAGGGACAAAAGTTTGCTTATATGATTCTGCATTTGTTTTAATTTATTTTGTACGTTTTAGACTACATTTCCAGTTACATTTTGTTTGCTTAGGCTAGTTTTACATATAATGCCGCCGTTATCAGTTGTGTCTATATATGTCGGTTGTGTGCGCATGCGTGTGGGTGTAAGAGTGTGAAATATAAGTAATGTACAGATTATGTGTGAATCGTTATATTAGCTATATGAATGAATCTCAATCTATGTAAATACGTGTCTAAGTATGGATCCATTATTGACCTTGGCCTTCAAATTGGGTTTAAATGTAGAGAGACGTTTACGGTGCCATCATGGGTATTCCAGTTCATATCGGAAACAACGAACAAAGGTCGTAACTTCAAGTTCAAAAATCGTTGGGTCGCAAGCAAAAGATGATTAGTAAGATGTACTTCTTCGCAGAAAATATTTGTCAATATGTAGAGTATTATTATTAAATATGCATGAATAAAAACAAATTCGTTTGCACCACTTTAAAGTTAAGCATGCTTTCAATGTCTTACTTTGAATAATAATGTTACGATCTTCTTGTTTGTCATTACTGAACTAAAAAGTTGAAAAAAAAAAAAATGTAATTCAAATTCTGCTTCCGAGTTCATATTGCAGAACTGTGAACGGTTCAAAATAATAAACATTTTGAACCGCCTTAAAAATTTTGGGTAAAAAATGTGCATTAGAAATAGATCCCAACAAATCATCAGAAGTTGTACCTAAAGTCGTGTTCGAGGAGTGAAACCTAAAAAACGACAAAAACGTTGGCGGGTCGAGCCAATAAGCTTATACGAAAAGGAAAAGTCTAAACATCTGGCGCTTTGTGTGTGTCTTTGAGAGTGTCTTGCATGTTGTGTGAAATACTTTGAAAATCCTGATGGTTTTACTAACTCTAACTGAGCGGTTTCCCTTGCGTTTTCTGTCGCTTGCTTTGGTGCGTCGTAAACTGTTTGCTTGATAATTGATGTGTAATGTGTAATATATATAAAGACGTACGTTGCTATATGCTTAAGCCTACTATATCAATGTATGCATTATATATATAGTTTTTCTAAGCGAAACTTAACCGTAAGAGGGTGCATATGGATCCCCTGTTTTCTCTTTGTGTGTGAGTGTGTGCGCGGTACAAACTATGTTAACATTTAAAAAAAAAATATATATCCTTATACAATATATACGCATATATATACTATATATATGATGTACATATACGTTAGTTAAGTTCTTAAGACTAGAAGCAAGAAAAAAAATGGTTCATATAACACACACGCACTCACACGCATCTTGTGCTATACATAAACGTGGCTGATCTGTTGATGGAATGCGTTGCTGGTGTTCATGTTCTCGCTCGTGTTTCTCTTATGTTGTTTCATTGTTCTGAATGATCGTGGTGAGATGATGCTAATGATGGCGATGATCAGTGGACTGGCTTTGTACATTTCAAGTGAGTTTGGATTTGGATGGTGAGGAGGTGTTCTTGGTGGTGACATGTGTGGCTGTGGATGATTACTCCTCAATTCAGTTGGCGGCAGCTGTTGCAGCAACAGTCTTGCCCTTGCTGTTGTTATTATTGTTGTTGGCCAGCACCGCCGCCGCCGACTTGGAGTCAGGCTTCGTCTTTGCTGCCGTTGCTAACGCGGCCGTGCTGCTGCTGCTGTTGCTGCTGCCGCTTGCTGCTGCAGCCGCTGGTGGCTGTGCTGCTGCTGCTGCCGAGCTGTTGAGCTTTGGCCCATTGAGGATATGGCTTTTGATGTGGCTCTGGAGAAGCTCCTGAGAATCGAAACAAAGTTGACATAGGACACAGGTAAAGCCGGGATCATTCAATTGATCGTCGGCCCGCTTACGCCGCTCACCCGTGGAATGCGAATGCGAATGCGAATGGGAACGCGAGTTGGACGTGGTCGTTGTGGTGGACTCGCTCTCCGACGAGGAGGCCGTCGACACCACATTCGGCTCGTCCTCCACATCCCCCTCATCTTCTAAATCATCGTCATCCACCTCCTCGATGGCATCCTCTACATCCTGATCCGGATCCTGATCTGGATCGTGATCGGGATCCGGATCGCCATCCTCATCGAACTCCTCCTCAATGATGTCCTCGATGGGCATCACACCGTCGTCCTCGTCATCGGAGCTCGCGACTATAAGTGGCGGCATCTTGGACTTGCCATTCATTAGCGGTCGAACGGGCAGTTCCATTGCACCGGGCTCAACATCCACGTCCTCGTCGTCATCCTCATCATCATCCTCGTCGTCGTCGTCGCTCTCCACCTCGCCATCATCATCTTCGTCGTCGTCCGAGCTGATTACCTCCTCGACCAGATCATCGTCGTCCTGGCCGAGATTCGCATCGAGTTGCTTCTGTGGCAACAGTTGACCCGGCGGCTGGACTCCCTCCTCGTCCTCGCCCTCGCCGCCGTCGCCCTCCTCGTCCTCATCTTCGCCCTCGCCATCATCGTCGTCGGTGTCGTCGTCCTCATCATCGCCCGTTCCCGAACTCTCCTCCTCTTCGCCGGAGCTGTCGTCGTCCAGTTCATCGCTGTCCTCCTCCTCCTTCGCAGCTGTAGATGTTGCTGCTGCCACCTGACCCTCGTCCAGTAATTGATCTTCGGTTTTCACTGCTTCACCCAATGTTTTGGGGGATCCTGCTGCTGCTGCTGCCGTTGCATCCGCTGTCGCCGCCGCCGCTTCCATTGCCGCCGTCCGTTCGATGGCCTCCTTGGTGGCCACCGGCACGATGACCTCCTCCTTGAGATGGTTGTTGATGTGGTTCATCAGCTTCTCCTTGCGCGACAGATACTCCCCGCACAGATCGCAGCCCCATTGGAAGGGGCAGAAGGGGCGCACCACCTTCGCGTCGGCCAGCTTGTGCTCGATCCACAGCTCCTTCGTCTCGAACTTCAGCTGACAGCGTCGGCAGGTCAGGTGGTCGTCCACCACGATCACCGGCGGCTCCGGCAGGGTGCTCACCTCGTGCTTGTGCAGCTCGTACATGTGCCGGCGCAGGTTGTTGTTGCTGATGAAGGTGGAGGCGCAGTACTCGCACTTCAGCTCACGCTTCCGCTTCATCGACTTGCTGCGGCTGCTGCTGCTGCTGTTGTTGTTGTGGTTCAGGCTGCTGTTGCACGAGTTGTTGAGCAGGCTCTGCTGCTGCTGCTGCTGGTTGGGCATCAGACCCACCGCATGCAGCTCGCGGAGGTGCAGCATCGAGTTGTTGTTGTTGTTGTTGTTGCTGGTGGTGTGATTGTTGTTGGTCAACTGTGTCGCTTCGCCGTCGATGGGATTCTGCAAGGATTAACACATGCCATGGACGTGGAGGTGGACGTGGGAATTGCAGGAGGGGATTGATTGAGTGGGGGAGAAGAGAAAGAGAGAACAGAGATTAGTACTTGTTCAATTGGCAATGACGAGATGTTGATATCTGTTTTTTGCGACTGGTGCGGAGGCAGCATCATCATCATCATCAGCACATCAAAAGTTGTTGGTGGCGCGACAGACGACGATCCTCGCCATCGTCCGTCGCTCGTCCTCCTCGCTGCACAAGCCCAAAAACGCTCACCTGCTTGCTATCACCTCTGAAATGCCACTTGCGATGCACCTTGAGTGCGATCACCTGGGGGAACGTCTTGGCGCACAAATCGCACGCGTACTCCCCGTTCTCGTTCTGCCGCTCCACCTGGAATTGCCCGGCGTCCGCCGGGCCGTCGTCGAACATCGCCGCCAGTGGATTGTCCACGTACAGCTCCTGCTCGTGCTTCTGGATGTGCTTGCTGAAGTGCTCCTGGTCGGTGAAGCGGGCCCCGCAAATGGTGCACGCCACCTCCGGAATGCGGATCTTCAGCGATGGCGTGACCACCGAAACGGCGCTTCCCGATGCCGCGGCTCCATTGCCGTCGCAGTTGGCCCTGTCCTCGAGCATCTGCTGGTGCTGGTGCTGGTCCTCGTCCTCCTCGTCGTCCTCGTCATCGCCGGTCTTGTGCCGGAAAACGGTGCGTCTGGCCGGCTGAAGCGACGACTGCTGCCCATCCTGCTGCTGATGGGCTCCCGTCGAGGTGATCGGCTTGCGGTTGCAGGTGGGCGTGTGGTTGTCGTGCATCTGCCGATCGAAGAAGACCTTGCGGCACATCGAGCACTCGGCCGGATCGGGCACCTGCGGATGCTTCTTGTAGCGGTGCACCTGTGGATGGAGCATTGTTATAGAAGGGGCTTCAAATACAAAATATACAAAACAACTAACTTAATATAAATCACACAAACAGTTCCCTTTTACTTTCAAAAACAACTTTATAGTTCATCTGTTGAAATTTGCTTTTGCCTAACAAGCTTACTAGATCAAACCACTCAAAAAAAAAAAACAGGTTAATCCCAGACTAACTCACCCATAGGCTCTTGCGGCCGCTGTACACGTTGCCGCAGTCTTTGCAGGAGTAATCGTTCGAGTCGAACTCGTCGTGGGAGTTGATGTGGATGGCCAGCTTCTTGTTGGTGTTGAAGTTGGAGGGGCAGTACTTGCACTGGTACCAGTACAGCGGAGTTCCCAATCCTTGGCCCGCCGAAGCGGATGCCGTGGATGCTGCAAGATCGGCGAGATCCGCTGCCGTTGGCTTTCTCTCGTCCATCAGTGAATCATCGTCGATCTTGGCGGACGTGGACGCCGACGTGGATGCCCCGGCCAGCTTGTGGACACTGCGCTTGTGCTGCTGCAGCTCCATTTCCGAACTGTAGACAATCGAGCAGACCTCGCACTCGAACTGCTTGATGATCATCTCGTCCTTGATCGCCCGCCCGTGCACCTTGAACAGATGCACCTTCAGACCCTTCTCGTAGGCGAACTCGGCGTTGCACAGCTTGCACTTGATGAACTGCACGTTCTGCACCTGGTGGTCGGTGAGCATGTGGTAGCGATAGGACTTCTTCGAGCTGAAGCGTCGCTGGCAGATGCGGCACCGCATTCGCCGGAAGCGGCGATCGGCCGCCTGGTCGAGACTGCGCCGAAAGACGGCCTGCTCCTGCGGCGTTTGATTGGCCATCGCCGGCGGCACATTGGCCGGTGTGGCCGGAGCCGAAACCGATCCCGCCGCCGTTGACGATGCCATGAGACCCGTTTCCGAATCCGTCGCCGGCGTTGCGGTAATTGTCAGCGACTTCGGCGTCATTCGATTGGCAGCCGCCAGAGCAGCAGTCACCGCATTCGAGGTTGTGTAGTGGGAGCGCATGTGATTGGACAGGCCGATGTTGTTGCTGAACACCGCATTGCAGATGGGACACTCCTTCTGCTGGCTGGCCACGCCCACCAGGCTGCTGTTGTTGCTGCTGTCGTCCAGGCGCATCTTCTTCGCCACGCTGCTCGGCTCGTCCTCCTCGTCGTCTGGAATGGGAAAAGGGGAACTGTGTTAGCACGGCACTGGCAAACACAAATCGAAATCTAACTAAAGGCAGCAGCAAAGCCTTCGATTTGAGTGAAATGACAAAGTGTCAATGTGTCAGGATGGCAATGGTATGTTTATGGTTATGCGGTGAATCAGTGAAAATGTATTTGACATGGGAACATAGCTTACTATGCCTTTAGTTATACCACATCAAGTAGAAAGCTATAATAATATCCTAATTTGTTGGATGAAAGTGAAAGATTAAGACTTATAACTTCAACTTAAACGGGAAAAGTTACAAAGTTAGCAGCCAAGTATTCATTTAAAGCTTTAATAAAATCTAGGCAATTCAGATTGAAAATATCCAAAGGCCAATTATTAAATTAGTTTATGAGAATTTTTAATTATTTTAAAGACTTAATGAGAATTATTTCGTTGGCCTAGCTTTATTCATTCTAAACGCAAACATATGTTTCAGTTGTTTAAGGAAATATATAGTATGTAAGCTTTACAAGTAGGGAAATGATTTTATCGTCTTTTAACTTAGTTTTTCAAAACAGAAAAAGAACTTTACGCTTTAATAATACATGGTATACCAGACTCAGTTTCAGTTTCAGTGAAATGATTTGAATTGAATTCCCATTCGAAGATACCGACTCAATCTCAGTGGAAACTATGGGGATGAAACATGGGGTGGCACCACAGACAGAGGCAACGAGAAGTCGGGCGAAGAGAGCGGGGGGACGTCTACAATCTAAGCCTATTTACCGAGTGTCCCACCATTTGTTATCGACATCAGGTCCTTCATCACGTAGTCGAAGCGACCAGTGTAGACGTTCGGGGTGCTCCCATCGGCCAACTTGACGGCGTCCGCGTTCACGATGTACTCGAAGCCGCCGGAATGGCGGTTCTTGTCGACGCCGTGCACGTTGATCATGTGCTCGCGCAGGTAGGAGATCCGTGGATAGCCCAGGCCGCATCGCACGCACTTGTAGGTCTCGGGCAGCTTGTTCGGATGCTTCGACTCCATGTGGCGCAGCACGTTGTTGTAGTTGTTGTACTGCTGGCCGCAAATCGGACACACCTGCGGCATCCGCGAGAAGTACTGCGACTTGGGTGCGGCCGCATCCCGATTGGCCGAGCTCTGAGCTGCAGCAGCCGCAGTTGCTGAAGTAGAGCCGCCACCCACCTGGGCTCCGCCCGCCGGCTTTGGTGTGGAGGACATCTGCGGAGCGGCGCTGCTGCTGCGCGACTCGTCCGCCGAGGAGCCAACGCCAATGCCCAACGCTCCCAGGAGACTCCGCTTGCCGGGCGAGTGCTCTATGCTGTTGCTCCTGGCCATGCCGCTGCCCGTGGTGGAGGCATTGTCGCTGCTCGCCCCGCCGCCGCCGCCGCCAACGCCGCCCAGGTGGTCCTGGTAGACGTGGTCGAGGAAGCGCTGGTGCGTCTCCAGCTTGGCGTCGCACGTCATGCAGCGCAAACGGACAATGCAGTCCATGTTGTTGTAGTGCCGCCGCCGATCCACCGGCTCGGGGATGTCCAGCCCGCAGAAGCTGCACTGAATCGAGTTGTTGTCCTTGCGCTGCACATCCGCGTGCTTGTCGTAGACGTGCGTCCGGAACTCGTGCTTGGTGCGGAACCCCTTCGGGCAGAGCTTGCACTCGTACAGCTTGTTCACCAGCAGCTCCTTGGCGCGCAGCTTCTCCGGTCGCTCGGATCCGCCGCCGGGTGTGACCACTTCTCCGGCGCCGCCGCCGCCGATGGTCACCGTGGGACTGGTCATGGCCGTCACATCGGCACCGGTTGCGTCGGCCACAGAAACACCGGCTCCATCGACTGCCATGTCCTCCGTGAGGGAGGAGGACATGGCACCCACAACTGGGGCAACCGATGTCGTCTTGCCGCGGAGAGCATTGAGGACCCTGAAGAGATTTATGCAGTTGCGCTTCTTCAGATGCGAGATGAACAGCGCCTTGGAGTCGTTCATCTTGAGGCAGTTGAAGCACAGGTTGCGCGGCAGCAGCGGATACTTCTTGCGCACGTGCGCCATGAAGTTCTTGTACGTGCTGAAGTACTTGCTGCAGCAGCGGCAGGTCATCGTTTGGTACTGCTCGAGGAACTCGTCGTTCTGCTCGATGAACTCCACCTTGTCGCGGGTGAGCAGCGACCGATACTGTTCGGGATTGTCGTAGTCGTAGCCGCCGCCCTCGCACTTGCTGAACGCGTTCATCACCACCTGGCGGTACTTCTGCGTCGAGATGTTGCCGCCCGCCGCTCCCACTGCTCGGTTCGCCTCGGCGGTGGCGGCCGCAGCCGCCGCCCGTTGGATCTCGAGGGCGGCGGCCAGGGCGGGCGTTGGCTTCGTGATGGGCGTGTTGTGGGGCGAGTCGGTCGACAGCTGGAACAGGTTCGGGTGCAGGTTGCGCTCGTGACGGCGGGCGTTGGCCCGCGTGGAGAACTGCAGGCTGCAGGCCCGGCAGCTGGCCACCTTGGAGTCCCCGGCGGCCGCCACATTGGCCACCGCGTTCGCCGGCAGCGAAGCAGCCACCGAGGAGCCGTTGCCGCCGTGCTGGCCCGTGTAGTCGTAGTCCGAAGCCTGCAAGGGGTGCAAATGAACGAAAAATATTATAAATTAAAATCAATACTGACAGAGGAGACTCTCGCTTTGCTTTAGAAAGGGAGCTAAGGCTGCTATGAAATATGTTTCTAGAACTAAAATTTAAGGACTGAAATCAGAAAAAAGATTCCCCAGTAAACAGTACCTTTATATGCATATATGCTTAGGATAACTAACTAAAATGTCTGTTTATTTAAGTAGTACAAATAACTCTATTTGTTATTAATCATTTTTGTGTAATAAATGTTTCTTCGTAAAATGTATACCCCCTTTAAAGATATTTCACAACATATTGGATAATGTAGTGATGATGACTCACCGTCAATGGGACATCGCCCTCGTGCTCGGAACGCTCTAGGAACATTGTGGGATCGACCATGTCATCGGACTCGTCTATCGACTTCATCTGGTAGTCGTCGTCCGTGTCAATAGGCTCATCTTTGATGGGAATCGCAGGCAGTGGCTGCAGGGGAGCCAACATTCGACCGAAAATAAAAGAGCAAACAGTGCCAGACGAAGCGGAGATTAGTTTAGATCGATAAGGGTTCACAATAGCATCGAATATATCAGAATGGTAAATAAATAACATCAATCATGGACGCTGCAGTACGTCCATCGATACCCGTTAGCCAGAGAGCTATAGATCGAGTTATATTACATGATATATAAACGTATTCCAAAGAGCAGTGTAAAAACAGTGAACAGTGAACACTAAATCCAGACGGACGGTGAAGATTTCGCATAATTTGGTAATCGGGATAACAGGTAGAAGAGAGCGCTGTACAGGATTGGGTGTGGTGGTGAGGTGGTGTCGTTGTTCACGCTTCGAATGCACGATACAATTACATTATAGGAGTAGCGTCTGAAAAAGCGCAACTGCTGCGCGGCACTCTGCAGCGTCACCGGCATAAGCAGCGGAGCCGTGGACACGGATGCGGTTGCAGATGCGGATGCAGATGCTGCTGAGACAGAGGCCGTCACGGAATCGACGTTGCCCGGCGGATTGGACGAAATTGTGGTGGCCAGACCACCATTACCACCGCCACCGACGCCGCCAGCCTGCTGTTGTTGGACGTGACCGGTACTGCTGGTGCTGCAGCCTTGGCTGAAATCCAGCGGCAGCGCCAGCGACAAGCTCTCCATTCCGCCTCCCACGCCCAAGCCCACACCCGCCATCCCGGGCAGCAGTTCATGAGCACCAGCAGTAGCAGTAGCAGCAGCCGCAGCAGCAGCAGCTGCAGTAGAAGTAGAAGCAGCAACACTCGAAGCAGCAGACGGAGCAACACTGGCTCCCAATGGTGGCAAAGGTGGCAGCGGCGGCACTGCAATGTCCAGTGGCAAGTACACCTTCGGCTTGAATTTGCGAATCGGTGGAGCCGGATTTGCCACCGGAATCGGACGTTGTGGACGAAACTGCCGCTGGCGTCTACTATGCTGTTGCTGATGATGTTGATGATGTGGCAACACCTGCTTGCCGCCGCGCTGCGGACGTTGCTGCTGTTGCTGTTGTTGTTGTTGCTGCTGTTGTTGCTGGTGATGATGATGGTATCTGCGAAATTGGTGAGATTGCTGCCGTGGCTGATGATGATGCTGCTGCTGCTGATGATGCTGCTGCTGTTGATGCTGATGCTGATGTTCCCGCTGCTGGGATGCGGATGTGGTGGATGTGGATGTGGAGGAGCAACTGGCCGCCGATGCTGGTGGCACCTGCAAGAGAAGGGTCTGCAGCGATTGCTGCGCGTTGCTGCCGGTTGTCGCCGTCATTCTGGCCGGTGGTTGCAGCTGCAACTGCTGCAATTGATGCTGTGGCAGCTGCTGCGGTTTAGGACTCACATAGACTGTTAGGGATTTGCGTTTCTTCAGCGAGTGTATGCCATCCAAAATGTTGGCGGCCGTCGCTGTGACCGCTGGCGTCGCCTTCTCCGATTCGAGCTCATTCTCCGATTGCGGTTGCTGGTGGAGCTGATGATGATGATGCTGCTGCTGGTGATCGAAGGAGCCACCGCCACCGCCTCCCCCGCCTCCGCCTCCATTCTCCGCACTGTTCAGGTCCAGGTAGTTGAAGAGCTTGCTCTTGTTGGCCTCCAGCCACTGGCGCTGCTTCGTCTGCGAGCTGACGCAGCGGTTCTTGAAGCTCTGCCACGAGTTCAGGTAGCTGATGCAGGCGTGGCAAATCTGCAGCGACAGCCGATCCTGGGGTGTAATCTGCAAATATATATACAAATTGGAATATATATAGTAACGTTTCGAACTAACTAACTAAGTAGTTAATTAAAAGCCCATAGTAAGCAATGGAAAGCTAAAGATTCAATTAAAATCTTTTAGAACCCATTATGATCATTGCTTTGAATATTAATTTGAGTTAGCCAGCATATTCGCCCACTCTTTCGATTTTCGGGCTTGTCATCGGAGTTTTTGGGGGGACAGCAGTGGAGTTCGTGTGTCCAGCGATGCGGAGAATGCAGGTAGCAGTCCCCGGCTCCCAACTACCCTATTAATGTCAATGACCTGCTTATAATTATATGCAAAACTGCAGCAGCATCCCGCACCACCCCGCACTCCCACTCCCACATCCCATACCACCCACCACCCACCACCCACCGCTCACCTCACCGCTTGCCACCACAAACAGAACACTGCGCAAATCATATGAAATGTCCTGCTGGCTGATAACAGTGTGTGCGCATGTTTGTTTGTGTACGACTGTGTGTATCGTTCGAATTGGCCGCCTATGTAAGCCCGCCCTTATATACTCGATGATACCCGTCCTGCCCCAAAATCCATGCACATGGGTCGATTTCTAAGGGAAGCCCGGCGGCTCTTAACATCTTACCCGCCGCAAAATCTATTAAATCTCAATTATCAAAGACCGCAGCTAAGCATCTTTAATCATAATCGCTTATCAAAGCAAAGTCAGTTTTTAGTGATGATTGGCTTACCAAAAAACAAGCTAGATTTACTGAGCAAATTAAGATCATTCTTCATAACTTAAAGATTCATTTAGTTTCAAATCAAATGTATAGATTCATTCTTTAAAAGATTTACAGAGTTAAGTTTTATCATGTATGTATTTACTTTACAAAAAAGCTAACTTGAATTTACAGAACAAAAAAAATGCAATAAATATTTTAAAATAGGGAAGAAACAGTTTTCTGCTGATCAATAGAAACAAAAGACCCTTCTTGGCTATCAAGTTTCCAGTCCTAGGATTCCCAAGTGTTCTTTAAGTGTCCACTGTACTCTACTATAGATTCCCAACTGATCGATTGCTTCAAAGAAATGGCTAGGAAACCGCCAAACTGTTCCCCTTTTCGTCAATTTACTCGAATATCGATAGCAATAGTGAGAATTAGCAATCGAAGAGGCGAATGAAAATGATCAAAACAAACCATGTGAAATGTTTTGTTTTGCATTTGTCTTTGCGACTTGAGCTATGCACACACTTTTGTTTGTTTGTTTGTACATACATATGTGTTGTTGTGTTTAATTTAATAATCGAATACTTGTTGTCGATGTCGGTGGCATTGTTGTGCTATTGTAATTGAAACCCCTGGATATTAAAGCCCGGCGGGTCCTTAAAGCACTTATACACATATAAACACAGAAATACATGCACCCACCTACGGGTTTTTGGGCCTATCCATATACATATGTACCACCGCATATCCTTATGTACAATACCACACTCCAAGTTGAGGATTTCGAGGGCTCCACTCCGTTTCGATAATATGTTGTTCATTCACCTCAACTCAAACCAGCGTTTCCTTTATGGCCGCCATGTTTCCCTGTGCAATTGGATACAGGATACAGGGACTTCCCCCAGTCCCTTGCGGAGTGCACTTTAATGTGGCAACATTGGAACAAAGTTTTGGGATGGAGTTCATCCACATTATAGATAATACGCAATAAGGTGAGATTTTAGAAAGTCGCAAAAGGGCAAAATGTATATTGTGTACCATCGTCAAATGTACATACAAACATACATATATAGCAAGTATATAATGCAGAAAGACTTGTGGCAGCTGCAGATTCCACCAGCTGCCGCCTTCGTTTTCTGCTGGCCACCAGGTGCAATAATCACCAGCCATGGGCCATGGACCATTCCCATTCCCAATACCCAATTCCCGTTCCCATCCCGTCTCCCCGCTTCCTCTGCTCCTTCGTGGAACAAGTTCTTCTCCTTTTTGTGTCCTTATTCGTTCCAAACCCATGCTGTTTGTACGTATATATTTGTGTATATAAATTCGAGTGTGTGTGCAAGAGAGAGAGCATCCTGTCCGGTCCGTTCCACGCACAAAGTGAAGACGTAGAAATAACCAAAAAGTAACCCTCATATTTAGCAGACCGGAGATCTTAAGAGCAGCAGCAGCAAGAACAACAACAATGAAACAGGAGCAGGACGACGAGGAGTCGGAGTGAATTTTTGAAATATTGAATTTCATCCCAGGCAGCTAACAATGCAAAAACAAAATAAAAACGCAAGTGCAACAGGGTCCACCCTACGGCTTCCAAACAGCTGTTATCGTTTTTATGGCGATCCATGCAAGTTATCGATAAAGATATACATGCTGAACCGAAGGAACCTTAAAAAGTAAATTCAATTAGCCAATTTGCATACATATGGAATTCAATGCCATTTCTGTTTAATTTTTTTTCCAAAGTTTTTTTTTTTTGTATATTTTTCTAAAAATCGTTAGTTTTATTTCGAAATCCTGTAAAGTTTCAATTTTAAACCGGAATATCATTCTTCTGAATTTACTATTTGGATAGTTTGGAGATCTTTAATCTTAGATCATTCTGCTTGGAAAATATGTTTCCTGCTTGGATAGACACGGAGACACAATCCTTGGGATTTTATGTATCCCTAAATGGTGTGTATCCTTTTGTGTTGACAAAATCCTGGCTACCTATTTCATCCAGCCAACCAACAAGCCCTCATCCGCCATCTTGGATGAGCCAGAGTGGAAATGTGGATGCTTCGGCTGCTTCTCTCTGTTCCGCTGTTGCCCTGTTCCCCTTCTTGCTCCCTCCTCCGCCGCTTCTCTTCCCACTCTGCCTCTTCGAATCCCTCTTTTATCGGCTTGTCATCTCGTCACGTCGCTTCTTCGTCGTCGCCGCCGTCGTCGTCGCATTTTTGGCCAAGGGGAGAAAGTTAGTCCACCTGGGGACCCAAGAAGAGCCATTGCCACAAAATGGAGACGACGCCGCTTTAGCTGCTGTCGGAAATTCGATGCGGGCCGCAGGAGGAGCCGAACCAAAGAAGAAGCAGCAACAACAACAACAAGGAAAGCAGCCAACGAAGGCAGTCAAAAGCAGAAATATATCGACATCCCACCAGGTAATCTGGTGTGCCCAAGGTGAAACCACTCGAATTTTGTGCCCGGTTTTGGGTCTCCGCCGCTGTCCGTTTTCCAAGCCCAAACGCCCGCTGCCTGCTGGCCTGCTGCTGCTTCCCGCTGTCCATGCCCGCAAACCCTCTTCACCTCCTCTTCCTCTGCCCATAACCGTGCCCATGCCCATGTCCATTCCCATACCGATACCCATACCCATTCCCAATTCCCGTTTCCCGGTCTCTTTTGCCTGTGCTTTGTCTTGTGCCCGTGCTTGTGTGTGTGTGTATGCGAGCATGTGGTCCGCCTCCAGATAACGAGAACGGAGGAAGAGGAAGAGCAAGAGAAGCAGTCGAGCTAGCGATGACGCCAACCACATACACAAGCAAACTCATATATATGTATACAGCTCGGTCGGAGGCAACTGGCACTGTCGGTGTGCGTCCGTTTGGCCGTGTCTCTGCTTGTGTGTGTGTGTGAAGAGCAATTGCCATGAAATCGAATCGAAGCCCAGGGAAAGAACAGAGAACCGAGAATCGAGGAGAACCGAGTCACCATTAGAACCAGACGACGACCACGACCATTGGGGGCACAAAAGCATCGAGTACCGAGCACACGCAGCGTCGGCGTGGCGGATATGGGATATTGGGATATAGAATGTGGAAGTGGGTGATGCCGGGAGAACTGGAACTGGAACTTCACGACATGGCAAATACCAAAAAACGATACCCAGAAAGAATCAATAAACGAAGCTAGCGAAGCCGCATGGGGAAGCCAGTCCCAGTCCAAATCCTTCTCCTCTACCTCCTGCTGTACTTCGTCCTCGTCCACTTCCTCGAAAGGATGCGCGCGCAAAGAGAGAGAGAACGGAGAGCAAGTGCTGCCCTCCAAGCGGAATTCCTTGGAAAAGGTACAAACAACGCAAAATTATATGTAATTGCCCTGGGTTTTTTGGGTTTTTGGTTTTCTGGCCTGGAATCTCTGAATCTCTGTTGCCCGCCGCACACACTCATACAGCCAAACAAATACAGAAATGCCCACTGAAGACGACGGCGCGCTCATCGTACTTTACGCTTTGTGCTGGCCATTCGCAGCTGCTCTCGCCCGCTGGGAAGAGGTAAAAGCGAAGAGGAGGAGGAGAATGGGTTAAAGGAGGAAGAAGAGGAGCCAGCGGAGCAGGCAGCTAAATTTTTGGAAAGGAAGCAGGATCAGTTCCAACCTCAAAACGGGAAGGCAAGCCAGGAATGGAACGAATGGAAGGCATGGAAGCAACGAAAGGAGGAGGAGTAGCAAAAGTGGAGAGTTCAAGTTTGATTATGAGCTAAAGATTGTGGTCGTGATTGGATTACAGCAGCTCCTCTTCCACTTCTCGCCCCTCTTCCCATTCCCCTCCATTCCCACTGCATCGTGACTTGGCAGTGGAAACATTGGAAACCCAAAAAGCGGACCATGCGGCTAGCCACACACCCATACAAACGCGCCAGAGGAGGCGGGGTCTGGCTGCTTTTTCGTTCGCTTCGGTTTTTCTGTTTTTCTCTGCTTTTGGTGGCCATCATCATCTCTGGTGCTTGCACAATCCAACGTCACTTTGCCTCTGGCCCCTGGGACCCAAATGGCTACTCTTCATCCGTAACCTCACTTTCTGGGCGTCCACAAAAGCCAACGGGTGTGGCCACCGCCTCATCCTTCCCACTGGCCATTGGATGTGTGTATAACTGTTAATGGTGTCCAACCACCAGAGCACGGGGCACGGAGCACGGAGCACAGAGCACCGGAGAGAATTCGGAGAGAGCAGCGGACTCGAAATCGGACGGACCCCGGATGACGACAGCGACGGCCGGATTATGTACACCGTTATACACTCAATAACCCACTCACCTTGATGCTGACGCAGTTGTGGATCTTGGTGGAAAGCGGCTCCTTGTCCGCCGCATAGCTATTGATGATCGAGATGCACTCCGATTGTGGGGCAATGCACAGGCGACAGCAGTTTTGTCGCGCCGACCGTTCCGCTTTTGCCGTTGTCGTTGTTGGTGTGGCGTTGGAAACTTCTGGGGAAGTGGTTCCAGCTCCCGTTCCCGTAACCGTTGTGGCTCCCACAGGCGTTCCTGTTCCCGTTCCAGGCGTCGCTGTGGCCTCCACAGTTGTTGCTGCTGCCGCCGCAGCGTCGCACATTTTGTCGCTTTGTATTCGCTACTCGCTTTTGCGTTTGTTGTTGTTGTATATCTTTTTTTTTTTTTGCACGTTTTCACTTTTGTTTCGGTCTGCGTCCGTTCGCAATCGTTCCACCATCCACTATCCGCTCTCCGTCGACGTCGACCACGCCGCTCGCGTCGCCCACTTTTCGCACATTGTTCTCGCACACACACTCTTCTTGTTCTCGGTGATCCTGGGCTGGCTTTGCGTTCGGTTTGTGTTTGGAAAGGAGAACGAGAATCGCACACAGGAAAAAAATAACTGCGATGCGGATGCGGACGCTGCCGACGATGTGTGCTCCGAGTTCAAAAAAACAGTGTCTCGAAAGTGGTGGTAAAACATCGGTCTTTAAAAACGGTAGTATCGATATCTTGAAAATCGAGGTTTTAAATCGAAATCATATCTGGCCGCCGATGTTTGCCAGCCTAATCGGGTGGGTGTTCTCGGTTCACAGCAAGTGCTGTGGGAACTACGCAGCAAACGCACCACTAACCTAGCGAAGACATCATCCAGAATATTTTTTACGGTTCACGGTTAATTAACGGTTACCGTTTCGTTTAACAAAAAGGGTGGCAACCACGGTTGGTGGATGCACTCGCTAACCGCCAACCCGGTTCAAATTTGAATTACAGAGATCTATCGATAAGCACAGATTAACAGCATAACGGATATCGAGTGCTGTTAAGTGCCAGCTGACCCCACACCGCGATTTTTGTTGTAATTTTATCTTATTTTTTCCACGCTTTGTTTTGTTATTAGTTTGCTTAATTTGACTACAGTTAATTATCCCCGCCAATCAAAGGTGAGTAACCACAAGATGCGCGGTAAGACGAAGAAGTTGCAACTCTGGCCAATTTGCACAATTATCACGGCCTTGACATAGAACAGGGGGCAACAACACAATTAATGGACGCCTCACAAGAAAAAACAAAAACCGGTCTAGCAACAACAATAATATTGACTGCCTTTTAGTTGTTTTCCTTTTCCACCATCGTTTCGCTTTAAAAGATAACGGAATTTCTGCTGTTTTCTGTTTTCTTGATATGCATTTTTAACGCGTAAATAAATAAATGTTTTACGATAGTATGCAAATTTAGTTACTTGTAAGAATTATGAAAAATTAGACGTCAGAATAAAACATTACTCAAAACTGTTAAAATATTATATGAAAGTAAGAACAAGAAATTAAAACAAAACTCAAAAGGTACTTTGATATACGCAACATGTTTCATATTAAAAAAATCTTTCTAGAGTTCTAAGTATGTATGTACATATGTATTTGAAAAGAAAACATTATATTTTATGGTTGCATTTTCGCGTTCATATTAATTTTGCTTTACTAAAAAGAAAGTTTAAAAGTTTGCGTCAACCCTAGCGAATTTGGATTGTAAAAGGTTGTACTTTCTGTTATCAACGGTCTGTCCATCGAACAAATAAGCCCATTAATCTCGGAGCAATTAATTAAATAGCCATTTAAATTTAAAGTCGCGCTGGAAATAGAAGAGCACAGTCAGGGGTCAACCGGGGTCACCACCGTCTGCCGATAAGACGGGTCTACGGCTAGGCCTCAAAATCCGAAGACAGTCGTGGTCCTCTCCGATTCTGTGGGTGCAAAGGGCAGCGAAAGATGCGCCATAAATAACCACTGGAGGTCACGTGGAAAGCTGATACCGCACAATGCAAAACTTGCGGAGGGCTATCCTTTGGCATCCCATGCACAGTGGCTCGGATGCCTTTTATCGCCACCCACTGCAACTTATCACTGGTCCAGCGGAAGCATAGAAATTCGCTAAAAAATAATGCAAAAGTATTAATTAAATGCTTCAAAATGTCTTTTATCGCCTTTCGCCCACTCCTGTGCAATTTGCAAGGCAATTCTTATTATTGTCAGCTTGAGCTTTATTTTTAACCCTAGATCATTTTTAAATAATTTGAGGCTTTATAACAAAAAAAAAAGGACCTTCAATTCCCTTAGACATTTTAAAAGCAGCTTCTAACTACATTCTGTTTTGAGCATATTTGGTTTAAAAATAGTTTCCAATAGTTTTAAGAGTCCAATTAACGTTGAAGTACACAAATGTTTGTTGAGTTTTAATTTTTTAATTATTTCAATATAAATTCAAAAAGAAAATTCAACCCTTTTAGATTTTTTTCCATTTTTGTTCTCAGAAGTTTGTCAAACCACAAAGTGGTGGCTCGTCAATTATGAAATTTGACCCTTGGCCACTATTTGCTTGCGAATATTTGCATTTCGAGCAGTGACGACTGTTGTCAGCGGGTTAATTGGCCTGTTGCCGGCTTGTGTTATCAGGCCGGGTTATCCAGCCCTCCAACCGCCCGCTTATCAGTCGCAGAGGGGCGGCTGGGGGGCATTGGGGGTGTTATAGGTCTGTGCGAGATTGTTTGTCACGCCCGTGCCGTCTGGGGTATATAAGATTTCTGGCAGATCGGGTGAATTCAGTTTGAGCGCGTTACTCGTCCGAGCCGTGTCCAAGGATTCTTACTTTCTTTTGCCGTCTTAAGCAAATAATTCTTCGAAGGTAGGTCCTAATAGAAAGTCATACTATTTCTCTTTTCCCTTTTTTTTGTTGTGCTCCAAAGTGATTTGAAAATACAGTTCTTTGTGCTTGAAAGTGATATCCTTGGTCCTTGTGTCAATGAAAAAAAGCAAAACGAAAAAATGTGACAAAACTAATTTGTATAGATACTGCATTAAAAATATATTTCCCACTAACAATTTCAATTTAAATTATGTTTACTCAGTTATAATTTTCATTCTTTAATTATTCAAAAATTCTAATTGAATTCCTACAAACGGAAAAGGGTTTAAATATTATTTCCAAACTCTTTTTTTGTTATGGTAGACGTCAATTCAAAAGAATTAAAAAAAAAACGAATCAATAACATTTTGGAAGCAAAAACATTACCTTTTCCTGATATTTCATACAAATGCTTAATGAAATATTGAATACTCTGTAAATATAAAGAGCAAAATTGAGATTTAAAAAGCACCTTAAGTGTATGTAACGATTTTGAGGCACAGTGCCATCTACAAGTGCCCGATAACAGGAGTCCCTGCCACTAAACATCTCTTTAAACTTGACCAATTTAATAAAAACCAGCAGCATTGACAACAAAAGTCAATTAAAAAGCCACAACAAACAATGCTAAATGGCAGCCGTAATCAAACTTAAAAGTTAATCGCGTTCACTCTTATGTTGTGTTTGTTTTTGTATTTGTTTTTGTTGTTGTTGTTGTTGTTGTTATGAAGTAAGTGAAGGGCATGACGTCACAAGAGAGCCAGCTGCATCGCACAGTCGAACATAAAAACTAAATTAACAACTCAAAATGTAACACCTTCGCATCTTTTGGAATTTATTCCTTTGACTTGTTCAATAAATTTGCTATTTTATTTATTTGACCAGAAAAGTGGTTTGGGTTTAGAACTATAATTGAACGTTAAAGGCCGTTTGTAACTAAATGAGTTCAGAAAAAGTTTTAAAAATTACAGTAAAAAAATTAGATTGGTTAAATTTTTAACGGTGCACCGGAGGCCTGTAAAAAATTGAATTAAAATCACAACACAAAAAAAAAACGTGGAAATGGAAATAAACCTGCGTTTGTGTTCCGCTTGCGATGATGCCGGTTCTCAGCTAATGTCAAGCCCCTCGGCTCGGAGCTAATAAAAGCCTCTCCCGCCGACGGCTTTAGCTTCAGTTTTGAATCGGAGCCCCAGAAAGCCAGAGCCACTCGCACGATGTTCCAGCCGAAGTCACTGATTCCCGTGTTTATCGTCTTCCTTTTCGGACTAACGGTAGTGGATCTTTAAGGACAACAAGTTCCCATAACAAGTGCCCATCAAGACCAGCCTTTCAAACATCCAATTGCTTAAGAATGCTTTTCCTCAGAGTGTTTTCAAAAATGGTGCATCAGTTTTATTTAAGGATTTTCAATCTTTGTTTTATGAAATGTTCCAAACTTCTAGTAATAGTAATCACAACTTAAATCTAACTTATAAATAATATAGTTGAATCATAGGAAACTGTTTTTAAAATCGTTTTGTTATGTTTTTTTTTCAATTCTGTAAATTCTAAAGTGACTCAGATTCAAACCGATTCAAAAATAAGAGAAAATTAATTATATGTTTAATAATTGAATTTAATTGCAGTGGAAAAAATTCACAACTCTCATTTAGTTAGTCAAACAAATCGTAATCAGTGATTATTTTTTCACCCCAAAAATAAACTATCAAATTTAAGCAATTTACTTTAGTGGAAATTGTACGTAATTATATATTTTTGTACAAGTTTTAATAGTGATGTTCTGGATTTTCTTTATTTATCTCTACCTCCATCTTTTTAAATCAGCAGAGTAATTTTAAGTTCTTAATTTTTGATTTTAATTTTTTAATGGGATAGTTATATTAAAGTTAATTGAACTTATTACAACTTGTGACTGGAACCTTTTATTTACATTATAAATTAATAATAATTACCTACAAGTAACAGAATATTCAAGGATATACCTAGGATAGTGACTGGTACTTTGAGTACACTTCTATTTACCCAAAGTGAATAAATATAATTTTTAAAAAACATGAAATATATTATTTGCATATACATATATTATAGAATAATAATAACAATAATAACAATTCTGTCCTCTTTAAGATGTCGTACAAGGTTGAGCCCCTTCCCGATTCGTACGCCGGCCTGGGCGAAGGACCCCACTGGGACGTGGCCAGGCAGAGCCTGTACTACGTGGACCTGGAGGCCGGCAGCCTGCTGCGCTACGACTACGCGCAGAACAAGGTCTACAAGACGAAGATCGAGGGCGAGTCCCTGGCCGGATTCGTTCTGCCAGTGGCGGGCAATCCGCAGGAGTTCGCCGTCGGCTGCGGCCGCCGCGTGGTGATCGTCAACTGGGACGGAGTCTCGCCCACCGCCAAGGTGGTGCGCACCCTGTTCGAGGTGCAGCCGCTGATGGAGAAGAACCGCCTGAACGACGCCAAGACCGATCCCCAAGGCCGCTTCTTCGGCGGCACCATGCGCTACATTGGCGACGAGTTCGAGTTCCGCCACGGCGAGCTGTACCGCTGGGAGGCCGGCGGCCAGGTGTCGGTCATCAAGGGCGACGTGGGCATCTCCAACGGCCTCGCCTGGGACGAGAAGGCCAAGAAGTTCTACTACATCGACACCACCGACTACGAGGTGAAGTCCTACGACTACGACTTTGCCACTGGAGTGGCCAGCAACCCGAAGGTGATCTTCAACCTGCGCAAGACCAGTCCCAAGGACCATCTGCTGCCCGACGGCCTGACCATCGACACCGAGGGCAACCTGTACGTGGCCACCTTCAACGGAGCCACCATCTTCAAGGTTAATCCCAAGTAAGTTGGCTCTGGTTAATTTACATAATCTACGTCTTCGATCATTCTACTAGATTATCATATTTTTCGACAGCCCCAAAACAGCTGTGTGTTCTACTATTTGTGATGAAATGTAAATCGTTGTGTAAAGTTGTTGATTATTGTTTTTTAAGGGGGGCTTCTCATGTAACATGCCAAAAAGTAGTGGTTTTTTTGGAATTTTTTTCACTTGGAAAATGAAAACTTACACGAATAATTTTTTGCACATATTTGAAGACATGTTTAAAGTATGAGAAAAACATTTTTTGAAAATTCTAAAAAACAAAATGGCGGACTTATTCAAGGTCGCGTGTGGCTCGACGCGGCTAAGGGACTTATTGCGGTACAGTGTGGAGCAAAAAGTTTTCATCTGAAAAAAACAAAAAAATTTTTTTGTATGCAGCAAGGTTCAACCGAGTGCGTGAATGTCAGCCACTTCAAAAAATTCGATTTTAAAATATTGAAATCACGTCTTGAAAAAAAAGTGTAATTTTTTCGTCTTTTTTTTTGCTGAATTGGGCTGAAAAGTGTATAAAATAACTTTTTTTCACAATTTCAGATATTCACGCACTCGTTCAATCTATAATCTGTAAAACACTTTTTAGAAATCAAAAATCGGTTCAGTAGTTTTTCCGTAATCGTGTACCGCGTTTTTTAAAACATAGTTTTGAGAAAAAACGATTTAAAGTTTTGAGTTAGTGTGGGTCTTGAACTTGAGCGCGCTCGTTCAATCACTGATATTTTCCATAATATTGAGAGTTGAGTCATAAAACTTCGGGAATATACTCTCAAGACGTTATTCTATCGATTTGATAAAAAAAAAAAATTTCGATTTTTTTAAAATTTTACATGAGAAGCCCCCCTTAAATGTTGTTTACTTATGTTTTGACTATTTTAAGGAAGGGTATTGTCGTTGAAAAGGTTACATTTCTCAATTCTTTTCAAAACTGTTCTTCTTGAGTTAATCATTGTACAGATTTAAAAATGTTATATCAAATATCATTACATCATACGCATTTTCTTATCTATGTGATTATTTTCCCCGATACATCTCTTACTCTCTTAAATTTATCCTTTTAGCACATTATCTCTAATTTCCCCAAATTGATCCTTTTCTAGCACTGGCAAGGTCCTTCTGGAGATCAAGTTCCCCACCAAGCAGATCACCTCCGCCGCCTTCGGTGGCCCCAACTTGGACATCCTGTACGTGACCACCGCCGCCAAGTTCGACCAGCCCGCTCCCGCTGGCACCACCTACAAGGTGACTGGCCTGAACGCCACTGGACTGCCCGGTGTCAACCTGAAGGTCTAGGAGCTGCAATCTCTTTCCTTAGTTCGCCGTTAAATGTACCGATCGAATCCAAGTGCAATTATATGTTATACCCTTTAAAAACTTTACTCTCGACTTTGATTGCTTCTGTTAAAGAAGATGAAAAGGGTCATCGAATCGCTTCAACCAATTAAAAAACTTGAGATATGTGCGTCGATTTACAAAATACAAGGAAGTCACGTAGAACTCACAACTCTTGGTCATAAATTTCTAAGTTCTTAATTTACTACTGTGAACGATTACCACATTTAAACTTGCTGACTCGTCTCATTTAATCTTAGCTGTTGCAACAATTTCTAAATAATAACTACGGCCGCATGAATGCATCCGTATTCTTCAAGGCTTAAGTAATTGTAAACCCTTAAAACGTGACAAATAACTAGTACATACTATCTTTGCATTTAACTAAGCACATGGGCATTTAACCTTTCTTTCTCGCTTCACTTCACCTTAACTTTTGGCGAACGTGTGGCTTATCGTACGCAGACATCCACTCCGCAATCATCCCACCAATCTGATGGTCACTTAGAGGACAGGCTTCGTTTATTTATCAATCTGGAATATTGTGTATAATTGTTTGTGTTATTAATTAATTAACTTATCGGCTAGCGCAACTAAACTAAAGGAGATAGTGGGGGAAGTTCTTAAAATCAGTCGTGGGGCGATGATTCGTCCAGTTCCAGGCATACAATTCCATGTTTATGTATCCACATCCGTAGCCATATCCAGAACCCAGTCTATACCCATTTCACTCGTCCGACTCCGATCCGGATTCGGAATCGTCGTCGTCGCTGCCGGCGGATCGATTTAAGCGCAGCATTTCCTGAAACTCGTGCACTCGAATCTTCACGGGAACGATTTGCAGCAGGAACTCGAGGCTCTTCCTCTTGTTGACCAGCTGAGAGAGGTGCTCGTACTTCAGTGCTTCGCCGGTTTTCTGCCCAAACGCTTCCGAGTACGCCTCGCCCGCCAAATGCCGTACAAACAATTCCGTGCATTTGGTCATCAGGAAGAGCACCTCGTTGGTGATCAGCCCTGTGTCCATGGAGCTCTTCATGATAGTCCGCACCCTGCTCAGTGGGAGGACCGTCTCGGCGTTGGGAGGCCGCTCCACGGGAGCTTGGGCCTTGGGTTCAACCATTATATTTGTAAGCCTTATTTTCTTTACTTTTTGATATTATTATCGATGAAATCGCCTCCTCCTCTATCAAAATTCGACAACAAGCCGGTTGTAGTGTGGCCTGAAAAGGAAAATACTAAAATGCCTTGACACTGGTCATACTCAAGTTCAAAATAAAAATCAAACCTTTGTTTATTTGTTAACTAGCATTTAAAAACTATCAACATTTTTCATTTCAATAGTTTTATAAAATTAGATTGTTTATAAATGAGACCGCTGCTAAATTAAGAAACGCCAGAATATTTTTGGTGTGTAGCAGTTACTAATTGCGTTTATTAAATAGTAATTAAATTTCACTTTATTAAAAATGTTTTATTATAATTTCAATATTTCCTTTGAAATTGACTTACACAAAACTAAAAATTGAGAATATGGTGATTAAAGTAAAATCCCAAATTTAATAGCACGGAGCAATTGTCTCATGTTTATTATTATCAAATTTATTTATCTAAGTATGATGATAAGTATTTATCAAAAAATATTTTATAATACAATAATTTTTAAATTTGAAATTCGTTGAGTAACAGCACTTCCAAGGTGTGGTGAATAATGTTCGATATGTATCAATAGATCGGGTGTTGCCAGACTGCACACAAGTCGATGAATATCGAGCCTATCGCTGCGCGGCATGTGCAACACTGCGTTTTCTGCTGCCCCCTTTTGGCTGTTGTTTCGTGTGTTGACCAATAAATTTTTCGCATATTTTTTCCACTTTTCAATTACCAAATTGCCGGAGGCGCCAACGGAGACCGTCGAACGCCAGCTAACCGAATAACCAGCGAGTTATTGGCCAATTTTAAGTGGTTACTACGCAGGAACAGGAGCAGGATCTCGACCAGATCGCCAGGAAGCGACATTTGCAAGAGTGGCCAGAGTGAAAGCGAGAGAGCGACAGTGGCAGTTAGAGAGAGAGCGAGCGAGCTAGAGAAATCCTGTCCAGAAATTGGGAATACTTGGTCAAGCAGCTGCTCCGCGTTTCAAGTCGTCTTTGTTTGTGCAACGTTGTGTAAACAAGCGGAACATCTCGACCATTGAAAGCATCAGGCAACCTGAATCCACATCCAGATCTACAACAGTAGCCACATCCAAATCCAGATCCATATCCACATCGACTGTGGGTGCACGTTTCCCGTTGGCCAATCCGACCCAGCAATTAAAAATGGCCGCTGCCGCTGCGAGCGCAGTGAATGCAGTAAACGACTGCTTCAGCATTGGGTCCACAGTCGTCTGCACGACCTGTTTCAACGAGGAGGTGGAGGGCGAGGTGCTGGCCTTCGATCACAACACAAAGATGCTTATCCTGAGTATCCTTTTGCAAAGAAACACAAACGAGTGGGTGCTAGTTCACCTGCTCACCAGGTGAAAGTGGGCACTTTCCTTTTATGTAACGTATGGGAATCATTATCACATATCCAGTAGTTGTACAATGCGAATAGAAATCTTTCATATCCATTTCTATCCATTATTTTGTATTATACTCAATAGTTATTGTTTATTATTTTTGGCTTTTTTGTAAACTAATATAATTGATCACATTAATAAGTTTGGGTTATTGCAATGATCTTCTCGAATATTCTTTTGCAATTAACTATCAAACCTTTAAAGTAATTTTTAAAAATATTTTCCATTTTGTCCAAGCCTATGGACGTTAACTAATGCTTTCAATTAATCTTCTCCATAAGTCTTTATAACAATCATAATAGTATTGTTCTGATTCAAAGCAGCATTCGTATCACTTCCAAATTTTTAGTTATTTTTAGTGTTAGGAGCTCCGAGCTAAAATTACATTAAAGTTAGCGGCTTAATCCTAAAAAGTTATATTTTGTTGTGCCAATTATCGGTTACTTATCCATGTTAAATGTGTACATATTTCTTATCAGCCTTAACTGCTTCCTCTTGAGTACTTGGTTCTCCGTACATCGTTTATCTCTGTCCTCTCCCTTGCGCGCCCTTTCCACTTTTCCCCTTTTCAACCATACAGAATGCCGATCCAAGTCCACGGAAGAGCTGAGTGATATCTACGCGATGAACCTCTCGCTGTGCAGCAACGTGCAGGTGGTCAAGGAGTGCAACGGCAACTTCGACGATCCGCAAAAGCTCAACCTGGAACAGGTAACCTGTTTTCAATTTAATCCCTATACACAACTAACTCAAAACACTCCCCACAGGTTAAAATGCGCCTAAGGAAAACAGTAGAGCGAAGACAGGACTACCTGAAGTCCAAGAACGCGGATGTCAGTCCAGAGGCACAGGAGCTTTATAGAGCGATAGCCAAACAATACGGGGTAATGGCGTTTTAAGCCCTGTCTGTGGTAACACATTTTAACTCTTTTGGTTTCCTGGATTTGACAGTACAATGAGGTCTCGTGGCAAGGACTCAACATACAAATTCTGAATGAAGTCACCATCTCGCCGCCGTACCGAGTGGACAACGTGGTGTCCAGCTCGAACAACGAAACTTCATGCAACTATATCAAGCGGATCGTAAGAAGTTGTCCAATCACGTCACTTTCAAACTAACTGTAATAGCTCGACAACCAAGTTTTTAAAGCCAAATATCAAGATAACTTTACAGTCTGGTAAAATACTATTCGTTTTTCAATCAAACTTCCCAAATAAAACCAGTAAAGATACAGATACAGAATATGATATTAGTATTTACTTTTTGTCTAGTTTTTTGAGAGCTATCAATTTTTCATAATGTTATGCTATATGACAGTTGACGAGTAGAATGCCAGCCGTGTCCTAATAGTTAAGTAATCGCATTTTATTTCAATCCCCAGATCAAACAGTTCTTCAACACAAGGCCATCGCCGGTTCCAGAAAGCGGAGCTGCGGCCAGCACCTCGTCACCCTCGGTGTCTCCCACGTCCTCATCTCTAGCATCCGGATCGCCGGTCCCTGCAAATTAATAATAAAGAGAAAAAAAAAACAAACAAACAAAAAACAGAAATGTGCTTCAAAAAAGACAAATCAATTGTTTTAAATATTTTAGAGGGTTAGGGTAAAAGGGAAAAGCCTTTATGGTTTTTTAATGTTTATTAAATTTGTGGTCCACAGCAACAAACAACGCAAAAATTTATACTCCGAATGTAAAATAATATTGAACGAAAAGAAAATTGGAGTTTTTGGGCATATAAATGGTGACTAATATTAAAAAGTTTCAGTGGGGATCAAAATTTCTGGAAAAAACTACAGTGTGCCACAAAAGTGATGATACAGCAGCTATTTTTTACTATATGTGTGAATTCCTTCATTATTCAACGGATTTAAATAAAACAAAAAATCACTTCAAATAAAATATGTATTTATGAATAGTATTTAAGAACAAAAATAACGAAATCTCCAATAGTTTCTATACAAAAAACAAAAAACCAAAATTATCCCTCATTTAATTTCCACAAAAGTCATGATACATTAGTATTAACATCGGAAAAATATAAATTAATTTACTATTTTAAGCTTTTTAATACTTCGTCGGATATCCCTTCATTTTAATTACTTCCTGAAGACGTCGAGGCATTGAAGAAACTAAAGTTTTTATATAGGCGTGGTCAATTTTCGCCCACTCCTCCAGCAAGGCTACCTTGAGATCAGACCTACTCGTTATTGTTCGACCCCTCAAATGCTCCTCTAGTTTATTCCACAAATGCTCAATGGGATTCAAATCCGGACTTTGTGGAGGCGGCTTCAGCAAATGTGGAACATTATATATAAGCCATAAACGTGTATTTATGGCCGTGTGCTTTGGGTCATTATCTTGGTAAAAGTGAAAAGATGACCCAATACCAAGATGATCAGCACTTTGTTTTAAATTTCTTTTCAGGATTTCAGTATACTTTTTATGATCCATTATACCGTCAATTATTTCTAGGTTCCCGACACCAGCAAAGCCCATGCAGCCCCATACCATGAGTCCTCCGCCATTGTGCTTCACAGTTTTAATTGTGTTTTTGGGTCTATAGGCATCTCCAGGTTTTCGCCAAACTTTATAACGCCCGTCTGACCGAAAAATGTTATATTTAGACTCGTCTGAAAATATAACCTGCTGCCAGAACTCTTCAGAATGATTTCTGTAAGCTTTAGCGAACTCAAGACGCTTAAGTCGATTTTTTTTTTGAGACATGAGGCTTTTTCCTTGGTGTACATGAGAGGAATCCAAACTCTTTAATGGTTCTTCTAATGGTTTCTGGGTGAACATCCTTCTTAAGCGTTGTAGCAATAGCTGAACTTATTTTAACAGCGCTCTGGAAAGGATCCTTGTCGATAATATGCTTAATTAGGCGTTTGTCTCTAACGGTTAGTTTTGGTGGACGGCCATTTCTGCTGTTGTTTTCAATGCGGCCTTCATTTTTGAACCGCCCAATGACATGTTGAATTGTTGAGCGGGGTCTGGAAACTATTTTTGAAATTTCTGAATAGGACTTTTGTCCTTTAACGTGTAAATTCAAAATAATTCTTCGCTCTTCCAAAGTAAGCTCCTTTCGAGGCATTTTCACAACTTAAACTACGCTATGACTTTAAATGAATTTCACCACAAGTAAAAGAATTATATGCAAAGCATAAACGAAAAAGTCCCGTTACAAAATCTTAAACAGATCAGCTGCAATTAATCGAACTGTATTAACACTAATGTGTGTATCATGACTTTTGTGGAAATTAAATGAGGGATAATTTTGGTTTTTTGTTTTTTGTATAGAAACTATTGGAGATTTCGTTATTTTTGTTCTTAAATACTATTCATAAATACATATTTTACTTGAAGTGATTTTTTGTTTTATTTAAATCCGTTGAATAATGAAGGAATTCACACATAAAGTAAAAAATAGCTGCTGTATCATCACTTTTGTGGCACACTGTATGGTTATAACAAATGGTTCAAAATGTAAAAGAAAAATACAGCCAAGCTTAACTGTAAAAAAGCTTAAAAAAAACAACACTGACCACGTTCTAGTTAAGTTTTAAACGTTTCATTTGAATTTGAAATACATTAAAAATAGACTTGGCTTAAAAAATGCTAACTCACAACGGTTAGTTTGGCTTTAAGATGAAAAATCGACAGTGCTGACCTCAGTTATCGGGTGCCGATAACCGATAAACCGTTTATTGTGAATGGCCGTCGTGTGCCATCTGAAAAAGCCGCATTTTTAATCTATTTAGTCAAATAAACAATAAGTAACAGCATACTGCCATGGAGGATGTGCAAAAGCACAGCGTGCACACGCTGATATTCCGTTCCCTGAAGCGCACCCACGATCTGTTCGTCTCGAACCAGGGAAATCTGCCGGAGATTGACGAGCGACTGTAAGTATCTGGAGTTGTCTTCAAAGCGCTGGTGGTAATCCTGGTTTTTCTCGCGACAGGGAAAAGCTGCGACGCTCAATTAAGGCCAAGGACAGTTATGGCCTCGTTCTAGACAAGGCGGTGAAGATCGGCGAAGCCAGGAAAGGATCTGGAGCACAGACGCCGGGTGACAAGCCATTGGCGATAACAGACGGTTCTGCGGATTCCTCTGGCGCCGCGGGAAGCCTGGTAAAATACACACCCGGTGGCAGGACAATGGAGAAGACAGCTCCACTGGTTACCAGCGGTCACACATCCTTGGTGCGCGCGTCCTTGCCGAACAGCAGCGGGGACAAGGGCGCCAATGGCACCGCCAGCAATCTGCAATTGATACCCAAGAAGGCGCCCACCATACCAAAGCCCAAATGGCATGCCCCCTGGAAGCTGTCGCGCGTGATCTCCGGCCATTTGGGTTGGGTGCGCTGCATCGCCGTAGAGCCGGGCAACGAGTGGTTCGCCACCGGCGCCGGCGATCGTGTAATCAAGATCTGGGACCTGGCCAGCGGCAAACTGAAGCTATCGCTGACCGGCCATGTGAGCACAGTGCGCGGCGTAGCTGTGAGCTCAAAGCATCCGTACCTGTTCAGCTGCGGCGAGGATCGGCAGGTCAAGTGCTGGGATTTGGAGTACAACAAGGTCATACGACACTATCACGGTCACTTGTCCGCTGTCTACTCATTGGCCCTGCATCCCACCATCGATGTGCTGGCCACCTCTGGCCGCGACTCGACGGCACGCATCTGGGACATGCGGACGAAGGCGAATGTGCACACGCTGACGGGACACACGAACACGGTGGCCAGTGTGGTGGCCCAGGCGACCAATCCGCAGATCATCACCGGCTCCCACGACTCCACGGTGCGGCTGTGGGATCTGGCCGCCGGCAAAAGCGTCTGCACGTTGACCAACCACAAGAAGTCCGTGCGAAGCGTTGTCCTGCATCCGTCGCTGTACATGTTCGCCTCCGCTTCGCCGGACAACATCAAACAGTGGCGCTGTCCGGAGGGCAACTTTGTGCAGAACATCTCCGGCCATACGGCCATCGTCAATTGCATGGCGGCCAACAACGACGGAGTGCTCGTCTCCGGCGGCGATAACGGCACCATGTTCTTCTGGGACTGGCGAACCGGCTACAATTTCCAGCGCTTCCAGGCACCCGTCCAGCCGGGCTCCATGGACAGCGAGGCGGGCATCTTTGCCATGTGCTTCGATCAGTCGGGCACCAGGCTGATCACCGCCGAGGCGGACAAGACCATCAAGGTGTACAAGGAGGACGACGAGGCCAGCGAGGAGTCGCATCCGGTCAACTGGCGGCCCGAGCTGCTCAAGCGACGCAAGTTCTAGAGTCCTAGTTTGTAAGCTATCCTAGACTACGATTTTCCAAACGATTTGAATAAACACTATTTTAATGACGCCCGAAATGAAGTTTATTCATGTCAACGGGTACATTTATGAAGATCTTTAGTGGTGCTAAATACCAGATTTCCAGCTTAAATGTAGCTCTAATTCTCAGGTTGAATTCACAACACTTTTCGATCTTCAGAAAAGATTTTAAATAAGCTAACCCTCAGATGGTGCATATTATATATTTCTCTTTTGGGGTAAATTAGCAAATGGAACTAAGTTTAAATTTTCAAGGCATCCGACGTAAGGCAAATTTTTAAAAAGATTTTTTATAATATTTATAGTAGCATAGTCCTGATCACTTTTAAATAAAGAAAATGTTTATTTTGACGATTAAAAGAACAACTCATTAATCTTTGCTTTTATGTAATTGGAAAAACATTTACTGACAATTACAAATTTAAGACAACTATATTTACACTAAAAAGTTAGTTAGTAAGCTTAAGAGCTAGGAAACTTCAACTATGTGTGTTTGAATCCTAAGAAGCTCAAAAGGAATGGAAAGTAAACTAATTGTGAGTCTAAAACCGTTTAGTGGAGTTTATTATTTTATTGAAAACTAAGAATGAACAGAAAACGAATGGTTATTGTGAAACCCATACATTACTAATATCAGCATTCATCCCACATACATACTATATTTTCCTAGGAATCAAACAAAGTTTTAACAGTCTAAGCCCAAGAAGAAACGAAAGAGTCCTCGCTCCTTGCCGCACACATTTCAGATGAATTCTTGGTATTTTATTCACTTTTGTTTGTTTTCTTTTTTTGTACACATAAATAATTTGAATTATTTGCTGCATAAATAATAATAGCATAGTAATATATTGTTAAAATATTTTTTTGTTGTGGGCTATTCTTATTTGATTGGTTTTTTCCTTTTGTTTTTATCGGATCTCGGTTCTTTCGCTATAGTTAACAAAGAAAAAGCTCTAAACTGTGTATTATAGTAATTTATTAATTAATATTATGTTGTCTAGTCCTTTGCATACATTTTTATCATTTCATGTTTAAAAATCACAAATAATTGTTTGAAACAAATCTTATATTTTCCATCTTCTTTGCTGTCTCTTTCGCTCATGCTGCTCGAATATATCAACTGTCTCCGTCTCTTTCTGTCTCGTTTAGCGCGACTTGATGACTTCTTCTTGTTAATAATTTGTTTCGTTTAAACGTTAAAGTTATACTTGTTACTTAGTTGCATTTATTTGTTTACAGCTCTCTTTCTCTCGTATATTTATATATATGTATCTTTTGTTGGTATTTAGTTTAGATTTCTCCTTTGTTTTCTCTTTCTTTTAGTTTTAGTTTTAGCTTTAGCTTTAGGTTTTAGGGTTTTAGGGTTTTGTTTCGCCTGCTCTTTGTTTACATATGTACGTGTTTTTTGTTTTGTTTACTTTTAATGGGCAACTTGCAACGAACGCTTATTTACATTTAGACAAAAGTAACCGATTCGTTCTGTTTCGAATTCACTTCTGCCTGCGATTAAACAATTATCGGTTAAGAATATTTTATAGCATAGAAAACACACACACACGTAAAAGCCTTAGCCTAAATTGAAGTTACTTTAGTTCAAGCAATAAGTCAGTAAATTTGTATGGGACTCGAGGTGCGAGCTAACTGATACTCTGGTCAGGATGTGGAAGCGGAATCGTGTGTGCTCTCAAACGGTATTATTGGATCGGAACTAATCTGAGGGGAACTGGTGTGCGTGGTAGTGTGGCGTGGCCTTCTGCTGCAACATTGGCCATTTGGCGGCGGGGTGTTGTTAATAAATATAGCTATTTTTTGACTTAGCAGTTAGATTACAAAATAAACAGTTTATATATATTTAACGCATTCGGGGTGAGTTGTGTGTGTGTGTTGTATATGTGGGTGTGTGTGTGTGTGTGTGTTTGTGAGTGAGTGGCATCGCGAATGGGACATCAAAAAGAGTGACTACTTTTAGCTGCTTCACTTTGATCAATTTTGAAGGACTATGGCCCGCCAGCCGAACGTCCGCCTTCCATGCGCCATCCAGTTCCATTTCACAATCCCTAATCATTTAACTCCCTCCCCGTCAATAGCAGACTCGCTCCTGTTCCAGGCAGCTGTCTTCCTTCGGTGTCTCCATGTTTCTCCACGACTTCATCTTCATCCCCTCTTCTAGTTATATATCTTGATGGCCTTCTCGGAAAAGTTGAGCGAGCTGCGCTTGCGCGACTTGTTGATGTGATCCAACCCGAAGAATGGCAACTGGCCGCTGGTGCACGAGCGATACACCTCCAGATCGATGGGCGTGTTGTCGTTCACATTCGAATTGTGGCCCATTATCACGCAGAACTTGTAGTTCTCCCACTCCTTGTCCGGCACGTTTAGTCGCTTCTGGATGCGCTGCTTCAGGGCGCCGTACGGTTCGCCCTGGCGCGCCTTGGTGAGGAAGGGAACGCCGAACGAGTTGTACAGCTCCTTGCTGTAGTGGGCCACTGGGATGAGCATCTCGTTCTCGGCCAGCTGCATCTCCTCCGGCGGCACCTCCTCGATGCGATAAGTCTTCTGGGCGCCCTGTGTGGTCGTGATCGCCTCGCTGGTCTTCAGCAGCGTGTCCAGCGGTGTGTCCTCCTTGCAGATGGCCACGATCTTGTGGTTGCTGACCTTCATCAGACGCAGCTTGCGGCGGCTGTTCTCCGCGAACGTGATCTTCTTGGCCGCCTCCTCCAGCAGCCCCTTCACCGTGTCGTTCTTGTTCGGGTAGAGCACCAGCTCCTTCTCCTCCTTGAGGTCGCTGCTCACCCAGACGCACTTGAACTGCTTCTTGTTGTCCAGCTCGTGGATGCTGAGCGAGAGCCGCTGGTAGAATATGCGCTTGGGTGAGCTCTGCTTGGTGTACGATAACAGGTCCTTGATGGTGCCCTGCAAAAAGGATTGGGAAGTCGGTTTAGTAATAGTACAATACGTCACTTGCTGAGAGTATGAACGCTTATATTTATTATAAATTAAACGGAGTACAAATGTATACGAATTTAAGGTTTTTTTTATTCGAATACAAAGCAAATAGAAATTTAAGTACATATATATACTGTAATGCAAGTGCTTTAAATAAGAGGTAATATCATACTTAAATTCAGAAATAAACGTGAATAACAAATATAAACTTTATCAAAGGATGAACCCTAAAATAAACATTAATTCCATTTTCATAATGTTTCGTTAATGAGTCAGCTCAAGGCCATCGTCATTATGACTAATGACAAATTCATTGTTGAGACAAGTAAAGAGTATTTAATCTGTATTCATTTAGGTTACCATTCCAATCAACTGCACTCACCTTGAAAGTGTAGGGCACTGCATTGCCCGTCGTTTCCTTGTAGTTGCTAATGGACATGAAGAACTGGAGCTTCTGTGGATCGGTGTTGAGCCGCTCGGCCACCGCGTTGGTGAGCTGCTCGTAGTTGTAGCGATTGGATAGCTCCAGCGTGAAGTCCGGCTCGTTGGGGTTGCACTTGTCGCTAAAGATGATCTCGATGCGATAGACCAGATCGAGGAAGTAGTCCTCCACTGTCGGCAAATCCAGCTTGTCGTCCACCGACTCACGTTCGAAGATCAGGATGTGTCCCTGCAAATGGTCCTGCGGTATGAAGAGCACACTCTCGATCGGCTCGCCCAGGCTGGCCACCTTCTTGTCGGCGTACTCGTCGTAGATGGTCAGCTCGGTTTCCGGATCGAAGCCCAGTTTGCGATTGACCTCCGGCACGAGATCGATGAGGCGTCGGTTCTGCGGCTGCTGGGTGCATCCGATGTAGTTGAGCCGCTTGTTGCGCGCATCGTAGTACTTAAGGAACAGCAAGACATCCGTGTTCGGATTGAAGGGCGGCAGGGGAGCGGGATTCTCCGGCGAGGCCAGCTCCAGGAAGATGACCCATGGCTTCTGCGACGTGGGTATTTGCTCGATGGTGCGCGACGCCTCCGCCTCGAAGTCAAAGTACAAGAACTTCTGCGTCTGGGCGGTGCACATGTTCCACATGCGCATGCGATTCCGCGGCACCCCGAAGCCCTTCACAAACATATCCACCAGCTCGTCAACGGTCTGATTCTGTTTGAGCTTGAAGGGCCGCTGATGGGTCTTCTCCAGGTCGAAGAGACGACGCTTCTGCTGGCCCTCGAAGTACTCCTCGAGGATCACGTGCACCGACACATACAGGTTGGCCTCGCTGCGCTCCTTGCGGCGCGCCATCTCGATGCGCTTCTCCAAGTCGAGGCGCTCCACCAAATGGCTGGAGATCTCGTTCTCGGGTATGTCGCTCAGCACGCGCTCCAGCTCCGACTGGCGGATGTACACCAACATGTAGGCATTGCTACACTTGGCGTGGAACGAAATCTCCTCGTCCATGCCGCCGTAGTTCTGTTCAATTGCCTCCTGCTTGCGGCAACTGGAGACCACGTCGTCGTCAAACTTGAACCATCGTCCGTCCGCCTTTGGATTGATGAAGACCACATAGTGACCGCCATGATTGTCGCCCGAGTGCACCAGCACTGCATGCAGGACGTAGTCCGCCGAGGTCTTCTCCTTCTCGGCCAGGTAGCGATCCAAGTTGATCTGCTCGTAGAACTCGAAGCGATCGTTGTACTTGATGGAGCTGTCTGTGATCGGATCGTACTGGAAGCGCATCAAGTGCAGATGCAAAACGGGCGGGAATGCGGTGAAGATCACGCCCTTGCTGGCCTCCTAAAACACGAAAGTAACGTTTGTAATAAACCATGGTAAAATCAAAGAATTTAGCGATGTAATCATATAAAGATATTCAAGTGAAATAGGTTATCGTTTCAGGAAATCAATTGGATAAATTCTGGCTTATCAGTTCTGATTGTTTCACAATGAAATTTAATTAAATAATTCCGTATGACTCAAAAACATATCTAATAAATAAAAATATACAAAAGTTTAAATATGGGATAGAAGTAAGCAAATTAAGTTAAGTTAATTAAAAAGACAAGCTTTTCATAAACAAAAGATAAAGAAGGGTAACGTTGAATGAATCCAATCTAAACCTAACCAACAGACCCAAATCAAATTGCTAGTTACCTGCAGGCCGTGGACACCAGCGTCGTATTTGTTGTCGCCCTCGAGCGTCTCGGAGGCCACGTAATCCTGGAAGGACTCGTAAATGTTCTTCTTATCCTTGATATTCAGCTGGATATCGTAGAAGGTCTCGTAGCGTGTGCTGTTGTAGTCGACGTTCTTGCACTTGATGTACGACGACATTTTGCCCTCGAACAGGCCTGGAATGGTGCCCTCCAGGCAGGTGCCCTTCATCTTCGACTCGAGCTTGTCGAGCAGGACGCGCAGAAACTCCTGGACGTCGTGCTGCATGAACGAGTCGAGTGTCTCCCAGCCAAAGGATTTGGTTAGCTTCTTGGTGCCCACGGGACGATCCCCGAACTGCAGTTCGTGGAACACACGCTGCAGCGACAGTCCCACCGACTTTGTGCTATCATCCGCCTCTGTGGGAATCCGATACACGGCCAAGCGCAGCGAGTTGGTGAAATACAGAGTCTGTAGCAGCGAGTTCATGTAGCAGGTGGCACCCTGATTCTTAAGGCCCACATAGCCGGTGTGCTTCTTGGAGTCCCACAAAACGCCGTGCGGCGCATCCGCGATCACGTGCACCTCCAGCGTGATGCTGTTATTGTGCACATAGCTCTTGTCCGCGTCCTGCAGCTCCTGCCAGGTGATGAAGTTCGAGTAGCCGTAGTCGTTCTCCTTCGAGTAGAACAAATGCTTGATGCGGGCCCGCGTGAAGGGCTGTGCATCCGGCTTGTGGCACTTCAAGCGCAGCTCGGCAATGGCATTGCACGACCAGGTGGGCGAATCGTTCTCCCCATTGCACTGCAGGAAGAAGCCCAGTGCGCGTTCATTGGGTATGACCATGATCTTCCATGGCAGCATGCGTACATAAACGGGCGGCGAGAGCCGCTGCGATTTCAACTGGGCTACATTCTCAACGGTAAATGAGAATGTGGTCTCTGAACGGAATTGATCCTCCTTGGACTCATCGTCCATGCCCATGGCTTCGGCGTCCTGGCCAAAGGATGCAGAACTGCTGTCGGCCAATAGCTGCTGTGGCGGCACATTCCCGTTCTCGCTGGGCAATTGGGTGACTGCTCCCACGGCGTGCAATTGTGGCTGGATAAGATTCTTGAATTTCGGCAATTGTGGCGGCGAATTCTGTTGCTGTTGCTGCTGCTGTGGAGTCTGTTGCTGGAGGTCACTGGTGAGGATCTCGACCTCTTGGGTATCCTGGGTGTCCATTGCTTCAATAGACTGATCTGTTTCTATGTCCATTTTACTTGGCACTTGAATGGTGCTAGAAATCGGCGGCTCCTCCGCGGAGGATCGATATCGCAGTATCGTTATCGGGGGAGGTCGTCGGAAGGATTTAATGGGGACTCACTGGACTCGAGTAACTGGATCACCGTTCCAGCCGCTCGGCGGCGTTATCGCACTAATTTTTCTCTGGCCTGCTGGAAAGGCGTTTCTCCGCAACAGAAAGTTCTGTAAGAATCAAATGTCCGAATGAAAAACACTGACATCAACCAACTAACCAAACTAGCACGCTTGTCAAGCATACACATGCTTAAACTAAAAGCCTCCTTTTTTTTGGTCTGTGCAATGACTGGATGAAAAGTTTTTGTTGTGTTTTTCCTTTTGTTTTATGCAATTTGCTGCCGCAGAAGAAGAAGAAGTAGCAGCTTTAAATGCGTCGCCGCTTCGCCTTCTTCTTCTTTTTCGGCACACGCACAAGCACATGCACTTTTTTCTTACATACATATGTATGCATGTTTTGCATGTATGGAGCTTACCTTGCTTTTCGGTGCTGTCAAAAAATATAAATAAATATATTTTCGGCCGCTCGCTCTCCGCTCCTGTTGCGAAATTTGGGGTGGCGCTTGTTGTCGGGTGGTGGGCGGAGCAAGGGCGTTGAGCAGTTGGGATCAACACAAGGTAACAAAAACTCTAACCGAACAAAATTCGCAAAAAAAAAAACTATTCTCTTCGTATTTCGCACTGTGCGTGTGTGTGCTTTCTTTCCAACAAAACGAAATTACACAAATACACCTCAATTATGGCATCTGCGTGCGTGTGTATGTGTGGGTTTCTCTGCTTTTGGCTGTCGGTGAGTGCGCGGTGCACGTTGCCTTCTATTTTCTTAGCTACCAGCCCGGCCGAAAACATAAATTTTGTTACAGATCTTGTATCGTCTGAATTTAAAAACAAACAGCTCTGACGGATAACACACTCGGCCAGATAAATTAATATTTTCGCACACACACGGACCAGGGTTGCCAGACTGAAATATCTTCCCGCCGAAAGACCCTAAAAATGCATTTACTTTAAACTCTGGTGTCTGTTGGTGAAAATCCCCCAAAAGGCGGTGGGTGTGCTCGCTAGGTTAGGAGGCTGCATTGGCTAGGCTAGGGTGCCGCATTTGCCAGCTGTTTTTATGGTTGGTACACTAGCTAAGTGGACAGCCCCATGGCTATGTTGGCGGTAAATTTAAATTGAAGAATAAAGCGCAAAGTACAAGATTCTAAACTAAAGTTTTTAGAGATTCAAAATAGAAGACAAACTCTTTTATAATAAAAATAATTTTACTACGTCGGTACAGACTTTAAAAAAATCGAATGTATATTTTTTTTTTTTATAAAGTTTATAGTATAATTAACAAGTTTCGTTTGATCGCTTCACAAATGCCACATGAATTCCCTCCTGGGACTTCAGCACCATTTGAGCCTGCAGCTTGAGGGGAGCCTGCTCCGGACTCAGTTGCAGATCGAATTCCATCACCAGACGAGCGGTGAGTAGTTTCATCAGGAGCAGGGAGTAGCGTCTTCCGATGCAGACATGTGGTCCACCGGAAAAGGGAATGTAGCTAAAGGCGGGCGGGGCTGAATCGCCGTCGTTCAACCAGCGTTCCGGCTTAAAGGCGTACGGATCCGGATAGTACAGCTTATCGTGGGCCAATCCATACATATTGATCCACAGCGTGATGCCCGCACAGTAGGTTCGTCCTCCGATTTCGGTGGCTTTCGTGGTCTGTCGCCCGGTGGTGGGCACAATGGTGTACATACGCAGCACCTCCTTGATCATCGCATCCAGATATGGCAGCTCGTTCAGCTTGTCCGGATCTGAGGTTTCTTCCGCCGGTAAGTCCTGCAGCTCCTTGCGGAGACGAGTTTGGGTCTCCGGATGTTTGGCGAGTGCATAGAGAACAAACGACATGGACGCCGTCGTCGTGTCCACTCCCTGCAATCGAAAATTACAATTAACAAGTTTCTTAAAAAAATAACCATAGTGATTCGTTAACTTAATAAGGAGAATTTTGGGTTTAAAAATGTCGATATATACAATATAACTGCAGCAATAATACTAATGAGTTAAACATTAAAGTTGATAACTTTGATAATCCAGGTGAAAAAGAACAATTTTCTTTTTTTTTTTTGTATAAGATTTTCTGTCTAACCCACCGCGAACACGAAAGTGTTGATCTCATCGCGAATTTCCTTCCTACTCAGGGCTTGACCCTCGAATCTCGCCAAAAGGAGCGTGTCCAGAAGATGGCAGGCTTTTCCAGGACCTTCCTCCCTTCCCTCAATCTCATTGGCCCGCTGCTCGATAACCGCCTCCATTTGGGCGTGGATCACCCGGAGCTGCTCGTCGAGATCCCGCCAGAGTTGCGTGCGATGAAAGATCCAATCGGAAGCCAGGAGCGGATTGATCATGCGTTTGAATAGCAGCTTGCTGCTCAGATGGAATGCGCTGATGATGGGCGAGTGGGCCACCAGTTGGGTGTTCAGCTGGGCACCCATGGAGGTGTCTGCAAAAAGGAAACATTTTATAAAATTGAGAAGAGCTTAAAAGAACCAAACAAAGCAGGAAACTATTAAAGCTAAAAGGTCAAATGATATACTCGTATATTTTATATTTAAATGATTTAAATAATGATTTGTAATAAGCAAATTTATTAACAACAATAAGAAACACCCTGTTGTGGCAGATATTTAATAAGGGGTTAAAGTAGAATGCTTATAAACTCTTTTTTGATTTTAACAAAATTAAAAATGTTATTGCATTGACAGATAAAAAATATGTATATTTATTAAATAGATTTATGACATAGATTGTAAAGACGGCTCCTCACTCACCCACTATGGCGTCCAGGAGGCAGGCAAAGAGCGGATCGGTGACCTCCAGGAAACCCCCTTTGGCCTCCGCCAGTCGACTGACCAACCGGTCCACATGTCCGCCTATTTGAGGGGCAAAGCTGCGAAGCAACTGCGGCTGAAAGGCGGGCGTGAGGAGGCGCCGCTGCCTGGTCCAATGGGCTCCATGGCTGATCAGGAGTCCGTTCCCGATGAGCGGCTCCAGCTGCAGGAAGGTCTCCGCCTTTCGAAGCGTGGGATCGTTGAGCGCCTGTCGCGTCTCCTCCGCCGAATGGAGGAACACCCAAAGCTGGGGTCCCAGCCAGAGGCGGTAGGTGGATCCGAAGCGATCGCGCAGCTCTGTGAAAACCAGAAAGATGACTGCCAGGAGGATGAAGACCGCCACTTCTGAACCCACACTCACATTCCGGCTTCAGTTTGCCCACCATCTGTGCGTTCCCGAGGAGTGGAAATGCCCACGGACCTGGCAGACTGGCTCCCAGTCGAAGAAGGGTCCACTTGCGGACCAGCAGCCACAATCCCAGAGTGATCAGCAATAGTGGCCACAGCGCCATGTCGCCCAGCAGTCAACAGAAGCGTTCCCTTCGAGCAACTCAATCGGACTGAATCGGCAGCCAAATGAAACCTGATTGGCGGCTTATCTTTGGACACTTGTGGTTCGTTAACCCTTTTTACAAAAGATTTCATTGCAAATAAAATCTGAATATATATAATAGATTTTATACACTTTGCTTTCACTATAATACTTATAATAAATGACACAACCTTTAAATACACTTGTTATTATCTTGAAATGTTTTTAATGTGTATCTTGAATTGATATTAAATCTATTTAAATTTGTTTATAAAGACACCCTTTGTCGCTATAGGGTTATACTATACTACTTGTTCCACTAACAGATCGTTGGTTAACGCTAACAGAGGTCTGGTTAGATTAGATTATTCGATTTCGTTCAGACATATACATATACATATGTGCAATTGCTTTATTTATGCGGATTATTAACGATCAGTACTTCAGCGATCAACTTGCAATATCTTATCTGTGTCTAGAAAAAATACACATAAGTGCACTCTGCAGTCGCGAAAGAGATTATAACATGCTAAAGCCAATTTGCTTACCCATTTGTTGGGGTTGGCATTCTTCTATGAGGAACAAGTCTAATGGAAACGCAACAAACGTTTGGACTTTGGTTTCGCCAATTAATTGCATAATGTCATCAAGCAAAAAAAAAATTACTTCTTTTGTGCGGAATTAATAAGAAAATTATTACTATTTTAGAAATTCTATTATAAGAAATTATATTGGTATCATCTTTAAAATAAAAAGCCATGCTTGCAGTACACTTTTAATTGATTAATTAACAATTAATACTTTGGCTGAACGAAATTGTTTAATCTTGATGACTATTGAAACTACTTTTAGAATAAAGGTCAATGGGTGTTCTAAAATATGTAATCGTAAGTGAGCGTATTAAAAAAGTAATCTATTGGATCTTGAAATATTGATAGCCTTGATACACTAAATAAAATAGCATATTTTTGTTTTTAAGCTAGCTTTATTTTTGTTTTCAGACATGTCAAAATTAAGTTGTTTTGGGTCCTAGGGTTAAAACAAATCGCTGATGGGGAGCGTGCTCTCTTCGGAAGCTTTAAACAGCCACTGACCCCCATTGTTCCCCACCGACTGAGCAATTAATAAAGCCATTTTGGCAATGGACAGCGGTGCTGCCAATAATTGTATGTCGCACATTTCGGCAGTTGTCCACTGTCCGCCCAACCGAGCGGTTCGTTTCCACATAAACCACTGCCACGTCTATTTTTTTTTCGAGAAATTGGCCACCCAAACGAAAGCGAACGAGCTGCCTACAAAGCACCACATTAGGCCATAGAAGATCGTAAAAAGCTGGAGGAGCGCACTGTGAACTGATATTAAAACTGTGATTGAAACTGTGACTGCAACTGTGACTGTAACTGTGACTCTAACTGTGACTCTAACTGTGACTGAGATGCACCTTAGTGTGGCACTGTGGGCATGTGGCGCCCTTCTGGCGGTGCTCCTCACCTGGCAACAGCGCAAGTGCTGGCGGCTCATCTGGCAACTGAATGGATGGCGCGGCGTGCTGCAGCAGCCCGTCCTCTGGTTTCTACTCTGCATCAATCTGCATCCCAACAGTTGAGTAAACATTCCAAAAATAATAAATTTGCATATACCCCAAACGCTTTAAATCAATCCATTACAAACTTTAGAGCTATTGGAGCAGTAGTTTCGATTTCCGGCTCTAAAGAAAAAAATTTTAATATCTAAAAATATTTTAATATTTAAATATCTTTAAATTTTTAAAATACGAATTAAAAAAACAAGAACTAGTCTGATGTTATAAATAATAACAGCTTTAAAGTATTAATCGCAATTAAATTTTAATTGGTTGAAAAACTGAAAAAGTTATAAACAGATTTGCTTAAAATTTGTATGTGTTTCTTTTTAAAAAGAAAAAAAATCAATTATTAAAACTATGGACTTCATTTTTCCAAAATAATTCTGTTAACAATAAGAAACCTATGGAAATCTATGGCAAATCCATTTTTTCTGTATTTTTAAACTAGATTTGCGACAAATTGTGACATATATTAAATTCGTATTATATATTGTATTATAATTTATATTTTATGTTTATACATGTTTAGGCATTCTGGAGAAGGTTACTCAGTACCGGGTGTACTTTCAGCGTCCTCTGGCCATTCTCGTTGGCACCCGAGTCCTTGTTTACATTGATGATCCTGCCGGCATGGAGTGTGTCCTGAATGCACCAGAGTGTCAGGATAAAACATTTCTGCAAGATGGCTTCTTCGTTCGTCGCGGCTTGCTTCATGCCAGAGGTAATTACTTTCGAATGTACTATATGTGATACCAGAAAGTCAATTAAGTACATTTTCAGGACAGCGGTGGAAATTGCGCAGGAAGCAACTGAACCCCGTCTTCAGTCACAATATCGTGGCCGGTTTCTTCGACGTCTTCAACTCGGTGGGCAATCAGATAATCGAGCAATTCCTACTGCAATCCAATCTCCATGGAGAGGCCGTGAAGTTCACCGATGCCGAGGATTTACTCAGTCGAGCTGTTCTGGAGGTGTCCTGTTGTAAGTGGCTCCTTATTCAGTTTATTTCTATCTTTTCTTAAAGAATATTGCATGTTTATTTACGATTACTTACTCTTTAAGAAAAGAATATATCATTTATGAGACAAAATTACTTTCATTTGTCATAATTTTTTTTAATGTATAATAATTTAATATAATAATTTCTACGTATGTACTTTCGTACTTTTTTACTTTCTTACATTCTTACTTTCTGATCCGATAACAAATGCTTGGCTTTAGGATTTTGTAAATATTGTTCCGCTTGCCTAATTCATAAAATGTCACTAATTTATGGCCGACAAGCAATAAAATTACTAAATTTGATTTTAAGTGATCGATTTACAAACGAGCGTCGCCGTATTGCAGCTGACCCCATCTGTAAAACCCATTGCGGAATAAACAAATAACTGAATGATTGCATTCAGTTCCCTTCGAAAGGCGACACGTTCCCCCCGTTTCCATGCGCCTCACGTATGCGGAACCCCACCGCCCACCACCCACCACCCACCACCCACCATCCAGTATCCACCTTCCAATATCCAATAACTATATGTAGGTATTTAATCACCCCGATCCCCTTGAATCCGCTCAAGGGAAGAAATCAAAATATTGACATTAAATTATGAGTGTTTGGTGGAGTCGATCAAATGCTTGGAGATGAGTAGAGAAAGATAGAGGAAAACAATTCAAAACAATTCAATGTGCAAAGCTAATGGCTTTTTACGCACTCTGAATGGCTATATATTATTAATATATTGAACTGTTATTAGTACAGATTTTACGCTTATAAACAAAGTATTGTTTTAGGCATAATAAGGTTTGCTTCAAAATTTACCTTCATTTAAAAAAAATTGTATGATTTAATATTATGTAAAATGTACTTGTTTATCATAAAATAACAAAGGTAAATAACAAAAAGTAAGTCTACCAATATTTAATTATACAAGATAGGCTTGTAATTTTTTTGTAGAACTTGTAAACTAATTTATTTATATTTTTTATTAGTTTCAAATGCATTATATTATTTTAACTTCTTACAGTGACTATCATGGGCACACCAACCAATTTCACGCAGATTGACGATGCTCACATTGCCCACAGTTACAAGAGGTGAGTAGTGATGGCTCCTCCTTACTGTTTCCCATCTAGAAGGACTCAATCCTTTCGATTCAAGACTGCTGGAGATCTCAGCCGTGCGGGTGGTGAAGCCATGGCTGCAAATCCGCTTGCTGCACCTCCTTTTGGCCCCGGAACTTTACAAGGAGTCCGAGAAGTGCTACAAATTGCTGGCCGACTTTGTGGGCGAAATCGTGAGGAGCAAGCATCGCAATTGGCGACTGAGGGACGCCGTCGGCGGGGAGAATCCTGGCGAGGATCCGTCCTCCTCCGGCTGGCAGCGTCGCATTTTCATCGAGCAGATCTTCCATCTGGCCGCCAACGGTGAGATGACCCTCGAGGATATTATGGACGAGGCTCAGTCGATGGTTCTTGTGGTGAGTTTTGAATGATTCGGGTATATACTTTCATTTATTGAGACCATTTACTTGGTTAAATATTAATGCAATATTAAGTTAAATGTTTTTCGCGTACCTTTCTTAGTTCATAAGATATATTTGAACTATTTAAAAAATACTGTGTAATATTCTTTTTGATTATAAATCAATAATAATTTATGGCAATATTAAGTTAACTGTTCTTGGCCTACCTTCCTAAGTTAATAAGATAACTTTTCCGATTAAAAATCAATTAATTTTGGAGCAAATACAAAAGCTGAAATATTTTAACATTTTAATATCACTTTTTAAATAACAAAAAGTAAATATAACTCATTTATATTAAATTTAGCAATATATAGTCGGCTAAAAAATAAAAATATTTCTATCTTTTTTACCAGCATCTAACTTATATTAACCCTTTCATGCCCACTGTTGCCTACAGGCAACATTGACTTTTTGAAGTTTAAATCGGTTACGATTCAAAATTTTTGTGGATTTTTTTTTATAGGCCATTCCCCTTATTAATGTTCTTTAATTTTTGGTAATTTTGGCAAATGCAGCTGCAGCGTGTGCTGAGTTATCACTTATGATTCGAAGCGACCACAGCTGCCGAAAAATTTTACCAAAAAGTGTCCGTGCAAATAGTGCGATTAACTAAAATTAGTGACAAATACTAATAAAATAAGTACGTACATATCTTTAAAACAGGTAAGACTATGATAAAAGTATAAAATTGGGCTTGAAAATTGTTTTATAAAGAGTGTGGATTTTTTCAAAGGCCTAAAGGCAACATTGCAGTAAGGACATACCAAAGGACTTAGAGTATCGAAAATCGATATGAACGTTACTTGGGGTTCCTATTAATCATTTATGGCGTTAAATATTTTCTATGTGTCCCCAGATTAATTTGGGCATGAAAGGGTTAAAAGGCTATATATTTTTCTGTTTTGAATTGTAGTTATGTCTCGATGAAATTTTCCTATTGCTATTATTTTAATTGGATAATGTGTATAATGTTGGTACCTGATCAAAAGTGGTATATCGATTACAAAAGCTGGTACTTAATAAAAAAATATTTTGTTAAATGGTTAAAGAATACACAATTAATTGAACGAAATACGAAAAGTATATTTATATAATCTTATTTTTGTTGTTGTATGTTCTATTTGCGATGTGTATAATTATGCTGTTTATATTTTGTATATTTCCGGCTTAAATTGATGTGGTTATTCCCCATTGATTTCAGTCCTTCGAGACGGTGTCGAACAGCATAATGCTGGCCCTGCTGTGCTTGGCGACCAACAAGGGCGACGTGCAGCGGAGATTGCTGGCGGAGATCAGGGCCGTGGTTCCGGACAGCGGAAACGTGGGATTGGAGCAACTGCAGCAGCTGCGATATCTGGACGCCTTTGTCAGTGAATCGCTGCGACTCTTGGCCACGGTGCCGATGAATCTGCGTCACGTGAGCCGTGACTTTCAGCTGGCTGGAAGGGAGGCCATTGTTCCGCAGAACAGCATCGTCGTTTTGGACACATTTAATATGCAACGCGACGAACGATGGTGGGGCGCCACCGCCAAGCAGTTCGATCCGCAGCGTTTCCTTGACCAGGAGGATCAGTCCCAGGGGCAGGATAAAACAGGACCTGGGGAAGCAAGGAGGCAGCGCGACCGAAGGCACTCCTACAGCTTCCTGCCCTTCTCAAATGGACTGCGCTCTTGTATCGGTGAGTAAATGAAGAGCCCTTTCAAATTCTGATTTATTTTTACTCGAGTTTATAATACATCAATCGGAAAATAGAAAATATTATTTAACGAAAATTATTAACATTTAATTTAATTTAATAAGTTAATTCAAATGATTAAATTATTTTGACAAGAATATATCTTAATTATTTGTAATATTTTTATTGCGTATTCATTAACTGTCCCCAATTAAATGTCGTTTCAGAGGAAGTTAAAAATGAAGAAGATTTTTTTACTTTTAATTCTTTTTTAAATTATTAACTTTTTGACCCTTGATCATTTAGGTCGACGATATGGGCTATTCATCATGAAGGTGTTCTTAGTTAAGCTGCTCTTGAACTTTGACTTCCAGAGCGATTTTGAGCTGGAGAAACTGCAGTTGGTGGAGAACATATCGCTGAAATTCAAGAACGCCGACGACATCTTGCTGGCCATCCAGCCACACAAGAAGTTCAAGGAATAGAATCCCATTCTTGAATATATTATAATCAATTTTTTTTCTTATACTTACCAATTTACAATAGTAATATGTAAATAATTGTTACACGAGTGCTATTTTTCATGGATTTTACGCAGTCTCAATAAAATGTCCTTATTGTAAGGAAATATCCTTTCAACGTATTCCCAACTATTTGAATTTTCAGGAGAAAACCAATAGAGAAAGTTACCCCAAAGCTTAACCATGTTTCTCAACCATTTGAACCTGAGCTCCAGATGGCGTCTCGAACGCTTTCTATCATAAAATGTTTTAAGCCTAATTTCAAATTGTTTTTATTATAGTATTTCTGTTTTATTTTATATACTTTTTATAATAATCATCTTTAACAAAAAAATGCTTAAAATTGTATTAAATCGATTGTTTAAAGAAGAAACATAGAAGTACTTTGAAGTACATTTACAGAACTATTTAAATACAAACAAAAAGTCTTCTTTAGAAGGACATTTGAAATTGTTAAACAAACTAGTTTTAAATTGTATGTAGAGAGAGAACAATTATATCTTAGGAATGTGTTCATATATTCTTTATATTTAATACAATTCTTTAGAATTTAATACCTAATATTAGATTATTAACTTGACATGATGAATAGTAAAATCATAATAGGTTTCTGATTCAATTCGTGATTTGTTTTTTCAGTTCCGTAGTTTTATCTAAACAAATTAAATTTTTTACGTTTTTTTGGTGATCGACAGTATCAAGAATCTTAAATAATGATTTTTAGGTATATTTCGCGTATACATATGAATTTATTTTTATAACTAAACCGATATGAGCATGCATTCTGCCAAGTTCAAGAAGCGCATTAAAATAATGTTCATATTTATTTGTGCGGTTCAATAAGTTTTCCAAGGAGATCAAAGGCCTGCGTTGAATCCTGAAGGGGAACTTGGACTGGGAAAAACTCGAGATGGGGGCATTGAGGAAAAACTGGGAGCTGCATCTGTCACGGGATGCGACAAATGTCGAGCGATTGCCGAGCACGCGACGGCTAATGTGGCAGGACATGGAGCCAGGACTCAACTCGCAGCAAGGACACTGCCGTATGATAATATGCCACAACTGTCAGCAATATTTCCGCTCTTCCTTCGCCTTTCCACCAACTTTCCACCGAGTTTTCAGCCAGATTTGCCCACCAATGCCACCTTGCCTTGCAGTTGCCATTTCACCATTTCCCTATTTTCCCCATTTTCCCACTTTCCTCCCCAATTTTCCCCACTTTACCACTTCCAAGCTGCAAGTTCCAAGTCCCGGGCACATATCATTGTCAGCTCGAGTCCTGTTGACTTGTCTGAAGAGTCCAAAGAGCGTCCAAAATGTTGGCATCGCCTTAGCAGCTAAACGACAACAGCAGCAACATCAGCAACATCAGCGGCAGTCAGCCAAGTGGCATCATTATAACTTGCCCCACGGTACACTGCGCAAAATATGTGTACCCCTTCGTACCCCTTGTGCGATCGGGGGAGGCATGAAAGCCTCCGAACGCGGAGAGCATCTTGTTATTTCCCAAATCATTCGCACATTTCGTCAAGTGGTTGTAAGTGTTCTGTATCCTTCTCTGAAAGTCAGGGTGTATAGAACTGAATATGTCTGAAAAATTCTATTATAGGTTACTTATAACTTAAAACTTGTAAGCTACTCTATTTATCTTCAGCAAGTCTTTTTATTATAAGTTGTAAAATCTTACAGAAGGTTTTCTCATTTTTATCAACAAGTGTTTCCAAATTAAGTTTGAATAAAATTGCTAGTCTTTAAAATTCTTTATACTTTACATTTTTTATACAAATTTGTATAGCTTTTTGAAAGGTTTTATAGTTATGATTAAAAAAGGCATTACCGAACATTATGGCTACAAAAATATAGTTATAATCATTGATAACAAACATGCTCGATTTTATATTTTAATGTAATAGTTTCTTAATTTGAAAAAAAAAAAACAATTATGAATCTACATTAAATATAAATTAAAACATTAAATGAAGATTGGTATGAACAAAAACGATTAAATTGCAAAGGAGTAATTATCTTTGCCAAAAAAAATTAATAAAATACTAATCAATCATTCGTTTATCTCGAAATATGTTTAATTATATGTATTTGTTATATGAATTTTTTTTTTTTTAACATTTAGTTAATTTAATCTTGTAACTAAGGGGTAATCGAAAGTTGTTTTATTTTTTAGGTATGAGTGGTTTTTGGCTTGTGATTCCTCTTACCTTTTCGCCAGGCAAATGACGCCGTCAACGCAGTCATTAGGGGAAAGGAGTCGGAAAAGGGTTGCTTAGGGGGAGGGGAGGGGAGGCGTTGAAAAGGGGGAGGGGGTCGAAAGTGGGTGGGGAGGTTTGAATGTCCTTGCAGTTGTTGTTGCCTATCGCTGTTGGCATTAACTTGACACTTTCCCCATTGCCGTGAGTGGAATGCATTCGGTGCCTTCGTGTCCGTCCGTGTCCTTGCCGCTTTCTGCTTGCTGCTTGCTGCCTGCTCCTTTATCCTTGCTCCTTTCGCCAGGATGTGTGCGGAAATTTATAACTGGCAAAGGCACTTGAAACACATTCGCATGGAAATTGCCGCCCCCGCGCTCACATGTTTGCTTTGATTGATGTGCCGGCACGAAATCGCCACGGATAAAATATGGTAGCCCCGGTCTAAAACGGAGTCTTAATTATTTGCCGAAGCATCCGGAAGTGCTCGTAATTCCAACTGTCTGAAGCGGTCAGGGGAGCACAAGAGTTATGTCCAAAAGCCCAATGGCTTTTCCCCGCAGCCAGCGAAATAAACTGCAACGAATTAGGACCCACAACTGAGAAATCATTTTCAAAGAATTTCAGAATTTTCTGTGCACACAATACGAGGTTTGAATTGTATTCTTTCATTTCACCATAAGTTTCATAGATACTCAACTAGTTTCTTAATTAAAGCTATACCTATGGATTCACATTAAAACATATTTTAAAATTTCAAGTGATTTTGGATTAAAAATCCTGTTTTTAAATACACTAACAGTAGTAACTATATAACAGTAATTATCACTAAATCATTTTTAAATTCACAGTATTTGTATTAAGTAGTAGCATAAGTACTGGTAAAATTAATTTTTCATTAGAACAAAAAAAAAAAGATACCTTCTAAAAATACTAAAGAAAGTTAAAATGGTGTGAAATGTAAGATAGTGTGCTTTTTTATATTGAAAAGATTTATAATTTAATTTTATTTTCGTTTCAAAATGTTCATGGGTGCAAGTGAGAAAATCTTATTGTTTTTAGTATGACGCGCTCAAATGGTTTGAATTGAAAACAACTTGAAATAATTTAAAAGCCATAACAACACATTTTGAGTTTTAAAACGTTATAAGTTCGGATTAATTTCAGTTGTTCCATCTACATAATTAAAACATCAATTTAATATTTGATCGAAAGAGGGGGTTTTTGTAGGCCTATCTTGAATTCAGTTTTATAATTTAGCAAATGGTTTTCCCCAATCAGATCTCTTGATATTTGGCTGGCGGCTCCACTCCAATGGGATGCGGATAAGTTGAGCCAGGGGAGCATGGCACCTAAAATGCAAATCGTGCTGAATTGCATTTTTCCACAAAATGCTTGGAGAGCTACTGAGCCTCAGAGCAGCAAACTGAGAACAGCGAATTGGGAGCTGGGAGCTGGGAAACTGGGAAATTGGGAAACTGGGAACTGACCATGGCCATAACCGGAGTTCCTGGCTCCCGGACTTCGGACTTTGCTGTGCGAGGCGTTGATAAATGTGTGGAAAGTCGCTTTCGGGGATGGGAAAATGTGAAGGGTGGTGAATTGGGGAGGGGGGAGTGGTAAAAAAAAAGAACGGTGGCCAGTGTCACTGCCACTGATGCCGTTAAGTGCGACAGAAATCCACTGAGCCGCATAAAACGAAAGCGTGAAAATGCCAGCGGCCTGCTAATAGAGGAGTCCCCTTGTCCACTTGCACCACCCAGAAGCACCATAGCCACCAGGATGCACAGCAGGACCCACACACCAACACACTCACACACACACACCCACATTCACACACATTCACATGCAGGCCATCAGGAGGCATTCCAGTGTGGCCGGCATTTTTGGATCATTTTTCTTAGTTTTTGTTGGTCCTTCGGTTTCTTCGGTGGCAACGTTGTTGACAATTTGTCGACGTGTCAAAAGAGTCAACGTGAATGTGACAAGTGACGCTGACGAGACAGGCGCCTACCCATCCTCATCCTCATCCTCATCCTCATTCTCACTCCATATCCTCTTTTCACAACCTCATGCCCATTCCTGTTCCCATTCTGGAACCCCATCTCGATCCATTTTTCGTAGCAACTCCAGGTCATTTGCCTGTTTCCGCTCCTTTTTCGACAGTCCAATTGCTGGCCTGCTCTGTCTTCAAGTTTTTACACAGCCAAATTGTCTACAAGTCAGATAATCCTTATAGATTAACCTCCTAAGTGCAGCCAAAGAAACACTAAACTCACAAATAAATCAATTATGTATCTTGAGAGTTAATATATCATTTTAACAATGTAACTGCTACTTTTTAATATACAGAGTTTTTATAAAGTTCGACGTGATTTCTATTACTATTCATTATAAATGTTATTAACAGAAAAAAGATTTCTAAAATATATAAAATAAGAAACGATTTTACTGTTTTGATTGTTATCCAATTAACATTATTAAATCACAACTAGTATTTTATTTCTTTTGTTTTTTATTTTCAACGTTTTTTTTTATTTTATAATGTTAGAAAAATGAACTAACAGTACTAAGTAATCAAACATATTATTAAAAAACGAAAATAAAATTCAATAAAGAAAGGAAAACCCTGTTATTAATTTGAAATATATCTTTATAAACTAAAACGTTTTACAACCTTTAAGGAGACTTTTTTTTAGAAATAGGAAACTTTTTTTTAACAAGTATATTATCGTCTGCAGAAAGCATTGGCAAAAGGTATAAACATTTTATAAACCTTCAGAAGATATTTTTGAATAGCCCTACTTTTTCCAATTCGAAGTGTCCCTATGCAATGTCTCCGAAAATGAATTTTCGCTGGATTCCAGGGGTTCAGAGGGTTGTGGGCGAATACCGAACAGCGAGCATCGTGGACATTTGGA